TTTATCAAGTACTGACAGAGAAAGCAACTACCTTCAAGTCAGACCAAATGTTTGATAAGCGAGTTCCGCATTATACCTTAAAGTGGATGCTTTCACAGAAGCAGTGGAGAATCGGTTCTGTTTCTATTCAAACTACATCTCAGCCTATGGGTGAGTTCTCTGTACTACTTTAAGGACAAGGATCCAAAATATAAACTATGAATAATATAAGTAATTATACCAAAATTCCACTAGGAATTCTGATTTTTTTTTTAAAGAAGAGATAGTAGGACCAGTTTATTATTATTGGAATCATAGAATGGCCTGGGTTGAAAAAGACCACAATGATCATCTAGTTTCAATCCCCCTGCCACAGGCAGGGTTGCCAACCACCAGACCAGGCTGCCCAGGAAAAAAAAAATCCAAGAAATACACTGCATCAAGGTGCAATTAACAGCAAAACTCCACAAAATTTTACAAAAATAACTGTTTTTTGTATTTCCAAATTTGTCAGCACAGTTATAACCCAGCTCTTCTCACAGAGGAGCAAATACTCGTGTATTCATAACTTACCAATACACCAGCAACTATGGAAGCAATGGCATTTCTTCTTTCACTCCAGTCAATACACTCACATTCTGGCCACCGGAAGTTGTCCAAGAATCCTGCCATTTCCTCAGATTAGATTGCTGTTCTTGTTCTGCACTTATACATGAATTCTTCCATTAACAGCAGCGTTCTAAGTACCTGAAACATGGCCAAGAATGCACAGAATGGTAAAAACTCAAGATCTTTGACAAACTGTCATGAGCAGTCTTTAAAATGTGTATTTTTGCAGAATTATTCCACACATTCTGTAGCTGTTCTATTGAGCTTCATTAAATAGAGCAAACTGCACCACAAACAGAATTACAACATAAAATCAGCACATAAGCACTGCACTCGATGCATTGTACCTGAGATGTAAATATACTGTTTATTCATTTGTAACGTATAGAAACAAAAGCAGGAGCCAAAAAAGCAAAAATATTTCACCCTAAGTTTCACCGTTTAACCGTAATCCTATCATTGGCAGTTAAAAAAAAAGAGTAAGAGACACACAGCAGGACTTCACATGCAGAGCAGAACCTGGTCTTTGAGTCTGACAAAGGAATCTTAGATAAGATGCCCGTATTTCCTGTCTCCAAACAAAAAAGAGAATATAGTGTCTCTCTATCACAGTGGAAAAGTGATCACCTCAGTGAAACAACTAATACCAAGGGTAAGGGATGTTCTCCTCTGCAGCCAGATGATCGGTCACAGATCTTCACACACAGAAAGATGAAAGCAAAGTTCATCAGTGCTCCTGTGGCCTTTCCTTGTTTTGCGCTCTCAAAATGGTTTCATATGTACTTCATTTGTTCCTCTTCAGTCCCTGAAACTATTTATCTTCCTCAAGCAGTAATCTCTACTCTTCCTGCCAGAATCTCTCTCTTCCCCTCATACCCTCTTGATCACTCATAGCAGAATGCAGCCCATGGCTCCTGTCACTGTCTTCACTGGACAGATCATGCTCTGCAGTACAGCTGGCCACAAGCAGGAGTAAGTAATGGACCATGGTTTTTGTTTTGTTTTTTTTTTTTTCCTTCTCTACAGAGAACAACAGCGCATATGTCAAATCCACCAAGTTTATTATCTTGCCTACTAATACTCTCAGAAGGAGCAGCTGAGGGAGCTGGGGTTGTTCAGTCTGGAGAAGAGGAGGATCAGCAGAGACCTCATCGCTCTCTACAACCACCTGAGAGAAGGCTGTGGTGAGGTGGAGGGTCAGTCTCTGCTTCTGGCTAACAGTGATGGGACAAGAGGGAATGGCCTTAAGTTGCACCAGGTGAGGTTCAGGTTGGGTATTTGAAAAAATTTCTTCTGAGCAAGAGCGGTGAGGCAGTGGCACAGGCTGCCCAGGGAGGTGGTGCATCACCATCCCTGGAGGTGTTCAGGAGCCGTGTGGATGTGGCACTGAGGGATGTGAGCAGTGGGCGTGGTGGGGAGGGCTGATGGTTGGACTGGGTGATCTTAGAGCTCTTTTCCTGCTTTAATGAGTCTGTGATTCCATATTTTTTTGAAGATCTATTTTTTCAAATCTGTATTTTCTTTTGGATTCTTTTCTCATAACATACTATTTTTAAAGTACTGATGTATTTAAAGGTGTTAAATTGTTTGCTTGGCCAGCCAATTTAATTAAACTAACGTTCAAAGCACATAACAGCTGGCACCTGGTACATAGTGCTAGTATCTGTACGTACGTAGTACATACATGGCACAGTAAGACCTCTTCAACTCTACCAAGTCAGTCACGATAAACTTAACTGATAACATACACGATACAATCCTTCCTTACTTACTAAACACTTTTAAGCACTAAGTTTAAAAACAAAACAGAGGCATTTTGGTCACTCGAAAAATCTCAGACAAAACCCTTCTCAACTGCCTTGAGTATCAAACAGAATTTTCACAAATGCATTAGTGACAAGTGAGTGAATGTAGTGCAGAGGTTGTGGATGCCCCATCCCTGGAGGCATTCAAGGCCAGGCTGGATGTGGCTCTGGGCAGCCTGGTCTGGTGGTTGGCGACCCTGAACATAGCAGGGGGGTTGAAACTAGGTGATCTTTGTGGTCCTTTTCAACCCAGGCCATTCTGTGATTCTATGATTCTGTGCTGCGTTGATCTTTTTTAAAATATTTTTTTAATATACATTTTATATGATATGGAGCAACTTTCTACCAAAGCATGTTTTACCAGAAATACTGACTCACCAACCTACACTTTGCTTTAACCTCATCTTTGTGCTGAGAAGAAAAGCACTTCGATGATGTGAAGAGATGAGATAAGCACTATCTGCTGGCAGTCTTTCAACAGCAAAGACTTGTAATTGACTGTGCAATTTTCCTCTTTCACTAGAATGGCAGACACTGGGAAACACAGCACAGTGTGTTTGCAACACAAGACAGACAAGAAGTTTGGAATTATTTCTATGTGCATCTAATGCTAGAAATCAGCTTTGATTTCACAAAGAAGAGTGCTAGAGCGGGCTGCTGGCAGTAATGGGAATAAAGGAACTGATGCCCATGCCCTTTTCCCTTGTATAATGTAAACATTAACTGATGCTGAGCAGAATTCCGCAGAGCCTCTCATGTAATTTTCTCAGAAGAGTGCCACGCAAGACTAAAAGTAATTAAACACTTGTCTTCGTATTTCTATAGGCACGTGTAGAGACTTCACAGTCACACAACTAAAGGCAGTGATGCACCATCCCTTCCCGCATGACTGAGCGCGGTCTTGCCCCATGCCCACCACACAGACAACATTCCTGTCTGCGGGAGGACAACACTGTCCCTGACCAAGCAAGAACAAACCAGGACTGAAAAGTAACAGGGACAGTTATAGCTGCTGCAGAAATAACATTCAGTAGGTGCCAGCACCTGGGTTAAAGCAACTAGGATATCATTCAGATGAATGCGGCAAAACAACAACGTATCACATGAGGGCTGGAGAATAAGTTTCTTCATAAAGTTAGGTTCTCTCCCCCAAAGGGACTGGTTCCGTGTGAATAAAATGTGAAAGCAGTGATGAGGAAGCAAAAAAACCCGCACAGGGAAAACTGTCTTATGCTGCAATACTACCAGGCTCCAAAGAACGGGGCCTGCTATTTCCAAAGCAGAAAGCAAAAGACAGGCCAGAGGAAGAGCCACTGAAAGCCATGAAGAAGAATGTATTCCTTCCTTTCTTCTTCAAGGAAGGAGAAAGCACCTTCCACAAGACATCGGTTAGAATACGCTTTAAGCCATATACGTGCAGTACACAAGAACTAGTAGAGGATATTCGGCAGTCACTGCGAGGACCTTATAGCAGCACTTCTACCCTGCTTTGTGCCAGTGGTCCCCGCTGGACCACTCCCCCATTTCTGCCACCACGTGAGTTTCACTTTCAGTTTCCCACACACAATACCGTACCGCCTGCCTTTCAGGCACGGCGATAAAAGAAAGGACAGGAGCTTTCGGATTCATAACCCTACGGCTAAGGGGCCAAGGCATCGAACGGACAACGGCCCCCCACAGCCCTCAGCACGACACCCGGCTCCAAGGCGCCGTGACCGCTCCGTTACCCCACGGGGGCTCAAGCCCCCACAGCGGCGACCCGAGCCCCGCCGGCGGCCGTCACGCTGAGGGCGGCCTACGGACCTCCACGTCCCCGCCCCGAGCCAGGCCCGTGACTCCGCCAAAAGGTCACGGCACCGGGGCGGGCGGCGCGGCCGGGCCCACGAGCCCGGGGAGCACAGAACCGCCGCGCGTTGCCCCGGCCGGGACGGAAGGTGCCGGCCCGGGCTCTCCCCGGCAGCGAGAGAGAACGCTGAGGAGACGCGGCGGGAAGCGGGAGCCGTTGAGCGGAGAGCGGGAACGAAGCGCGCGAGCCCTTGCCGCCCCCGCCGCCCTCCCGCTCCCACACCCCTTCGCCCCCTACCGCGGCGCGAGCGGGAAGCGGCGGTCGCACGTACCCCCGTCCTGCGCGAGACTCTTCCGCCTGCCGGGGGGGCGGGGCAGAAGCCCGGGCTGATCGGCGAGCGACGCGGCCCCCCACCAATGGGAAGCCGGCACCGCACGTCACCGGAGGCCGGGCGAGGGAGGAGCGCCGCGATTGGACGGCGCCTCCGCCCGCAGGAGCGAAGCCCCGCCCCCTCCGTATCCCGGGCGGGGGCGGCCCTGCCCCCTCTGCTCCTGCTCCCCTGTGCGCGGGGCTCGGCGCCTTCGCGTCGCTTTCTTCCCGTAAGGCTGAAAGAGGCGGCACCGGCGTCCTAAGCACAAACTTCAAACAACCCTCAGAACAAACTCCGCCTGGCACAAAAGGTTGGCTAGCCGGACTCTAGAGAGATGAAGGCAAAACACAGCAGTGACACTGAAACTGCATTGCTCCATCCCACATCTAGAGCAAATATAAATTTAAATTACCATTGCTTGTTAGTCTTTCTTTCTTTTTTTTTTTTTAATTGTCATTATAATTATTGAAAAAGTGGCTTTTGCACCTGGCAGCTTTTCATGCTACAGGCACAAGGCTGGCTGTAAGTGCCGAGAATCAGGTCTCATCTGTTCCATTACAACCAAGTAGCTTTAAAAAGTACACAAAAGCCATTCCGAATGCTGACTCATCCATTATGGCAACTTCAGTATTTAAACTGCTGATACGTATCTTCATGGAGAGCCAAAATGGATTCCATCAGAGTCGGATTTATTGGAATCTGGTTCCTATTTACGCTCGTGCAACGAATCCAACTTACAATTAGTTCTTTTCACATCGGTCACTGCATTCATTTAAACAGCAATTCACATCCAATTCCCGTGGAACATAATGAGAATTAAAACCTGATCTTTCTCAGCCTGCTATGCCAAAGGACATTTAAACAAGGAAGGATAAAGGTCAAAGTAAAGGGCACAGCCAGACTTTTACTTCCACTTTGTCCTTACAGTGCTTTACTTAGGCGTCGGTTTCATGTTACAGAAATAACAGCATTGTACAAATCATTAAGTTATACACCGAAAAGTTAAGCACTAATTTTGATTTAAGCAGAAGGGAAAATGGGCTGCAATAGGAGAACTGAATTCACTTGTTCCTTAGCAGCATTCACAAAGAATTAATTACCCACAAGTGAACATCAGACACCCCAATTCCTTTCAATAACAGCCAGGTGGATTTTACATTTTCAGTGAATCTGAAATTTCTTTCATGCTACAGGTTTTAGTTATAAAGTGCATTCAAAAACTTGACAAGAGAGGTGAGCTAATATGATCTTATTTCGATGTAGTACTTAACCACTTCAGTAGAGAAGACTTCCACCCAAACCGTTTAACACCTTCCCCTTTGTTTTCCTTTGTGTCTGAACCAGAAGCCTCCGTGTTTTCCATGGAAGCCTCTGCGCTTTCCACCGAAGCTTCGTAAGTCTTTTGTGCTCGAATGATTTCTTTGTCTGCACTGAAGTGCACCATTTGTCTGCTCAGAATAGGAACAACTAAATTGAAGCTGTCAATTCTTTTGTTTAACTTCCTGACATCTTCCACGAACTGCTCACAGATGTGATTCCATTCCTTTTGCCTATACGGTGTCATTGGCTCTCCGAGCTTACTCCTGGATAGCACTAAGCTCTTTCTTAATCGCTCGATCGTTTCCCGGATTTCTTTCTGCAAGAGGATCCACTCCGGCTGGTATCCGTTGTCTATCAGAATCCTGTTCAGGTTGTGAGTCATGGGATCGATATGCGGACAATCCGAAAACTTCTGCAAAGGTTTTCCTTTCCCGCTGAGGTTGTCGAAATCTCCTTTTGCCATTGATTCCTGGATGAGGTCCTCGACCAACCGTTCAACTGCCTGAGTTATCTTCACTTTTTTGCTCTGTCTCACATCCTTGGCTCTCATAAGGTCCGTTGCAACATACTGGTTTTCAAGTCTCCGCGTTCGGTATGCCAACACTTGCTCAGTAGCACGGTCTACTCTGAACTGCATGTACTGCTTTTCCCTTTGGCTTGGTGTTCCATAACCAACACCTTCAAAACTCAAGTAGTGTCTATGCTGTGGCGCGTTTGATTTGAGCTGGTCTTCCTCCTCCTCTTCCTTATTCTCAGTGGGTTTCTTTTTGTTCGCCACATCATTAAGCACAACTCTGTACGCTTCTTCTACTTTCACAAATGCTGCAGAATCTGCTGTGATGGAACCGCTGTCCGGATGGTATTTTTTGGCAAGACTTCGATACGAATTTCTGATATCATCGAGTGAACATCCTTCCTCAAGCTCAAGAATTTTGTAAGAGTCCTTGACATTCCCTTTAGGTTTGTAGCCTGACAACATTCTATTGCCGCAGATATAGGAAAATGGCTTCAGGCTTCTTGGAATCATTGCTTGATATACCATTAAATGATGTCCTATGGTGTTAGTCAGCATCGTATAAAACCACTTTCTATTTCTTCAGGTGCAGATACATTATAAACAAACCTACAAACACATTTTTTTTAAATCATATTAAGTATGTTTATGTGAACTTATACAGCCTGTTCAAGTCTTATCTTGTTATATCATCTGAACCAAAGAAATCCCTACAAAAAAATTCAGACCAGTATACAGTGTTTTTTCTTTTGCAGACTAACAGTGAATTCTGAATTTCTTGTTAATTTCTACTGAAGTAGTAGTATTATGATGTAAATGAAAATTAATTCACAATACAGCTTTCTCCTGCCATAGCAACAGCGGCACAGGTTTGTTATGCACGTCTTGCTTCCCAAAAGGTGTAAGCTTTTCTGCCTTTCTACAAACTCAGTGCAACATAAACTGGAAATATGCTTTTCGCTGCGGAATTCCAGTGAACAACCCCAGTTCTCTCAGCTGCTCCCCAACAGACTTGTGCTCCAGACCCTCACAGCTCTGCTGCCCTTCTCTGGACACACTCCAGGGCCTTGAGATCTTTCTTGTAGTGAGGGACCCGAAACTGAACACGGCCCTCAAGGTGCAGCCTCACCAGTGCCGAGTACAGAGGGACAGTAACCGCACTGGACTTGCAATATTGCACAGCATGTAGATCACTGCTTTCTCTCCTACTAGGTGGTTGGTAAAGGTAATTTTGTTCCATTTGTCCATAAAACCCACATACCTACCACTTAAATTGAATGGTGATAGAATCACAGAATGGCCTGGGTTGAAAAGGACCGCAGTGATCATTGAGTTTCAACCCCCTGCTATGTGCAGGGTCACCAACCACCAGACCAGGCTGCCCAGAGCCACATCCAGCCTGGCCTTCAATGCCTCCAGGGATGGGGCATCCACAGCCTCCTTGGGCAACCTGTTCCAGTGTGTCACCACCCTCTGTGTGAAAAACTTCCTCCTCATATCTAACCTAAACCTCCCTGGTCTCAGTTTAAAACCATTCCCCCTTGTCCTATTACTATCCACCCTCGTAAACAGCCGATCAATGAATTATCTCTTGAAATTCAATAACCTGATACGAAGCGGTCCTTACAAAACGGGTTCTTACACCCCTGGGCCCGCTCTAACTACACTGGGCAGGCTGCGGGGACAGGGCCGAGGCGAGCGGAACGCAGCAGCCGGACCTAACCCCGCCCCTCCAGCTCCCAACGGCCGACCCCCACCAGGCCGCGGGGCCACTGGCACTCACGAAGAGGGCGCCCACACGCACTGCTACGTAAGGCGGGAGAGACACCCCTCCGCGCGACGCCGCCTCACCTGCTGCCCGCCGCCTCCCCGCTCCCCTGCCCCGCTCTCCCTGTCTCACACGGACGTCTCCCCGCCGCCCGCTGGGGGGAGCCCGAGCGCCGCCGCCAGCTCTACCGGGAGACACGTGACTCGGCGGCTTGCGAGCGGAGGGGCGATGGCGGGCCCGCCGCTGGGGGCATGCGCGGTGCGGCTCGGCAGGCGGCAATATGGCGGCTGGTGCGCTTGGCTATTCGTGTGTGTGGTTATACGTGCAATCTAGCGCTGAACCCATCCCCCCATGCCCACTGCCCTCGTCCCTCAGTGCCACATCCACACGGCTCCTGAACACCTCCAGGGACGGTGACTGCACCCCTGGGCAGCCTGTGCCACTGCCTCACTGCTCTTGCTGAGAAGAAATTCTTCCTCATATCCAACCTGAACCTTCCCTGATGCAACTTAAGGTCGTTCCTTCTTGTCCTGAGAAAAATGTGGAATGCTTCACGAATCTGTGTAATGTTTTGGGACTGTGGGAATTTTGTTCCTGACTTAATTTTTCACACATCCTGGCTATTACAGGAAATCCTGGAAAGAAAGAGACAGAAGTGTTATTCTTCTTTCATCTTATACGAGATAAAACTCTTATTCTGGCAGTTTGCTGTTCAGTCGTAGATAGAAGAAGTGAAATAATCCACCAAAGTAAAGAGAGGGGTCTAGAAATAGTTGCTTAGTGTTTTTATACAGCATGCATGTCTACAAACCACGGCACTCCAGTACAGTGTCTGTCCAGCAGTACACAAGCCATTAATCTTGTGGAATTTTTGAACAAACTTGGTGGGTTTACTTTGAAAACTGCTTTAGCAGTGTGAAAACAGCATGCTTGTGTTAGTGTATTTTTTTGTTCACTGCCTGACTTTTAGAGGCAGAGATACTGTTCAGCGTGACGCTGGCATGCGTTAATTTGGTTTTTAGTGCTGAGCTGTAGCACAGCAAGCTTGTTGGTTGCTAACCACATGGCTTCAGGTACTGTCATGACAGGACTAGGATGCTGAAGAGAACAGCGTAGGACTCAGTAGAAAATAAAATAACACTATATGTTATCCCCGACGATGTCTATATTGAGTTTCTTCTGAAGGTAAAAGGTTCAGCAGGACGAGGGGAAATGGTTTTAAGTTGAGGGAGGGGAGATTTAGGTTGGACATCAGGGGGAAATTCTTTACAGAGAGAGTGGTGAGGTGCTGGAACAGGCTGCCCAGAGAGGTTGTGGATGCCCCGTCCCTGGAGGTGTTCAAGGCCAGGTTGGATGGGGCCCTGGGCAGCCTGGTCTGGCATTAAATGGGGAGGTTGGTGGCCCTGCCTGTGGCAGGGGGGTTGGATTTTCATGATCCTTGAGGTCCCTTCCAACCCTGGCCATTCTGTGATTCTGTGATTCTGTAAAACATGTATTAATCAAGGGGGGGAATGATTCATGTACATGCAATACACGAAGATAATTTTTGTGTGTAAATGTAAGGATATATTTCATTGCGGTGAACAGAGATATGAGAGTTTGGTGGGTTGTTTTTAACCTGAATATTTCTGTTTAGTTGTAGACCGTGAAAGCTGTGTTTTATTTTTGCACACTGCCTTTGAGAATCCTTTCTTGTTAGAAGACGTAATATTGCTGTGAACAGCATGGAAACTGAACTGAGTGATCCCAGCTTTTTCATGTCTTATTGTAGTTCCTTTTTTTTTTTTTTTTTTTTAGGATTGAATACTGTTGACATTGTAGGACTGATTGGTTGGGAGGAGTTGTTTCATCATTAGCTAAGGAAGAATGGAAAGAAGGAAGAACAGTGCACACTGCTGAAGTTTCTGGGGAGGTCTGTTTCATACAGCAGGAGGCACTAAGGTGATGCTGCCAGGCTACCATCAGACATAATAAGGGGACAGGACAGCATGCATGTCTGTCTGCTTCTTTCAGGCTCTCATCCTTATCTCTGGCTTTAGGGGACCAGAAGTCATTTGGATCTGAAGCAGGAGCAGAAGGAAAACTAGAATTCATCAGGAGGACTCCTCAGCCTTTTGTGTGAACAAGCTACAGGGTCTGACGTGGTAAGAAAAGATGCTCCAAAAGAGATACCCCTCTTCACAGCCCTTCCCCTAGGACTGGCTCTCTTATGGCTTTCTTTTCATTCAGTATGCATGCAAGTTGCTTTGCAAAAAAAAAAAAAAAAAAAAAGGTTTTTTTTTGTCTCCTCACTGTGATGTAAAATGGAAATATACTTTTTTTTTTTCTTTCTTTTTTTTTTTCCCCACAGAATAGGAGGCATTGCTCAGTCTCACTCTGTTCACAGTTAGCAATTTGAATTTATTCTGCCTTCTAAAACTTTGGTGAATTGTGAAATGATGATTAAGAGAAAAACTATTTTGCTTTTAAAGATACTTGGCTTTTTATTAATTACCACTGAAGCTTTGTAGAGTGGGTCTTTGCTGTAGATAGAGCAGTTCTTACTCCTTACTTTTAAGCTCACAGCACCTTACTTGTGATTACAGAAATATTTATCAAGCAGTGAAAAAAAGAAAAGACAGGGGCTGACATACTGGACACTTACACAGTATGAAGGAAAAAGAAAGAAAATTCTTTTGCCAGGAAGTGGATCAAGTGATTGATAAAGCATTAAGCACACTCTCCCTGTTTATGTGCATATCTCTCTTAGATAATTCACAGCAGCCTTTAATTCCCCAGGACAGGACACCTGAAGTACTTATATTGCACTTGGACAATCTAATAACTATGAAAATATATAGTTACATTTTACTTTGTTGATATTAGGTGAAGACATCTTAATGCTGGGAACTAGAAACATGATTATTGTTATATCACAATAATAACTCAGTGTTACATATTTAGCTTTTGTTAACCTTTGGAAGCTACCTAATGAACTCAGACCAACAGTCGTGATTTCTTTTGAAAAGACTGACAACATTGCCTACAAAGCAATTGTTTTATGGTGACTTTAATTTATTATGTATTTCCTGGGTAAGGACTGCTTTATGCCAATAGCATCTTCCTTAAAGGTCATACTGAGATTATTTTTCTTTCTGACATTTGTCCACATTCAGCACATATGGAAAAATTAAATTTGCAGATGTTGGTATGATAATATTTCTGAAATAAATCAAAACTAATTTGCCTAGAAATATTATTGAGAAACTGTTTTAAATGTCAGTCTGGTAGTGAAATTAGCAGTTATTCTTTTATTGAGCTATTGAGCTATTGATGCTATTCTGCTCAAGTTACCCTCGTAGCAGTTGTCAAAGTATAAAACCTGTCTGAAAACTGTCTTTGCTATTTATTATTGAAGGTGTTTACACTAATGGAAGTTCCCAGGTTGACCACAGAGTTCAGTCTGAGATACCCGCTAAGTTACCTGGAGCATTTGTATGAAACTTACTGCCCTGTCTTCTTCAGTTGTGTGAAGGATTTGATGAGACCTAGACATTAGATTATTTCAGCCTGACTGTTTAAGAGAGGAAATACTGACAGTGCTGAAACAAGTGGAAGAATTCTCTGTGATTTCACTGTGTTTAAATCAGAATGCGAAGGATGCAACTATCCAGTGTCACTACTGATGCAGTACTGGAACTCTCTGTTCCAAGGCCAGGTTTGATATGGCCCTGAACAGCCTGATCTAGTGCCTGACTTAATGGTTGGCAATCCTGCCAATGGCAGAGCTTTGGAACTAGATGATCTCAGGTCCCTTCCAACCAAAGCCTTCTGTGATTCTGTGATTCCATGAGTCTATGATTCTATAATTGCAATGTCTTGTAGATATCTTTCTGATAAGAACTGGATTGCTATTGCTTACCATTTATAAGTAAGGGATGTAAGACATCTTTTTGCTTATTTTTACTTGAGTTTGTGGAATAACTAGATAGTAATCAACATAATGACTCTGGGTTTGCACAGGCTAATGGCTGATCGAGTGCTTGTGATCGGCAGTGGAGGGAGAGAGCATGCATTGGCCTGGAAGCTGGCCCAGTCCCCACATGTAAAACAAGTGTTTGTTGCTCCTGGAAATGCAGGGACAGCCAACAGTGGAAAAATTTCAAATTCAGGTAAAAAGAGGGGAAAAAGTAAAATACTGTGGCAAGCAGTTGGCAGTACGGATGCGGGAATTGAAATGGAACTGACCACATTTGTATTCAGTCAGAAGACAGCAGTTTTTTTCTGTTTCCGGTACTACAAGTTATTTAAGGCATGCCTTTTTTTCAGTATGCTTTGTTTCTGTATATTAGAACTGCCTAATAAAACATCATATTGTATCCATTTTTATCCTAACTTCTTAAGATAGTGAGGATTATATGAGACTGTGTATTTCTCTACCTCATCTCTTTCCTCCTATTGTTTGTTATGTTTGACAAATTTCATTCCAGTTTAACAGTGGAAGAGAAGGCTCAAAGATACTACCTTCTTGTTGGCAAATACTTTGGTGTCTGCCGAGGCTGCTCAGCTAAATGTAATTAACTCATCCACTAACATTGATTAAATCTTAGCTCAGATGATAAGCTTGAGTTGTCTCATGAACTTAAGGTTTCATTTTTAGAAGTTTTTAGTCCGCTATGATTAGCAACTTCAAAAAGTTTGTACTGATTATATATATGAAATGGAAGGCAGGTAATAAGATAGTAAATGTATAATACAGAGAGCAGTGTAAACTGGAAGTGTTCACTTTTCATTCTGTACTCTGTTATTATTGTATTATTTCATTTTGCCCTTCATGGGCTGCTAACTCTTCCAGTTTTTTAATCATACTTTTAAGGGAGATTGAACACTGAATCTTATATCTTCCATTTCTTATTTAGGCTTTGTTGCAGTATCTTCTTATATATCCTTTTCCTTTTCAGCTGTTTTAGTGAGCAATCACACTATTGTTACCCAGTTCTGCAAAGATCATAACATTGGACTTGTAGTAGTTGGACAAGAAACTCTTTTGGCAGCTGGTAAGGCTGGATTAAATTATCTTGACAGTAAAAATCAGCACCTTGAATCTTGCTTTAAAATAATCTCTTTGGGATTTGAATGTACACACTGACTGAATTAAATTAAAGTGCAAGAAAATTTGGAGCATCTTGTAGATGTGAGTTGCAGCCACCTGAAGTTTTTGGCTCAGTAGCTGTATGCTGCTTTTTGTATGTTACAGATTGACAGGAGAAATCATGCAGGACTACAAGTCAGTGATGGTTACAGGTATTCTTGTGTCTTCTGCCATGTTTTTTGCTATGAAGATTTTCTTGCAATAGTCCCAACATTGCTGCTTTATGTAGCAGTACCAAAACCATTGCTGACATTTATTGTAATGTGATATTTAAGATCTCCATGTCATAAACAGTGAGCAGAAGTACCAAACAGTCATATAGCCATGAGTTGGTAACTGTGACACTTCTTAGTAATAGGAAACAAGATTATTGGATATTCAGAACTTTGTTTTAAGGATGGATTAGTTGTTTGAAACAATGAGAAGTGTTAGCAGAATGCTGGAATGGCTACGTGGCTTTCATTTTGTCAGAACGTTTCTAGAGGGATGACTTGATTCTTTTGCTATTTTTGATAACTAGGTATTGTTGATGACTTACAAGCAGCTGGAGTAAGATGTTTTGGACCATCAGCAAAAGCAGCTCAGCTAGCATCCAACACCAGTTTGTCCAAAGCTTTTCTGGATCGACATGGGATCCCAACAGCAAGATGGAAAGCTTTTACCAATCCCCAGGAAGCCTGTAGGTTTATTATCAGGTAAATGCTTTGATACAGGAAACACCTTCTCTGTTGGATTATTTATGTGCTTGGCCTTTGCCCATAGTAGTTACCTAGAACTAGTGAGTTAGTGTTTTGTTTTCAAATGTTCATCTTTTTAAGTGGCTACTGAATATTTTTGAACCAATTTTTATAATTGGTGAAGAGACAGATGGTGAAGGAGCAGGGCACTTAAACAGGTTGATTTTTCTGTTCACAGATCACAGGTCCTCTTCCCTTTAATCAGCTTCATCAGGTTGCTAATTAGCCATTTATAAGAAAAAATGTGGCAGAGAAAAAGATTTCAATAAATTTTTGTGTAAGGGTAAGAAGGGATAAAAATCATTTCTACACAGACAGATAACAGCAGCATCTCTTTAGTGTGATTTGGGAGGAACTGGCTAAATACTGATAATTTAAAGAATCTTCATTTGTCAGAGCTGCACAGTATCTCTCTCTACATGTGAGAGAGAAGTGACTGCAGATCTCTGCAATTGCTTTGATCAGTAATACCTCAGAAGTCATGAGGGATCGTATGGGAGAATAACTTTCTGCTGTGGCTTTTTTGGTCCTGGGTAAGAGCAGTGGCTGTATTCAGCTACATTGGACTGTACTGGTGTTGCAAACTCTTTGTCATTGCTGTCACATAGTTCATGTGGTATATTCTGGCAGAACTTTTTTTTTCCCCAAAAAAAAACAACTACCTTTTTATGGACTTTGTCCAGGCTTGCCCTGTGACAGCATTGTATGTATCATGGCCATGTAGAGAAACAAGCCAACTTCTATGTCTGTAACTGTGCCTAAGACTTCAAAAGCAAAACAGCGTCACAGTTCAGCTTATTAAGCTGTAGAGAAAAGGAGCTCTGTGTGAGCCTACTTTGGCTGCTTGTAAAAATCTAGGGTTATGGTTTATCCTAATATAAATTACAACGTGGAAAAGGGGAGTGAGATGTTTCAGAAAGTACACTAATGTGATGAATCAGCTCTTTCAAAGGAACATTCCATTTGACTGACCACAAACTGGAGACAAGTGAATGGATAAAGCTGTAGTTAAAATAAGCTGTGCTGTCTTTTTGTTCTGTTTATTTTTTTTTCTCTTTCCAGATTTAGTTTGTGTTCAAAAGTAAGCAGAACAGTTCTGGGGATACAGTGTTAATATGTAGATATGTAAGACCAAAGTCAACCTTAACCTTACAACCCTACTCAGAATTTCCATGGTGGTTAATAGGTTTCTGTAGTACATTCAAGTGTTATAAGCCTACAAATCACCAATGAATTCATCTTTACAACCCCGTGACATAAATAAAATAGTAACTCAAATCAGGGAAAAGAGGAAGACACTGTACACGGTTAATTGACATGTCCAAGTGTATACAGTGAGGTGGTATCAGAACCAATAACAGAATTCACGGATTTCCAATTCACAGTCCTATATCAATGACTACAAAAGCCTGTTCACCTCCACGATAGGATGGACTGGCTATTGGAATTCATTTTTCTGATGTGTTATTCCCTATGTATTTATAAAGAGGGAAGAACATGGGAAACATTCAGCTTAAAAATGTGCCTTTCATGGGATGCAGTAGAGATGCCTGAATCTTTTGCTTTCCTTTTAAAGCACAGACTTTCCTGCTCGAGTGGTACGGGCGAGGGGCCCTGCAGCTAGAAAGGAAGTGACTATTGCAGCCAGCAAAGAGGAAGCCTGCAAAGCTGTCCAAGAGATTATGCAGGTGGAGAAGTCTTTAATTAAATAGTGGGAATGCAGTTCATGTCCTTGACTAAGAACAAGAGAAACCCCAAAATTGCATCTATCCAGCTTGCACATTAAGGCTGGAAATTAGCACTGCTGCTGTCTAGTTGCGTATATTCCTTAGGTTTGGTGCTTCAGTCTGCATGTCTGACGTATTTGATCACTGTGGGACTTTCTCTTTGTTCCTCATCCTTGTGGGTACTGGGGAATTTCTCTCAGGTTGACTCACAGATGGTGGGCACTCAGGAGGGCTCTGTAGAGTTTGTGACCAAACTCTTATTCCAGCACTTGGTCCCACTTTACTGACCCTCCAGCTTTTCCATTTCCCTTTTGCTCCTGGTGCCTGACAATGTCTCTTCCTTATCTCTGAGTGAGATTCTACAAGTTTTGCCCAGCATCCCAGGATTCACACAAACTGTGGCTTTTCATATCCATTGTCCTTTTCTGATAAAAGAAAATAAATAGAGGATTTAGCCATTAAATGCTATGTTTATTGACTGATGACTTTTTGTGTGTGTGCAGGACAGAATGTTTGGAGAGATCGTTGTCATTGAAGAACTTCTTCAAGGGGAAGAACTTTCTGTATGTGATCAGTTTCACAGTTATGTGCTTTTATTCCTTGGCATTATTGCTGTGTCTTTTGCATAACCACACATTTATTGTTTCCAATAGTTTTGTATGTTTATTTGACAAATAAATTAATACGCAAGCTAAGCAATTTGATGTTATACTAGCCAATTATGATGTCAGCAGAATTTTTCCTACATTAGCCATACACTTGCAATTATGGTGGTCTTTTTATGTAGAAATTTATCTTTTTTTTCCCCTTATGGTCACCTAAAATATTTCTATATGGACCTTGTCTTGGTAATTCTTGTTACATCATTAATTTTGTGCTAATACTTAGTGCCCACTTTAGCACTTCTTCTACTGTGGGTTATTATTCAGAGGCAAGAGAAAAATATATACATGTGTTATATGCTATGTGACAACTGAAAAAAAATATTTGTGAAAGGTTTATTCTGCATTGAGAATACCTCACACTCATTCAGGCCTTGGATTTGCAAGCAAAGGTGTTAAACTTCAAACATACAAGTAATTCCGTTAAGTCTTAAGTAAACAGATGTCCAGTTATTCATGGATAGTTTAAGATCTGGTTCATCAGAAAGTCATTCTTATGAGGACCATCATTTATCTTCATCATTTAAAACTAAGAAAAAGAGAGTTCATTGAATTCTTTGTGTCACCAGCCTTGCAGCGCAATGAATGGATCCCATTGCTTTTTAGCTTGGATTCCTAACTTTTCCTGGCAGATTCCTAAATTTACCTCGGTCTGTGACCAGTAGTGTTAACTTCCCATGGCACAGGATGTTGTCACTCTTCCTGTGTCTTGTGCCTCTCTTAACAGTGCCTGTGTTTCACGGATGGTGTCACTGTTGCCTCAATGCCCCTAGCCCAGGCCCACAAACGGTTATTGGATGGTGACCAGGGTCCAAACACTGAAGGGATGGGAGCCTACTGCCCAGTTCCTCAGGTACAGCACTCTTCCTTGGCCTACAGTAAAGCTGATCACACCTGTGGTTAATGCACCTTTAGGGCTTCAACCTTGTTACTATCACATAGGCTGAATTTCTTGTGGAGTTGATTGATTCTGTGCTTGTGTAAGAGCAACACAGGCTGAAGCTTTAGCAGTCCTTCTGTAGGATTTCTTTCGCCTGTGCTCTGAGGAATAGTCTCTTTTATCTTTTCCATTATTCCTAAACTCGGTGTTTTCCTTTTCTATAAACTTGGGCTTTATCTTTTCCTTCTTTCCAAACTTGGTATTTACCTTTTAGATTACTTCTAAGCTTTGTATTGCTTTGCTCCTATTAACATCATTTGAAATGTTCCAGCAGAATTTCCACATGTCTGAAGTCTTTGGCTTGAACATAATCTTGCATTTATTGTTAATAATGTATGCTGCTCAAGTACATTATTGGTGTGTTTTTTACAAGTACAGAAACAATCTTACTGTGTATAGCCCAGGTTTCCAGTGTCTCAAACCTCCTTAAATTTGGCCCTGTAGAGAAAGAAGAAAACAGAAACAATTTTGAGAGACAGAGCATCAGTATATCTGTCCTTCAGGGCAGTAACACCGTAATGTGAGGAGCATACTAGGTGGAAGTGGCAGTTGAGGCATTCGCTTACCCCTGTCCTTCCAGGACCAAGAGCTAGTTCAGCAAATGTCATTGCTGTTTGATGTTGATCATCAGGTACCAGAAGTTCTAGAGAAAATCAATGATGCTATCCTTCAACATGTGATTGATAGTCTGAGACAAGAAGGAGCAGCATATGTAGGTAAGTATGCATTCAACTGAAAATAAAGGTAAAGTTCTATCAAGATTAATTTCATTGTTTGGGATTGCTTTTGAATTCTAAATGATCTTTATCCAAAATAAAGAAAAAAATAAAAGGTAAGAAAGGTTCATTTTTCATGGAGTATTAAGCCTTACTGATTTGGTTTATAGCTCTTCATTTGGAGGGAACTTTCTTCTTCAGATGGCATTTCAGGAGATGTATTGTGCCTCATTTTTTATTTTTTAATTTTTTATTTATTGATTTATTTTGTGCAGTACAGGCTAACAGGTGCATGTCTTGTTAGTTATAAAACAAAAACTTCAGCCAGAATGTGGGAAACTTCTGAATGATGTGGGCCATTGCATCTGATTTTTACAACTGTAGCATTTCAACTTCACTAGCTTGAAAATACTCAAACTGAATAATGTTGGACTGTAGAACATACCCTATTTTTATGGAATTAGAACATTTTATAACAGTTGCAAGCAGATTCTTTTTAGGTTGAGGTACAATCAGTGATGCTGTTCACTTCTGTGTACAGCAATTTAAGTTTTCTTAAGGTGTTTGTTTTAAGAACTTTTGGAAAAGGAAAGGGGATGCTCACTGCTGTCACTGTAGGCCAGAAGCTGCTCTAGGTAGCAACAGCTGCAATAGCTATTCTACTCTTGAGAGTATCTTGAGAGATACAATGTGTTCTCAGCTATTTGGTAACTTTTTTATAATGCTCAGTAAGATTTTACAATGCTGCAGTAAGAAATGAATCTGTGTTGAGGATTTTCAGGATGATGCTGGAGGACCTGATGCTTTGTGGGGATTGATATTTAACACTTGTCATTCTCTGGGCATGATACAATGAAAGGCCCACTTCAGATCACTGTACAGTATTTCTACTGTAGCAGTAGAAATAACAGAATACCAACTTCAGAAAATATTTGTTTCTGTCTATTAGTAATGGTCACAAGTTTTGTTTTGGTATTTTTGCCTGAAATGCAGAGTAACATCTATATTTATAGATAACAGTACTATACTCAAGAAAATTGCAAGATCTGCATCATGATGTTTTATGGAAATTGGTTCATTGTGGGGTTTTTGTTGTTTTTTTCTTTTTCATCCTATCTGTTGCATTGGATCTCTGAATACCTACAATAAGAGGGCTGTAGCAGAAGGTTCCTTTCCATTGTATTCAGTCTAAAATGAAACGCAATATTTGTCATGTTGCTGCAAGCCACTTCAGTGGTTACTGTGGAACTATTACAACTTGTGTACAACTGCTTGCTGAATCCCTGCTTCTAATTTCTTACAGTTCACAGAAGTGCATCCCTCATTCCAAAGTTTTAGATTGCATTTAAAGGAGTTGTTGAAAAATAAACATTCAAATTCATTTGCCTGATTCTGTTCTTTCTGCTCAGGTGTGCTGCAGATGGGGTTAATGCTTACCAAAGATGGTGTGAAAATTTTAAACTTTAAATGTCAGTTTGGTGACCCCCAGTGCCAGGTGAGTGACAGACACTAAAAACTTACACGTGCTTCCTTCTTTAACTCTGACTGTTACATCACACACCTTGAGAAATTTGCATAATATATTTGGATTTCTGTCTTCCTTCCCCTCAACGTTCAGATCTGAATGAGAATGTCTTAGACTGTGTATGAGGTAACTTAAAATTTTAGCTGGTAAGCTTCTGTGTATTATTAGTTAAAGAAATTAAGTTAAAGATCTGCTCCTTCCATTTTATTCTTCTGGATATAAACATAGTAGGAGGGGCATGAATGCATGTCTCTTCATAGTCTCGTTATGAATTTCTGCCTGTTGCAAAAAGGCTGCAAATTAGCATTCTTCAATGCTTTCCATTCTACAGATACAGGGAAATGCAGTATTTTCAGTTTGGCAGGTACAGATTTTACTTTGTTACTTGAATTTTCCCTACATTCATTTTCAGTAAGTCAGCAAAAGAAGAATTAACTTCTATCACTATGAAAATTTTATGCAGGTAATTCTTCCACTGCTTAAAAATGATTTTTATGAAGTGATTCAAGCAGCAATTGATGGCAAACTCTGCAGCTTCATGCCAGCCTGGTCAGAAAACAGTACAGCTGTGTGTGTGGTCATGGCAAGTCTGGGATACCCAGGAGACTATGACAAAGGCATGGAAGTAACAGGTAACTTGAGCAGATTATTTACTATTTTCTCTAGCCCGGTACTTGGGAAAGCTTGCATTTACCTCTTCTCCTAGAGAGTTATCTTGCTTTCCTCCATCTCACTCCTCAGTTCTTCAGAATTTGTCTTCATCTGTCACTCCTTGTCCATGTGGAAGAAATAACTCATCAGTGGGATTGTTTATCTAGAAAGCTTGCCTGTCCAACGTGGCCTAGATGTTTAACAGTGTATCATTCTTTAAAGTCTGTAGCTGGTTGAGATAAGGTGATAGAGTGTTATATCCTCCTGGAAAAACTCTGGTGCATCCACAAGGAGTATTTCCACAAACTGCATTGGAAATGCGGACCACAGCATTGCCTGGTCATGACTGCTTTGTGCTAGCTTTTTGCTTTTGCCAGAGTCGCATTACCTTAGGTAAGTGTGAGATCTGAGGACCTTTAAAACAGGAGTGGTTCATTCCTCCACTGTCAATTTGGTTCCTTGCCTTGTGCCAGCCAGTCTGGGTCATTGCTGTGTAACACATAAAAGCCCCTCTTTTTCCTAGAGCTTGAAGGGTTTTTGGAAAGGTGGGCATGTGGGCTTTTAGATCAATACTCATTTTCTTTATTAACTTTATCATGTTTCAATGTTACATTAAGATTTTTTTTTTTTTAAGTGAAAAAACCAAACCAGAGGGAATTGTTGCAGAACTATTTCCTTCCCCCTTTGCTTCTACTTTGCCAGTCCAACACAGAGAGCTGATCTTGTATCAAGGACATTTCTTTTTCAGAACTCCTGTTATCCTACATCACCCATAGAGGACATCATGTTATGTTGTTTTTTCTCTTCTCAAGATTTCTGCTGCCATGTTGTTCTTGTTCGCTCTCCCATTCCAGTTCAGCCACTACATTAACTTTGTTTTGTGAGTAATATTCTGGAAAACTCTGCATTTCTGTAAGTGTGTATTCCTTAGGACACAAGGAGGGGGCACTAGGCAAGGCCATTGTGGCAAAGCCAGCTCAGGCTCAGCTTTGCCCTTGTCAAGACAGTGTTGTGGTGGTGCAACAGAATTTCAGCAAGTTTAAAGGTTACTTTTACTCACTTATAAAATCTATCTGGGCAAAAGGAAAAGTTGTTTTGCTTTGCTTTCTCCAGGTGATGGCAGCAGTTCCTCCTCTTCCCTTATTCTCTCCTCAAAATACAATCTTCCAAAAAATCCTCTAACAGGAAAATACGCAGAAACAAAATAACAACATGCAAACCTGCAGATGTTTATAAAGCATGGATTGCAAATATGGTAGGGTATTGTGTGAAGTGGTCATAGCAATATGGCTGGGGCAGTGCCATTAACAATAATTTAATATCAGGGGGAGTCCAAGTAATAAATTGCTATGAACTGTGGAATGATTTCATCTGGAAAGCCCTGCAGAAATTATTCCCAGTTACAGTACAGCTTTTCCCTGCACAGCGTAGTTGTATGTCCTACAGTGGTATCTAGATCCCCTTTTTTCCTGTGTGATCTGTGTCCATACCAGCTCTCTCAGAAGGGTATTTTTGTGCCAACGGAGTGTGGTCACTTGTGATGCTGTTTCTCATAAGAAAGGTGAAGTGGGAAGCCTCATTGTTCTTCTCCCTTGACTGAAGAAAGGACTCCAGTCTTCACTGCTTTACCAACGTAGTGTGTGATTTATTTATTAGATACTCAGTGTTCCTTTTGCTTTTGTAGGGCTGCTTCAAGCCAAAGAGTTAGGGCTGCAGGTGTTCCATGCTGGCACAACACTGAAGGATGGCAGAGTGGTTACAAGTGGTGGCAGAGTCCTCTCCATTACTGCTGTTAAGGAGGATCTGATAACAGCACTGGGAGAAGCCAACAGGGGAGCAGCAGCAATACGTTTCAAGGGTGCCACTTACAGGAGAGACATTGGACATCGGGGTATTCGACTTCTCAAACAGTCTCTGTATGTAAGCAAAGGCACTAGTAGAAGTTGATACTAGCCCAAAGTTATATCTGTTATTACCCTTTGTGTGATGAATGATGATCTATGCAGAAAACGTAGCTATTGCTGCTAGCATGTCCTTTTCTCCCTGCAGGGGTTTGATATACAAAGAGAGATGTGTGGAAGCTGTAACCAGTGATGTTTTGTTTTACCAGCTGAAAAGATCAATTGTAAGTCGTACCAGATCAGGTAAGATTAGGAAAAAGAATCTTTGAATTTCCTCAGTATAGCAAATAAGACCAGAACTTTTTTTTTCCCCAGGAGTTGAGTAGACAGTCTCTTGGCACTGAAACTGAGTTTGAGATACTGGGCTGGTGTCACTGTGAAAAACGAAAACTCATTTCTTTCTCATTCCTCCTTATATCTTACTTAAAAGATAGTTGGCTTATCATGAGAATGATTGCACTTCTTCAAGGGTAGTAAGGGTAGTTTAGTGAACAGATTAACTCTTGGATTCATTGAATGATTTTGGACAGAAGTCATCCTACCAGCTGTATGTATGAGCACAAAGCCCAAACAATTTTTAGGACTCTATTTGCCTCTTTACTCTTAGTAGTGATCTATTGAGGAAAATTTCTTCTTCTTCTTTTTTTTTTTTTTTAGCCCTTAGGAAAAAAAAACAAAAAAAAACCCAAAAAAGCAAAAGAGCTGTTAAAATTCAACAGCACCATGACATATATGACTTTAGGGTCCAAGCTTCATAAAGCTATGTGTGATTTGTATGTTTTGTTTTGTCCAAGAAATCATTATCTGCAATACTTGCTTGGTGCATGCTTTAGGTCTTTTTATTTCCCTTAAAAACAATCCTTTACATATTTGTATTTGGCAGGCAGTCATTCAGAAGTAAGAGGCTTTGCTGGTTTCTTTGATTTAAAAGCATCTGGTTATGATGATCCTATCCTGGTATCTCAAACTAAAGGCCTTGGACCTAAACTTCAGGTAATTTGCAGCTTGACTGTAGCAAAGCTCATGTTATCTCCCAAGACTGTTTTAAGTGCCACAACCAGTTGCACCATCTGCACCCTTCTGAGCATTACAAATACACCCCAAATCCAGTGAAGTAGTCAGTTGAACTTTATAGATAATCGTTTGGGCAAAATGTGCACATATGTCATTGAGAATGTGGAGATTCTGGATATTTTGTGATGATAATAAAACATTTAGTCATGCACTTGAGGAACTAAGAATCAGAATTTCTGCTGGGAAATCCATTGGCTTTGAGAAGGGTCAGTTCTGGTACAGAAAAGTGCTGAAATTATTATTGTCAGTCTGAGTTTAATAAATTGTCTGCAGAGATAGCATGATTACTTCTGTCAGGTCAGTGGGTGAAAAAAAAGATTTATTATTATTTTTTAAATTCAGTAGCAGCCTTCCTGAGGTTTGATAACGTTTTACTCTATAGAAGACCTGCCTATGAAGGAAGCTTATAAACCAGGCCTATGTTCTCCATGCAGTGAGGTAGCTGGACCAAAAGACTTCTCGTGGATGGTGGGGGTGGAGAATCTCATTCCTTGTCAACGTGCAGATGAACAAAACACTGTTTAATGAAATTGCTTCCATTTTGCTGTGTAGCCCAGGGAAATCAGTGGGCATTGCAGAACAGACAGTAATGTTTAAGCAACCTAGTATTATTTATGGAAATTGCTAGGATGTTCTGTAGGTTGGATTTCCCAAGAATTCATAATTTAAGGTACCTCTTATGCCCTATTTGACATAATATTCCAAAATAAACAAACAAACAACCCCAGATAACAATTTATGAGTAGCAGTAGTTAGAATTTAAAAGAATGCTTTAAAAATATCTATTTATTTTCTCTTCAAGAAAATTAGCTGTTTTAATTTAAACTAGATTATCTACTAGTTATCTTCCACCTGTATCTTCTGTTGTGATGCTTATCAAGGAAATGAAGATTTATCCTTATCTGATTACCATTTGAGTTTTCTGTATCTCCCATCAGCACTGCTGGTTCCTACCATGTTTTGCAGATTGCACAAGCGTGTAAGAGACATGACACCATAGGTCAGGACCTGGTTGCCTTGTGTGTTAATGACATCCTGGCTCAAGGAGCAGAGCCCCTTTTCTTTCTCATCTATTTTTCCTGTGGCAAACTTGATGTCAAAGTGACTGAAGCAATCAAAGAAGGAATAGCCGACGCATGCAGAAATGCAGGATGTGCTTTCCTAGGTATGAACACACCTCTTCTTTGGTATTTGAAGATTCTGATGTTAAAATGATTATTAGTGAATAGAGTTTATAGGCAGCTCTATTATACAGCATTAAAACATTTGGTTTCTTTTTTGGGGGAAAAAAAGGGCACAAAATCTTCTTGATTTATGAAACAAGTCAGCATGGAAAGATGATTTTTGCTTTTTGGATCCTGGGTCTCTCTTATCTATCCTTGTACAAAGATCAAAATTGTCCATGCCTTACACTCTTGAGGTGCAAACGTTTTCATTCCCGCTCTGATGTTCCTCATAGCAGAGAAGTGTCAGGTAAGTAGTGCAAAATGCAAAAAAGACACCTTTCTTCTTTCATTAACTTAATGAAGCTTTGTTTTGTTGAAGCTATGAGGTAAGAAACAGTGAACTTTTGAAAAGAGTCTGAATGTGCTGTTTAGGCTGTATGTCTCTATAGTTGTCCTGGATATGTTACCTATTTTAAGAGATGCTATGGATTTAAAGTTAACAGTGAAATATGTTTACAGCTCGTGCTGACTGCTTTTTACCCCCCATTTAGGCAGGGAGATTGCTGAGGTGACTAGCATGTATTCTTCTGGAGAGTATGACTTGGCTGGCTTTGTGGTTGGTGCAGTGGAGCGAGGGCAGATGCTTTTGGGTCTGCAGCAAGCTGATGAGGAGGATGTGTTTATTGGACTGGCCTCTTCTGGGATTCATGGCCGAGCCTTTACCATCATAAGGAAGATACTCTTAATGTCCTCCCTGCACTACTCCTCCCCAGCACCTGGCAGTTGTGGTGACAAGACTCTAGGTAAAACATCTTTCTCTGATGCAAGCCTCCAAATGGATCGTGCGTAGACGTTTTCATAACTAGGTGCTGCCAAGGGTTGTTTATTTCAACATGTTTATTAGTGTTAGTCAGTCTTTGGGATAGGTAGGTCTTGCTTCGTTAATTTTGGAGGAGTGGACCAGCACTGTTTGCTATTTACAAATCTGTCTGCCAGAAAGATCAAGCAGAACTAATTCAAAGAATCATTCCCATCAAAACACGTAATAATTTTTTTTAAAAAACTCTTTGAATTGACATTTTTGTTTGCAGGAGATGTATTGCTGACTCCAGCAAAGCTGTACAGTCCATCTTTGCTGCCTGTTCTTCGCTCCGGGCATGTGAAGTCTTTTGTCTTTATTGCTGAGGAAGGGTTGCTGGAAGGCATCTCCCGAATCCTGCCAGACCATGTCAGTGCTGTCCTGGGTAAATATCAAATATGACTGTTTCTATTTGACAAAATTTATATTCCTACTCATTGAAACAATGAAAGAGAAGAAAGGAAGCTGCTCAAGTAGTCCAAAAAAGTCAGAAGTTGTTTTGTCATGTGGCTCTTTTATCTCTCATAGAAGAGATGTAGGTCATCTATAACTTTATCCTTATGGCTTATCGAGGATGAGCATGTTTCAATTTGCCATCATTTCCTATATGTTCTCAGAAAGCCTAGAAAGGCCTTGTCTTGCACAAATTATATCTAGAAACCTCTTACGTAAGCAGCACCCATAAGTTGACTGGAAGTGGGATCAGTGTCCTATTCAGGAAATATTCTTAAAATATTAAGAATTCACATGTATCAGCTCTTGTAATATACATCACTATATATAATATCAGGTGGGTAGTGCACATATGCTGATCAAGTACATTTTCCAATCTTTTTTTCAGATGCTCTTACCTGGAAGATGCCTGAGATCTTCTGCTGGCTCTATAAGGAAGGAAACCTCTCTGAGAAGGAGATGGCCCAGACATTCAATTGTGGGATTGGTGCAGTCTTGGTTGTGCAGAAGGAGTTGGCCCAGCATGTTCTCAGGGATGTACAGAGACATGAGGAAGCTTGGCTGATTGGGAAAGTTGTTCCCCCTTGTCACACAGGTAAGCAGATGTCCTAATGGGATATAAAGACACAAAAATCAAATAGTATAGTTTGACTGCAAGTGTTACAGATTCACCTGTCCTTCTTCCATTGAAGTGTACACTATTTACTTCTAACTTGATGAAGAAAAAATTGCTCTAGTGTGACTCTGTGAAGTGCTGAGCATCTCCTGGGGTACCTTTGTCCTTAAGTTCTGTAGGAACTGTTTTGTTGCAAATGATCTGTATGTAGTTCAAGTTTTTCTCTTGTGATTTCACTAGCTTAAGGCTACTTGATGCTTTCACATCTACATTTCATTATTAAATACCACGAGGAGGCTTGCTGAATGACATTATTTGAACAGTTTCTTACTTGATGACTGTCTGTAAGGACTCTTAACATTATTTAGTCTATTATATTCTAGCACAATTACAGTAATCAACACACTCCCTTTCCATCTCTATGGATCCCATGTAAAGACAGAGGATAGGCCACAGCTGTGTACAGTCACAGGTGATAATAAGAAGTCTTCATTCTGGTATATCCAATGATTATGTACAGCAAGACATGAGCTGGAATTCCTCTGGTTCCTGAACAGTTTGGGGAGCAGTTTTAGCAGTCAAAATGAAGTGTCAGTTCTGTCACCATCATTGTTAGTTTCATTTTGCAATATGAGAGAAAAGGAGAAGTGTAAAAGATGGGGATTATCCTTGAAAGTACTATGCCATATCTAGCCCTTTGCAGCCAATGGGTAGTACAAATGCATAACTAGTGTGATTTGTTTATTTAATTAGTATCCATTTTTGTAGTTCAGTTGGTGCTAGCATAAATTTATTGCTGATAGGTTTTCTCTTAACTGAAATTTATGATTAGTGAACTATGCGAAGTAATTTTAGAAGGGAAAGTAAGATCAAAAATGTTTTATTTTTAATGTTTTCTGCACATATTTGGAGGAGGTTCTCACATCAAAGTTGAGAATCTTCTTGAAGCTCTGCAGCTGAGCAGCCCCCAGCATCTGCTGAATAACACTGTTGTAGAGAGTCAACAGCAGCCCAGAAAGAACAAAGTTAAAGTAGCTGTTCTCGTCTCTGGAACAGGTGAGATTTTGTTTATCATTGCACAGAGAAATGTTCATACAAAGAGAGGTGAATTCAACCCTGGTATAAATGCATCTTCCTTGACTTTTTTTGGTAGTCTATGGAGTCTTCTGAAAACAGGCTATATTTTGACTGGGATTCAATGTGTGCTTAACAAATGAGATTTATTAGTGCATAAATTGCTTTGTCCTCTTCCATTTGTGCATGTGTTGAAACTAAGATTTTTATTAGATAAACAAAACTGAGAGTCCCTTCTCAATTATACAGATGCTTATCCGTTTCATTAATGTTTGCTGTCTTTCCATTTGAGGCACAAATCTTGCTGCACTCATCAATTACACAAAAGAACCAGGCAGCTGTGCTCAAGTTGTTCTTGTCATCTCCAGCAAGTCTGGTGTGGAAGAACTACGAAATGCAGCCCGTGCTGGAATTCCCACCAGGGTAAAAGCACATATTTCCTTTCTTCTATACCCCCACCTCACACCTATTGAATCTGTAGACCTTTAATATAAAGCTTGGTAAAAATTCATGTTTCACATTAGTTTCAACCTTTTATGTAGATAAGTGAGTGTAGCACAAATGTATTGAAGTCATCAGTAGGGACAAAGCTGGAAGTTCTGTGGACCTTATACAGCACTCAGTGGAGGCTGTGAGCATGTTTCCTGTCTCTTCAGTGGATGCTTCAGTCCAGGTTATGAAGGGACTTAAAATAAGCATGTGCCTGCACTTGAAAGTGTGCTTTAATCTCACGGAAATGAGTGTGCTTACATTCTACTCTTGCAAGCTTTGATGATTTAGATCTAAAACTGTAGCCCACGCATCTTACAACTGTAACAGAATCAGCAGGACTTCAGGCTCTGTGAAAAATATAAGCATGTTCTCTCATTGGCTCATCCTTTCTTAGAAAGACCTTTGCCTCATGTGCACAGTCAGTTTCAGCAGCACTATCTAAGAATCTTCTGCTTTTGGTTTGACCTCAAATTGTGTCAAGGGAGGTTCAGGTTGGATGTTAGGAACAACTTCTGTTCAGCAAGAGCAGTGAGGCAGTGGCACAGGCTGCCCAGGGAGGTGGTGGAGTCGCCATCCCTGGAGGTGTTCAAGAGCCGTGTGGATGTGGCACTGAGGGATGTGGGCAGTGGGCATGGTGGAGGTGCACTGACAGTTGCACTAGGTCATCTTAGAGGTCTTTTCCAACCTTCATGATTCTATGATTCTATGATAGTGTAGAAGGTAGCTATTGAAAACATTGAACAACTTGTGATTTCAAATGCAGCCCACCAGGAACTCCTCTGTCTAGTGTTTGATGATTTGGAGCAGTTATCATATTTGTACAGCCATGCACAGATGGGATTAAATGCTGTTAGAGGCTCCCCATCCATTAAAAAGTTTTCAACAACTTCCTCAGCAGCTGAATTGGATCCACATTACTTTTTTTTTTCTGGCAGTATAAAGACTCTGGCAAGAGAAAGGAGAAAAAAATCTACATGGTGTCAAAAATCATTCACATTTTCCTAGGTAAGAGCATGACAGCTCTGTCAGGACCTTATTTGAATGTCTTTGTGAACAGTGAGAAATAGTCAGGAATCAACATGTACTTGGGGACCCGGAGATAAGTGGTTGAGTAGAATTAAAACAAAACTTCACTCCTCTTCTTACATGGAATTTCTGGTCATTTTGTTGTCTTTCTGGATAAATACATTTCAGTATGCAGCTATAGACTGATTGATGGTGATGTTGATTTTACTTCAGTCTTTGGCCAGGCATTCTGGAGATGTCTTCCTTATTTTTGTCTTATCCATGTTTCTCTTTTCATTTGGCTTTTCTTAATCCAGATTTTATATGTATATTACAGCATGTTGTGAGAAGCAGCCTGTGTTAACTAGCAAATGATTGGGATGTTCCCAGAAATGCTTATATAAATCACAAGTATCCAGAATAATGTGCAAGTTCATACCTCTTTAAGTCTTTGAGTGACCTGGAATGAATATGTTTTATTTTTTCTTTGTTGCTCAAGAAACTACTCTCATTCACATGAAGTTACTTCTTTGGTATGCTTTTTGATGTATTTTAATGTTTTAGGTGATTGATCACAAGTTATATGGGAGTCGCTCTGAATTTGACAGCACAATTGACCGAGTTCTTGAAGAATTTGCTGTTGAACTGATATGTCTTTCAGGATTTATGAGAATATTGTCCAGTCCTTTTCTCAGGAAATGGAAAGGTAAGAAATTACAACTCTGTAAAAAAGAAATTGGAACGAGATGCTTGGGCTTACCAGAATTACACAGTCGCAGTTCTTCATCTTTGGTTAAATCTCCCTCAGCCTTGATGACACTGAGGACTGGAATGTAAATCAGTGGGGCTGCCACATGCTTCTGTTCATTCCAGCCACCAGCTCTGACTGTGCATTGGCAGTGAAGTGTCCTGTGCTGGCACAATTACTGACACAGGGACAAAAAGCAGTGTCATGGAGTTTGTATATCTTCTTGCTGGAAAGAAGAAATGCCTGTGGAACAAGTAGAAGTTTGGTTTTCTATGCAGGTAGTGTAACCATCTTATTTTTCCAGGAGCTGTGCTGGAGAACCTCTTTTTGCTTTTAAACATGGAAATGTCCCGCTATGCTCTGACTGCTCTGGGGTCTGCTCTTTGAGCTCCTGAGGTGCTGAATGCTGTTTCGAAGTGGTGGTTACATCTCACTTTTATTTTCAAAGGAAATTCCATTCAGATTGATTTTTCTTTTTTCCTCTCACCCCGATCTTTAGGGAAAATTCTGAATGCTTCCCCATCACTTTTCCCACCAGTCAAGGCTGGAAATGCCCATCAGCACTCCCTCCCAACTGGATTCAAAGTCACTGGCTGCGCTGTGCATTTTGTCCTGGTGAGTGTCCTCTTTTCTAACAGTGATGAAAAGGAATTTGCGTTTTTTTTCCTCCCCTTTCTGAAGGCAGAAGCATGAAAAAGTGATAAGAATGTATAGAGATCTTAGGGTTATTTCCAATAAAACACAAAGTTTGCAGGAATTACTTTGCACAACTTTACTCTTTGTGTTTGGGGAGATCCTTTGCTGGCTCTGCCCCTTCACCACATTTTGCTTGCCTTGTTTCTGTCTTCTCACTCACTTATTTGTGGTTTCTCAAGGTCCTGCCTTTTCCTTTCATATTATGAACTTTACTTTTTTCCAGTTTCTCCTAACCACAGCAAGGTGCCCTCTAGGTCTTCTAGCCCATGTCTATCCCCACTCTACTCAGTACATGCAATGTATGTATTCCTAATGGAGGTGGCCCTCATACGTACTTATAGCCTCTTGCACACAACTGTGGTTGTGCTTACTTGAGGTATCTCGTGAGACTTTCTGTGTCCTGTCTTCATCATAGAATCACAGAAAGTTTTGGGTAGGAAGGGACCTTAAAGCCCACCCAGCCTCAACCCACTGCCATGGGCAGGGCTGCCACCCACCAGCTCAGGCTGCCTAGTCCCCCATCCAACCTGGCCTTGAACATCTTTTATAACCTCTCTGACAATGCAAACCAGCCTTTTCTAAGACTTCTTCCAATATTTCTGTTGTAGGAGGAATCTTGTCCAAAAGCAGTAATCTACCAGGAGCCAGTATCTGTGAAGGCAGACGACACTGAGGAGATGCTGTCAGAAAGGGTTAAGGAAGCTGAGTGCCGGGCTTTTCCCATCGCCCTGCAGCTAGTGGCCAGTGGGGCAGTGCAATTAGGAGCTGATGGTAAAACCTGCTGGAAACAAGAGAGGCAAAGTCCGTGTCTTCAAGAAGAGAAAAATGACTGCATTTCCTCTCTGGTGATGCCAGAGCCACAAGAAAATGATGTGGTGTAGCCAGGTTTTCCTTTCCTCCTTCCTTTCCACCATGTGCTTCTCTTTGCAGGTGTATTGATGTTCCAGCTTTCCATTCTGAGCTATGATCAGTTTTTCTGGGCTTGCACATTTAGTTACACTTAGTTTTCAAAACTGGCTGTGGGAGCCAAACTCATTTCAAATCTTGAATTTCTTTGTTATGCATCCAGGGATGGGACATCCACAACTTCTCTGGGCAATCTGTTCCAGCACCCTCTCAGTAAAAAATTTCCTCCTAACATTTAACCTAAATCTCCCCTCTTTTAATTTAGAGCCATTCCCCCTTGTCCTATCACTATCACTGTGTAAAGTTGGTCTCCCTCCTGAATATAAACTCCCTTCAAGTACTGGAAGGGCACAATGACGTCTCTCTGGGGTCTTCTCTAGGCTTATCATGCCCAGTTCTGTCAACCTTTCTTCATAGGAGAGGCGCTCCAGCCCTCTGATCATTTTCTGCCTGAAGAGGGTGTGTGATGGTGTTTCAAGTCACAAAGGAGTCAGTGAGGCCATATAGAGGAGAAGCAGCCCTGCTGGTCCCATCCTGTAGCGGCAAGGCCATGCCCACAACTCTCAGACCTCTGTGAAGCCACTGAAGTCCTGTGCTCCCTGAAGCTGTGGCACCACCAGCCACTCCTGCCAGCTGCGTTTCTCCTGCAAACTCAGTGTGGTCAGTGGCAAGCACCTCCAGTTGCCACTGCAGATATGCCTTCACTCTGACCCTGGTGAGGGTCTGAGGTAACTAAGAGCCAAGAATAAAGCAGCAGCACTGGATATCAGTCATATTTTTCAGTGTTTGCATTGGAAATCATGTATATTCATATATTCATTCTGGATTACTGTAACCAGCAGGGCCTTTGTGGGAGGGTAATGCAGAGCACATGGCATTCAGTAATTCAGCCTTCAACATGGTGAACTTTGTCCATCATCACTTCAAAATTACTGCTGCAGTCCTTTTGATATGGTGTTGTGCCTTTAAGTAGGCAAAAGTGAACATGGAAATTACTTTTGAAATGAAAATCTCTTTGTAGGCCCTTGTAACAAACAGACGTGTAGTGAGTTGCCAAAAAGAAGAGCTGATGACCAGCAAGGCAGGAGCTCTTCAGAAGGCAAAACAAAGTGAGATAAACCACCCTTCATGGATTATATTGCCAGTGCAGCGTTTAATAGTGCACAGCAAACATAAATCTTAACACTTCGCCCTATTCTTGGAAGGCACTGCACACAGATGCTCCCAGAACTTGGTGATAAAACTTCTGTATCTGGTGGTGTGGAAAATTGATTAGAAACTGTTACCAGATTTCAGGCATTTTTCTTCCTCCATCCATGAAATCAGCAGGACATCCCCAGCCCTACTTGCCATGTAGCCAGAGCTGACTTTCCTGGGGAGAGATCACTAACAACCATTAGATGCAGTGAAAAAAAAAGTTCTTGTTCTGGAAGTATGCATCCCATACTAGTAAGGGACATGCTGTGTAACTGCTGCTGGCTGTGTCAGGCTGTTTGAGAGCATGAGTCAGCTCCATTCAGAAACTCCTATTTATTTAATTAATGTGTATCTCAGTGGTGTTTCTGTGGAGGAGGAGGGAAGAGAAAGGGGAATTCCATTTCTTGCTGCATGCTGTGCATTTATGAACAGTAGTCTGTATTTGTCTTTTGCACTGCAGCAGCAGGAGCAAGGAGCTCAATGTAGGAGAAATAGGAAGAACTGTAACAAGGAGAGATGAACAAATCTTTATATATATATAGTATACATATATAGCTAATATTTATGATAAACATGTTGCTTATTTTGCTCTTGGCCTGTAGTTACTTCATGTTGTGTATTGTTTGGAATGCATAGCAAGCAGGATGGATGATGTTTCAAACCAAGCAAATAAATGGTTATAAAATTATAGAATGCAAGGTATTGTGCTCTGTAGTTCTCCATACTATCACCATCGTATCAAATACCCTTCTCCAATGGAGTTCATGGCATCCCTCTGAGACTGGGAGTGCTGGTAGTATTTTAATCTGGTAACTCAGGTCCACTTCACAACAGATTTTCATTTTATGGATTTGTAGAAATGCAGATAGGCGCTTAAATCCCATTTCTCATCAGTCTTAGACAGCAAAATACCTGAGTCTAGCTCAAGACGTCTCTGATGAATTGGGGTTTTGAATTTGGGGTTGCTACGCTGTCTGGTTTTGGCCTTCCTGGCACTGATGAAACTGCTTTTACCAATGTTACAACCGTTAACTGTGCAATTATTGGTAGTGATTTCACCCCTTGCAAAACAAGTAGCACCACGTGAGTTAAAATTTAAGTACGATTTCTTAAAAGCTGTGCTGTGTCATGGCTGATGAGCTGAGTTTGTGCAGACTGGATCCCAACCAGATCAGGATGCTCCCTGCACCTTTACCTTCTCTCTGCAACAGGCAGATTTCAATCTTTGGGGGCCATCTGCCTGTGGGATGACCCTTCTGTGGAAACGTAGACTCGTACAGATAAATGCTGTGCTGAAGCCTCAGCCTTTATTCTTTGTCTTCTACAGGTGAATTAGATTTGACCATGTAATTTTCCTCTGTATTCACCTGAGCTTTATCTTCAGTGACAAATGATGACAGGAATATTTTGTCAGCAAGTTTCTTTATCACCGACCATCTGGTCATGGCAACAGTAAGGTCACCACACTCTGGAATTTCACCTTAATCCTTGCATGTCTGTAACCTCTGAAACTGATTTACAGTTGTGGCATGGCAGATGAAGACAGATTCTGCTTCATAAATCCCTTCTTCAGTTTATACCCTTGGAAGGGAATTCCAAGGAAAAATATTGATACATTCAAATCACTAACATTATTAGACTTTTATTTCAAATCCAAATTGAGATTAGGACACAGAAGGGGAAACTGGTTTTCTCTGAGAGTAGTTCTAAAACATAGACAAGGAGCTGCAAGCAGATGCTTATGGTTTATATGGAAGAAAATTGATAATTTTAGTAAAAAAATTAAAGCATTTTCACAGCTATACTAAAAATTAAAAAGAAAACTGAGTGCTTTTTCACAATAATTCAACTGTGAAAAAGACTTTACTGTTTTCAGTTATAACATTTCCTGGGTTTGCATCAGCATTATTTTAAGTGAAAATATCATTCCCAGAATACAGGCACTTAACTTCAACAGAAGTTTTAAAGAATGTCTCACAAGCAGAGAATGCATTTTGTATCCAGTCCTAATTCCCTTTCTGCTCAGGCCAAAGCAGGCTCTGCTCTTTTGGCTCTGAACAGATCTCTGAGAGGAATTCACATATGGATTGATGGGGGAATCCCTGAAGGCAAATGGTCAGCAGAAGTTCAATTCTATTTGGTGTCTGACTGAGAGCAGGTTCAATATTTGAAGTCAGTGGATATGGCCAGAATCTGGGCCGCTTTGTGAAGAGAATACAGCGTGTGCGTTTTTCAACTATGACCTCCGTTTTGCTCAATGGATGCTCTTCAGCTGCCACATCCAAGGATCTACTTCCAGCAGATCTTGCCGGCTTCGCCCACCTGCACAGCCCCACTGGCAACGAGCTGCAGGGCAGCAGGGAAAGCCCGATGCTCCGCTTCCTTCACCCGCTCAGACAGGGTCTCCACTGTGTCACCAACCTTCACTGGAACTGCCTCTTGGAAAATGATTGCTCCAGCATCAACCTCCTCCTGTAAAAGCAATAACCAGAAAGTTGTGCGGTTGGAAAATGAAAGAGAGGAGCATGTATGTGTAACCATTACTGGAATCCAGCTGCTGCAGAGATTCGTTTGTCATTACTTTATTACAGGAAACATGAAATGAGGCGAAGGTGAGGAGTGCAGAGAAGATGCTGACACACAGGCCTGTGAGGAACTGACAGAAGCGTAGGTTGCAAAGAAAAAGGAGAAGTGAGTAACATTTCTGTCCAGAAAACAAAAGCCATGTTAACTGAGGACGTGACAGACTGGATTGGGCCGAGCGATGACATTTCAATTCAGAAAAGTGAATTAGCCAGCTCTGGCATAGAGCTAGACCATAGGACTGGCAGATCTCTCTTTTGCATGATAACGAGGCAGAGCTCGGCTGTTTGTTTGTGGCTTCTCATTGTCACACAGGGAAGAAGCGGTCATGTTATGGAGAAAGGAATGCAATTCTAACTAGAAAAAGAGAGAAAAACTCTTTTTTTCCAAGGAAAAGCCAAAGTCATGAAAACAGATTCCAGGAACAGTGGAAAAAAGGCTGATAATCTGAAGTATGCAGTTGAAGACTGGAAAAATAGTTACTGTCAACTCTGATAACCAAACAAGATGGAAAAAATCTCTCTAAACTGATACAAAGTACATCTTCCATGCTGAGATATCTCCGGCATTTGAATCCTCAGTTTTTGACTTTCGATCAGAGGGCTGGAGCACTTCTCCTATGGAGACAAGCAGAGAGAACTGGAGGTGCTCAAGGCCAGGTTGGATGGGGCCCTGGGCAGCCTGAGCTGGTGGGGGGCAGCCCTGCCCACAGCAGCGGTTGGGGCTGGGTGGGCTTTGAGGCCCCTACCAGCCTGAACCGTTCTATGATTCTAACATTAAGTTTTGCTGTTTCCACAAACACAGGATTACCTCTTAACAAATCTAAAATTTTTGTGCCACTTCCAATGTTTTTGTTTTGTTTTTTTCTTCTTGAAGGCAACAAATAAGGAAGGTTGTATGATAAAATATAAGAAGTTGGTACTGTTCTCTAGCAAAGATTTTAGGGTTAGTCAAGACAATATACAAACTATCACAGCCACTGCAACAGCCGAACTGGCAGCAGTAAGATACTTAAGGAAGAAGTTAACTAAGGTAAAGCTTTAACTCCTGTATAGACTATTCATTTCTAGTTCCTTTTCCGGGGACAGCAAACTAAAGCACTGTGTTGCCTAATAATGTTATGAATGAACAAAGGAGAAAAGGCAGTCAAGCAGGATACTGTAAGGGATTTCCACACAAGCTCCAAGGTGAAAATCTTAAGACCTGTCAATGATGAGGGGTGGAGGAAGGAAATACTTACAGCCACAAAGTGCACAGTACAGCCTGTTACTCGGACTCCAGCTTCCAGCACTAATTTGTGGGCATTTGCTCCCTTAAAAGAGGGCAGTAGGGATGGGTGGATATTCAATATTTTTCCTAGAAAAGAATAAGTGAGGTCATTGCCTTTTAGGATTCAGACTTATCAGTGTTGCAAGTATCAATAATCAACAGAGGAACAATACACATCTGTGAAAAAAATTTTTCTACGTATTGACTTTTGCACTTATGCTTATTTTTTAATATTTCTGCCAGATAATCAACTCAAAGCATTTCAGAATGTGTTGCTATTTCAGAAAATCAAAGACAGCAATCAGTTACAATGAACTCCACAGCTAAAGTATAGTTCTCCAGTGACTAATCATCAATATACACATATCTTTTTTCCATGGTTATCCTTTCTCTCCTTATGTTGTTCTCCTTCTTTCATCACAAGCACAATCCCTTCTTACAAACTCAATACCCCAAAGAAATTTGGTGCAGCTTCAAACTGAACAGACTCCTATGACAAGGCACAAATTCTTTAGCTCAGACCTCTCCTCCCCATCTGTTTTGGCTTAATGAAAGACAGCAGCTGCTCACAGAGGAGTCCTTCGCTCTGCCCTTCTGAAAAGCACCTGTCTACCACTACTACTGTCCAGGCACAAAGTTGGCTGGGAGATCCTGAAATTGATAATGTAACCTTTAATGCTCAATCAGGTGGGACTCTGCTTAGAACCCTGGGAAGCTTGTACCCTAACATTTTCCTTAAATGAGACAGCATATGCCTTAGCTCCTGCATAGCTGTACAGTGAGATACAGTAGCTTTAGGGTCTCACTTAGAGCAATGTCATCATTAAACCATCAGAATACCTTCTTTCTTCTAACACACTTTTCCTGTCTGCTTTTAATATGTCTGTGATAACTGTCCTGCCAAGTCTGGACTACAACGAAATCAAAAGGTGCTAAGCAGTGCTGGTTCTTCTCGTAGATTCAGTACAAACCCTTGCAAGATTAAAGAAATGACCATCAGCACTATTTATATCACAGTATGCTACGCCCACACTATCTCCACATGCCTCCTGCTTAGGCTGACTGTGTGTCATCGGGATTCACTGAACACCACCTAAATGCCAAGCAGTAAGGCTGAGCTGACATATGCTGGTGGAGGCAGCAGTGTACCGAAATAGAGGCATGTGGTTTTGTAATGTGAAATGAAGGCCATTGCTGGCAGCCCAATACAGAACCTGCATTCTCACTGCAAGGACTCATGCAGATTTTGACTTGCAAAATTTAGAGGCAATCGTATCAACTGATCTGTAACAATATCTCAAATGTCTTTTGTATCTCAAAAATACCCCTTTTTAATCATCAGCATCTTGAGCAAAAGAGCATGAGCATTTGCATCTTGAGCAAAAAAGTACTGAGGACTCTGAGGCGAAAATAATCCTCTGCACTTCTTTTGGAGTTTCCCCAGTTTTTCCTTAAATCAGCAACTAGTGGGCATGGTAGGGATGGGGTGAGGGTTGAACTAGGTGATTTAGAGGTCTTTTCCAACCTCAATGATTCTATGATTTTGTGGAGTGCTCTAAAAGAAAGTGGCTTTCTGTTTGCTTATTTCTTTTTATCCGTTTTTTTTCTGTTAGGATTCATAGTTAACATTTCAGGATCATTAAGCAAGAAGAGGAGTTTCACAACTAACTTTATGCTCTATGTCCTTGTAACTGCTGGAGAAAGGGAAAGTAACAGCTTTTAGGTGAGCAGCAGCACAAATGGACTGTTTCTGGACAGTTCAGAGTAGCAACAGCAGCTGTCTAGAACACAGACACCTGCATCCTGGTCTTCTGGACTCTATAATAGAGAGAGAAACAAAACCAACTGACCCAAAAAGTTAGTTGACAGCTTTAGCATAACACAAATTGCCTCCAAGGAATGCCTGTTTTTCAAGAGAGGTTTGAAAAGTAGTTGAGGTGTAAAAGGTAGATGTCACACCCAGAAGAAAACAACAGTCACCACGTGAACAACAGAGATGGCCCAAGAGCTGCGGGGTACAGCGTGACCGGCTGGCAACCAGTGTAAACATGCTTAAGTAACCATGACTAAGTCTGAAGTACAGCAATTAGTGAGAGAAATAGCTGCTTCTGCGTGATTCAGAACTTCCTGCATGAAACTGAAAGAGAAAAGATAAGGAATGTAACAGCTGGAGGAGGCAGAGGCACTATCAGCCCCTAACAAAGAAGAGCAAAATTGTAAAAGATGATAGAATCATAGACTGGTTTGGGTTGGAAGGGACCTTTAAGATCATCTAGTTCCAATCCCCTGCTATAGGCAGGGACTCCTCCCTGTAGACCAGGTTGCTCACAGTCCCATCCAGCCTGGCATTGAACACCTCCAGGGAGGAGACGTTCACAACATCTCTGGGCAACCTGTTCCAGTGTCTCATCATCCTCACAGTAAAAAAATTATTTCTAATATGTAGTCCAATAAAAAAAAAAAAAAAAGACTAGAATGAAGACAAGCAAACACCTCTGATGAACAAGAGCCATACAAAGTTTCACACAGCTCCCGGAATGCCTGACCAAAAGACTGAGATGTTAACAGGATCTACATATTGTTCTGCAGTTCAGCCTGCAGGTAATATGGGAGAGGAAGGATTTCTCCTTGGCTGAACACTCTCCTGCTCATAGTCAACACTTAACTGCTTGGGCAACAATGTGGCCCACACCTCATATCTGCAGAGGCCAAAAGCCTTCCTTTACAACGTTTTCCAGTAAATCAAAGACCACCATTTGAAGGTGGCTTCCTCAAGCTTCTGTGAAATGATAACAGAAGGAACTTTCTTTCTTTCACCACTTCCCTTACCGAATGTGAAAAGTCTCATTTCTTGCAAACTCAGAATTAATATAGTCTCTTTTCTATGTTTTTCCTTTTGTTTTTCCTTTTTTCCTGAGTATAATTTATAAAAAGCTTTTTTTTTTCTTTTCCTTTTCTTAAAATTCATACACAATTATTCAGCACTTACCTTCCCATTTCTTGACAAAAGGACCTGACAGTATTCGCATAAATCCAGCAAGGCAGATCAGCTCAACTGAGAATTCTTCAAGGACTCTGTCAACTGCACTGTCAAATTCAGTGCGACTTCCATACAGTTTATGGTCAATAACCTGTGATAATCCAAAAAAGGAAGAAACATGAGCATCGATTTAATTTAATATAAAAGCCATAAAAACAGGATGGAATGGTACTCGGGAGCAATTAGCAAAAAAGAAAAAACAACCAGTAAATCTCCACGTGGCTACAGTTAGATGCCTATACACAGCAAGAAGAACACTTCAAAAATGCATACAGCTAACAGACAAATAACCAGTCTTAATTCCTATAAACACAGAGTATTTATCAGAAAACTGAGCTTTATCTTATTAGGCCTACAGCTGCAGACCCCAGTGTTTGGATACAATTAAACTACAAATGCAGGTCATTAGGATAATCTGAAGTCTAAGAATGATTTCACCTTAAAATATGATTAGTGTTAAGTAATTTGCCACAGATTGTATCACAAAACGTTGAAAGAAAGGTCAATCACAACTATTTAAAAAGCCCTTACTGCTAAAGGACAGCATCATTGAATTATTTACTTCCCATCTAATATAGACTTCTTAATTTCAACAGGAATAAGGTGGTGCTACTTAACTTACTACATTTGTAGTCTTTTAAATAAAAAGTACCTGTTAATTCCTACAACATTTACCATGTTGGCACATTTAAGTATCATAAAGTAGTCTTGAAAAACCAGAACTAGTGAGCTGAAAAGGTGGCAGAGGGCACTAGGAATAGAGCCTAGCTCAACCTGGGCTGAACTCTACAGTGACACAATTAGGTAATAACTAGCAAAGCATGTACAACTCTATGCCTCTATTCTGTCACTCATCTTAACCACTGAGACAGCCCTTCAAGATGAAAGTGAGCAAGGGGGCCTAACCTTCCATATCATCTCTAGTTACTGCTGAAAAACGACTGTAAAATGCTCCTAAGTCAGAACAGTGGCATTTCCTATCTATAATGCAAAAGGCTACACAAATGGCAAAGCAATGCAGTGATGGATCCAGTGACACAAAGGGAATCACAGTTTGCTTTGAATGAATCCTGAAAAGCCTGAAGCAATGCCCAGAGAAACAATGGGACGTCTCATTAAGTTTGACCTCTCTTACTTCATTCAAATGCTTCTTCAGCATGTTACTTTAAATACAAGCTCAGATGAAATACCCTGCTACTTCAGTGCAAATTCACTACACTTAAATCAATGGTAAAGTTTAAACTGTAGAAGTTTTGCACTGGTTTAATACAGTGACCATTCCCAATCCCATCAGCATTAATAGCAGCATCTCTAAGAGGGAGAACAGGAAGTAATTTGCCCCCATGTTAGGTAGTTTGCTCAGGGGCACAAAGATCATGACAGAACAACAACAAAACACTAAGACTTTTTTTAATCATTATTTCACGGTACTTTTCTGATGTAGCCAGAGCTAATGAAGGTTAATTTTAAAAAGATGAGAAGTACTTACCCTTGTAGGAATACCAGCTCTTTCAGCTCTCCTTAGCCCCTCCACACCAGCTTTGTTAGAAACAACAAGAACTATTTCTGCAAAACTGGTGGGTTTCTTTGTGCTATTTATGAGGGCTTCCAGGTTTGTGCCTGAGTGAAAAAATAATTCATGAATATCAAGCTGTTCCTAGGGAATAAATATAGTTAACAGCTACAATAGGTTTTAAATAAGTGGCAATGTGAGTGAGACTCAATCAAAAAACCACCAATGTTAACAGTAATCTCTTATTTATTGACATTACTGGAAACTAAATCTGATACCTGCAGTCTACAGGGCTTTTACTAGCAATTAGCTATGTAAACTGTAGTTGCTGAAACTGTTCTGATGGTTTGCTTCTTAACAAGTGGGAATACTGGAAACTCTGGAAGTGGCTATGGGGCAAGAGAAAACTAATCTGTTTGTAAAATAATGCTGCTGTCCCAGTAGCAAAAAACAATAGCTGCCTGAACCTAGAGACAACAGAAATTTGTAGCTAAAATTAATACACGCAATTTATAGTTAGTTTGCTGCAGAGGGTAAAGATCATTTTGTTTCTGATTGAAATTAGGCTAAGGGCAAAATCTATGCTGCTTGTTACTGAGCACTGAAAGCCTTGTTAGAAAGTTATCAAAGCCACGATGCAGACTTTCACAGACTTCAAGAGATTCTGATTCTGAGTTAAAGTTCCTTTTTCAATACCCTTGTAAATAATGTAAACTCTCACCTGTTCCAGAGATAAGGACAGCAACCTTCACTTTGTTTGTTTGGATTTTGCCTTGGATATGGCTGTGCACAGACAGTGACCTATTTGCTTGCAAGGCTTGAAGCAGGTTATGGACTTTAACATGGGCAGAGCCTGAAGACATAGAAGGAAAAAAGAAAGTAAATAAAGACAGAAACACAGAGAGGAGGAAAATATCCATGAAAAGTCAACAGTGACACTGCTTTACTTCTCAATATTTATTTATAGTTCTGGTGACATTTGACATTGCTAAGCACATGTTTTACAGACTAAGACAGAAGTCACTAGGACTGACAATTTAATACCCTGTGCACAAAAGGCATGGAGGTGCCAATTAAGTGTTTGTCAGCTGAATGGCATGGAGAAGCATCAATGAAATAATTTAGTTTTTCGTTTTTATCAAGGAAAATAAAAATCCAGTAACCTTTTTGTAGAGGGACAACTTTCCCAATCAGCCAGGCTGCCTCGTGTTTCTGCACTTCCTTGAGCACTTGCTGAGCCAGCTCCTTCTGAACGACCAAAACTGCACCGATCCCACAATTAAATGTCCGAGTCATCTCCTCCTCAGAGAGGTTACCTTCCTTATGGAGCCAACAGAAGATTTCAGGAATCTTCCAGCTAAGAGCATCTGAAGAAAATTGAAAATACAGATGAAGAGTGGAAGGCACTACCTATGCACAAATACTAAAAGTACTGAGAGGCAAAATCTGGATGGAAAGTATAGACTAAGTCTCACAGCAGCGTTAGCGTGACTGAAATCAGTTTCAGATGCAGAGAAACAGCTTGTTTCTTCCTTTCCTTACTTAACATGACTAAGGAATAGGAATGAAGTCTCACTCAGAGAAAATTAATCATACCCCTGCACTTCAAACTATTAATGAATAATCCAAAATGGGTTGTAAAGCAGTCTTTGGAAAATCCTCCTCTTAGAGTTGACAACCCTGCTTCTGGACAAACTATTGTGCAAGAACAATATCCTTAAAAACTGTCACAAAAACCACAATTCTCCCAGTTCCAACAAGATAAGGGTGAATATACAGCATCACAAGAAATGCTTCTGGACTAGCCTCTCTAATGGAACTCCAAAGACATCAAGTTTCTTTCTTGTCACTTTATGTTTAGTAACGGAAGCATGCAATGGAAGTAATGGAAGCATGATTTACATACAGTTGTAGAAGTCAGAACTCTTTGATAGTTACAACCCAACTGAACACTGCATAACTTATAGTAAGTTGTTTACCTTTCCATATTTCACTTCCCTGTAAAAAGTGAAATAATATTTCTAGAATATCTGATGAAATTGTGATGAAGATTAATTGAAGTCCAGTGAATTTCAGGAGATCTACTCCAGCTGGTAACCATATCTGAATGCCCATCAATAACTTCACTAATGTCATGTAATTACAAATAATATACTGCAGGTTTTTGCAAATGATGACAGTTCACTCTGAGTTGCTTCCACACCTATATATGTTAACATGCAGACGTTTCTCAGCTTTTCTTTCTATCTCACCTAAAACGACACCAAAGGAGTCTGGGAGAACTCTGGGGATGTTTTCCAGCAAGCCTCCCCCAGTGATGTGTGCGAAAGCTTTCACATGGCCTGAGCGAAGGACAGGCAGCAGAGTCTTACTGTAGATCTTAGTAGGGGTTAACAACAGATTTCCTGTTGATGAAGGAAGATGAATGAAGACAATTACAATGCTGAAGAAAAAAAAGGGTTACTCAATATAAAATTGGGTAAACCTCAAAATACTAATTTGCTGGATAGAAGTGAGCACTGAATTACAGAGAAAAACAATGTCTACCTTTCAGTATACAATTAGTTATTTAGCTTTGTACTCTTTCCTGCATACATGATTACAGGAAACAAAAAAAAATGAGAACATGTTTGAGTAACTTTCTCAGTGCCTTAGAAAAATTACAAAAGCAAATGTACAGACAAGACAATTGTGTGAATTTTTGTGTTCAGAAGTTCAAGTGAAGAAACTGCATTAGAAATTAGTACCTAATGTCTGATCACCAGAGACGCCAACTTGAGAAGAGAAATCCAGCGATGACTTTTCAACAATCCTCCTTACAAGGCTGTACCCATTGCTGTGAACCCCAGAAGAAGAGACTCCAATAACCACATCTCCATCAGCAATTCTCTCCAGCTGGGGCAGCATTTGCCCTCGCTCTACTGCACCGACAGCAAAGCCTGCCAGGTCATACTCGCCGGGTGGATACATGCCTGGCATTTCGGCAGTTTCTCCTCCTGTGAGAACCAAATAAAAGATGAAGGGACTATTGGAAAACTATTGAAACCAGTGTGTATGCAGGTTTTCAATGTTTTAAACTCTTAAGACGTTAATAATCTGATTTTTTTAGTTAGATAAACAAACATCAGGAGTAATTAAAAACACAGCCCTTCAATTGAGCAAGCAATAACAAATTGTGAAAGAACATTTCCCCCCTCTCTCTGATGAGTATCAGATTGCTGTGTATTCACATTTTAAAATCGTAGCATATATTTAGAGCTTCCTATCTCCAAATCCTGCAAGATCTAATATTCCTCACTAAAAACTTACAAGATACAAGAAATTCATGAAAGAACCTCAAAAGCATGACATTTCTATCAGTTTTACTTGCTACCATAAAGATTTTATACATAACGTTATTCCAACTTCCAGTCATGCTTACAACCCTGGTATCATTGTCGTCTCAGTTCTACACAACTAAGGTTTATGGACTTTTCTGGGAGAAACCTCTAAAAGATGGGCTTTCTACCCATCCATGCAGCTGAAACAGTAATCCAGGCTATTGTCTTATGTTCCATTTTTAAGGCATCATTTTGTTTTGTTTTTAACAAAACCATGTTTTGTCTGGATTATGTTATTCATAATGCAGTTTGAAAAGGTAATTTTCTAGGCTTACATGGAAGCGAGTAACATCACTCAAACAGCATTCTCACAATACACACACCAGCATTGGTTCCTTTAGTGCCCTTCGGGCATAAGCTGACAGTCTTTGCTGTTGAAGACCTGTGTTCAGCCTGTCATGTCTCATAGAGAGAGTAAATCATTGTATTTAATGCAGGAAAGGAGCATTTACTGCTCTCTGAAGTTTTCTGAACAGCCATCCTCACACCATTCCATCATTCCAGGGAGGAAATCAAAGCCATATCATTATTATCTTTTAAATTCTTTCACTGGTCCTGATGTCAGCAAGAAAAGAGCTTGAAAATGATTAAGTTGCCATTATATTATGACATCTGCCTAACATATTGACCAGTACCGTTTCAGTTTGTTTGTTTGCTAGATTTCATTCATTTTTCTATTTCAAAAAAGCATCTTTGAAGGGGTTACAAATTGCTTCTGAGCAATGGTGAAGCAATTTTGTGGATGTGACACGGAGGGATGTAGGCAATGGGCATGGTGGGAGTGGGCTGATGGTTGGACTGGGTGATCTTAGAGGCCTTTTCCAACCTTAATGAGTCTGTGACTCTAAGATTCAGGCTACAGAGAAACATTTCTGCCTTAGATACACAGTTACTGCACCCTCTTTGTACCCTCCCTTCGGATAGTGTCAGAAATTTGGGGAGTAAATCATGGTTGTTTTATGTATGAGTTCTGACTTCCTTTAATTTCAGCACACACAAAAAAAATATTTACTAACCCATTTGCAAAATTGAGATATTGTTTTCTGGTACTAATTTACAAATCTTTAAAGCCCTCTGCATTTTTCAAGTCTTCCAATTGGAAATAAAATCTTGAAATTTCAGTAAATGGTTTCATAGCAAGATTTCACCTAGCATGTACTTAAGCTGAAATATGAATGGTTTGATTATATTTGATAACCTGAGAGAACATTTTAAGACAAAACATAAAAGTGGCAAACACTTCATGCAGAAAAAAAACCAAACAACAGAACATAAATAGCTCCTTCTTCTAAGCTTGTAAACTCCATCAAAATAAGACATACTTGTTTAGAAACTACTTGTATCACCAGCTTTCTTAACAGAGTCAAAAAAGAACAAAGTACTAATTATCAGGTGGTACATAAAGTAAGATAATTGAACAGTCACTTTTATTCTCAAATCAAAAGCTTTTTTGAAAAAGTATGGTAATACTTCAAAGAATATTTTTTTATAAAAGAGAAAAAAAACCAACAGCCTTATTACAAGGAAACAACTTTCTGGGTTTCATTGCTTTGAAACTTTACCCTGTGTTATATTCCTTTCATAAATGAAAGGCTTATAGAAAACATGTCTTTCCCACTGACCTAGAAATATTTTTATTGGGTTGAACCGTTTTAAATGTATACTTTTAGGATTTATAAAGTAAAATTTTGTACTATTTTCCATGGATAACTAGACGACTGTATACCACAATATGTCATTTGTTAGTAAAATGTATTATGTACTTGTATTACAGGGCCTAAAAGGAAAATACTTAAATTTGAGTCTTAACAGCTTGGAATATGCTTTAATTTTTTGTTTTGTTTTTCTGTCTTGTGGTTAACATCTGCGTCTTAAGAACTGAGCTCCAACTCAAGTTTTTCCTGCATTTATGAAGACAATCTCTGGCTTTCCAGTTATATGATCTTGTGAGAATATACCGACAATGAAAGCTCTATTTTCCTGCCAAATTTGTTTAAAATCAGCCAAGAGGTTCAAAGGATATTATGTACACATACAGGGAGACATATATGCATAGTAACACGTACAAATCTTGTTTCTAGAGGAAAACTCTAAAATTTTCTCTAAGAAAAAGGATAAAAAAACAAGCCTATCTGTGTTTTCAAATTCACTTGAAAAATACAAAGAATTAAAATACATGAATTGTTAGTTTTCTAGGTACTTGTTATAGACTCAATGTTAAATAAAAACATATGAATAAGAAAACGTATATGCAACTTCCTGAGCAAATGGCAACATTTGTAAAGTACTGTCTCCTCTCAGTAGGCAGAAAACAAAGGCGTGACTTTTTTTTTTCAGCTCTAAGATTCTTTAGCAGACTAGGAAAACAAACATAATAAAACCAATTATAAAGAAATTGGATACAATTTTTCACTCCCTTCAAAGAAAAAGTGTGTCCATACCCAAAAGAGCACATCCTGCCTTTTGGCATGCTTCAGCTATTCCTGCAATGACACCCTGAGCCACTTCAACATCAAGTTTACCACAGGCAAAATAGTCAAGGAAGAAGAGGGGCTCTGCTCCTTGAGCCAGGATGTCATTGACACACATAGCAACCAGGTCTTGACCTATAGTGTCATGTTTCTTACACACTTGAGCAATCTGCAAAACACAGTGAGAGAATCTGTTGGTTAGATTTCAGAAACTCAAACACAAGCAAAGTCTGCAGTGGCAGGGGACAACTCATGCTCTTTCTCTAGAAGCTTTCTGAGGAGCAGCTTTAGCTAATAACACTTTTGTGTTTCTCTCTTACAGTTCTATTTTAGGAATTTGTACTTCCTTAGCAAGTATGAAAGGAACTTTATGGAAGGAGACTGAAGTGAAAAGGATTTCATCACAGTTTGTGTAAAAGCTATAGCAATCATATAGTTAAATGTTTTCGCTGTGAGTAATCTTCTCGAAGATTCTTCTACCTCAGTAAATTGGTGCACTGGCTATATACATCAAATAAAAATTAGCTACTTTAAGCTTCTTCTCAAGGATGGCTATTTACATGCCAAAATGCACAGTAAATTATTTTGCATGAAGAAGGCAATGAAATTTTTCATTCCCTTTTCAGAAATGTGTTTAAAAATATCTGTTTACAACTGATCTTTCGTGGTAAAAAACAGACAGCTGTGTGATCAAGCAATTTCCATTCTGCATGTCCATTTTCGCATTACCTTGAGTTTTGTGCCAACACCATCAGTTCCAGATACCAAGATAGGATCTTTATAACCAGCTGCTTTCAAATCAAAGAGGCCAGCAAATCCTCCAAGTTCTGCATTGCAGCCTGCCAGCCAGAGGGGAAAAAAAAAAAAAAAAAAGAGAGAGAAAATAGTAAACTTTTACTTTCATAGGTTTCTTCGGGATCTCTAACACATCAGCAAATTCTCTCTGAAATCTCTCAACATGACTTTGTCACCATGAAACTTTTCTCGGACATTTACAGCATCTTCATAGAGATACAGAATCTCCTAATTCTCTTAAGTTTGCTTTGTTTTTCCAACACTATTATCTAAAGCTAAAAATATAAAATTTTGTGATTGAACATTCAATAATGACAGTGACTGCTGCATTTAGTATTTTTCTGAAATACAGAAAAGGAACTGTTGTAACAGTCCTAAGCTTACTGCTTTGTAGGACAGAATGAATACTAAATATTTTCCAGTGGAAATCCCCTCTCTCTTTGTTACTAATGCCTATGGTACTTAAGAATCTCTGATCCAAAGACTGGTTATGATAGAGTAAATATGGTAATCTTAAAACCAAACTTGGTTAAATCCTAAGAGTGAAACAAATATGAGTGAAAAATACTATTAATGCTAACAGATGACTACTTCTACTAGTGCATATCTCCATATATTTTCCTCTTGACATATAGCTGAAATTATTTGAAGGTTCTCATATAATTTGAATTAAAAGGGATACATCATAAATGATTGCTATTTTAATTTTATCATAACACGAGATGTGCCTGATAGTACAAAAAAGGATGGGCTGATTCTGTTTTATATAAGCAAAAGATATATGACATCTATCTCAAGAAATAGATAGTATATCTGAAAGTATTGGTGAAGAATTCAACATCTTGTATCACTTGTATTTTTTTCTAAACATTTATCTACAAAAATTGTATAGCTATATAAGCAAAAATGAATAATCCACATAATCAAAGTAGGACTTTTTACTTGCATTTGCCTTTTTTGAGTAATGAATCATATTTTCTAATGCCGTTAATACATAAGACATTTGGGAGATATATTTTAGAGTCATTTGACAAGAAAACCTGTAATCTTAAGGAGCTATATTTTGAAGAAATCACAGGCATTAGGTTACTTACCACTACTATTTCTAGTGTAATCTAGACCTACATAGAATACATAAGTATTTGGATCAAGATGATAACCCCAGTTACTGTGAACCAACTGAAACAGAAATAAAAGTCCATCTCTTACCAGATCGTGACGTGGCTGCAGCTAGAGGTTTAATTTTCTGAACCAAAATATTCCCTGCTGCGATGTCTACCCCACTGTTTTTGTAAGTCAGGCCTCTGAAAGAGTGTTAAAAAATGTTTCAACAACTGATTACTAAATGTATATACATGTATTTTAAAACAATATTTCTGTATTTGTATCATTGTTTCAATAAGGAGATTAGCCATTCAGAATCCTCTACTGCTGCCAGTGAAGTTTTTCAAGTATTCCTCTTTTCTTACTTTTACAATAACTTCAATCACATAAAATGATTTACTAAGTCTTATTCCACATAGAGTCGGTGACTCAAAGGTTAATCTTTTCCTGATTGGATCCTGACATCACACATATACCTGAAGAAAGGGACTATTAGACACACACACACACACAAAAAAAAAATCCCTCAGTAATGATGTAAGTGGATCTGATTTTGTAGGCTAGCACCATATAAGATCAAGGTCAAGTTAGCTTCTCTAAATCAAAGAATCAAATAAATTATTTCTCTGTGACACAGAGTTTTACAAATGTAGCTTAAAGCTGCCTCTCCTCATCACCTTGAGTGATACCATCACAAAAACATTTGCACCTCTTTTCTTTTTACATGCGTAGTACAAATGGCTGTATGTAACTTGCCTGTTCCCATATTCACAGTGGGACCTTTTCATTTTGGAGATGATGCAATTAATGACTAATACAGGTGTAGCAAAGCAACTACTGTAAAACAAAGACCTGTGCTACCAAGAAAATATGAAAAAATACTTGCACACACATTGTATCACTGCTAAAAAATTTGCAAGAAGAAAATTATTATAAGCAGCAGCTGTTCAGTCTGTGAATAAGGCTCAATGAAATATCAGCTTTCAATAACAAGAGACAGAAGTCAGCCCCTTTCAGCCTGAACATAATCAATACTCTACATATTTTCACCTTATTTTGAAAAGCATGATTCTTTAAAAGGAGAACTGTTTTTTTAAATACTTATTAAATAAATCTTCTGTGTATTTTCACAGAGGGAAATGCGTAGGACTTCATCCTGCCAAGCTACCAAGGGAGGAGGGGTGCATCCCCAACCTCACAAAGCCAACCATCATGGCCTGTTCTTCCAATTTTAGGAGAGGAAACGATGTTGCAGACTCAAGGGCAGTGAAACAAGCACTGACTGTAGGCAGCTTCAAGGAAACTCTTGCATAAGGTAGGGATCATTGGCATAGATGCACTCCAGTCAAGAAACTTTGTGGCTCTGGCTCATGAGCTCAGTGCTTTAGAGAACTCTTTGTTACTTTCCTCTCACAGAAGGACAGTACAAACACAAATTACATATTTTCACACAAATTTCTCAAGAGATACAGAGTGCTTGAAAAGGAAGACCAGATAGGAACACCCTTGTTTATGTAGTATGTTTATTGATTATAATTTTACAATAAACTAATCAGCATACACTGTAACCAAAAATTAAAAACTTACCAGCATGCTTCATAGGCTACAAAATAGAAAATTATCAAAAGTTATGTTTTAAGCTATTTAGAGAACAAGCAGGCAGATACACCTTATATTAGCTGAAAATGAGTATAAAATCTTGCAAAAAAATTCTCAATAGCATCAGAAACAGAGCAGGACACATTGCTTTAAAAAAAAAAAAAAAAAAAAAAACTCTCTTAAGACTGTTAAACCAAATAATGTGAATAAAGAAGGAATAGTAATAAGAGTCATAAATTCTACCCAGGTTTCAACTGTTATAATGTATATATCACAACTAACTGCTTCTAAAGACTCTAAAATGACTTGACAGAATAGCTCTAAATTTGTTCATGTGTATTTTCCATGATAGTAACATCATATGTTTGGACAACCGTTCTAGAGCAAAAACGATGGTTGAGAGTATAAGGAACAGAAAACAGTTTTGTTTTCCAAAAAGACAGAACACAGATTAAAGGAACTTGCGCTTGCCATTGTAGCTTAACTCAGACTTGGGAAAATAAGAACATGAATCAAAGAGCTATCAAAAAAGCCTATTCCTTCATTGGCTGGTCTTGCTCAGACTGCCCACTAGGATGCCAGTTAAAACTTGTAGAGTTACGTATAATCAACATCCATTTATTAAATAGTGATGTCTTTAAGTCCCTTTTACACCAGTTGTTTCCATTTCAAGTATTTCAGATATCTACCTGGATTGACTCAGGAAAGCTATAGCTCGATAACCAATGTCCTTCCTATAAATGGCACCCTTGAAGTTTATGGCTGCTACTCCCTTGTTGGCTTCTTGCAGTGCTGTCATTAGATCTTCTTTAATAGCAGTTACTGTAAGGACTCTTCCTCCATTAGTCACCACTTTGCCATCCTTCAGGGCTGTGCCTGCGTGGAACACCTCCAGTCCTAGTTCTTTAGCCTTAGAAAGTCCTGTGATTGTTGTTTAATAAAATAAATCCAGGAGAAAAAAAAAAAAAAGGAGGTCATTAGAACATTTCTCTATTAAATACTCAACAATTACACTTTCTTGAAACAATCAAATTCAGTGTAATCGTTCTAGGGAGTACAAATAATCTTTTGAAGCTACATTTCGTGGAGAGATGAGTCTACTGCTTATATGCTCAGAGACACAGAAAGGTATTTAGCTGTGATGGATTTTATACTTCAGTGATACAGAGACCACAAAACATATCAGCATCAATATTATATAAGATAGGCCCAGAAGCACTTCACTGTAACACATGTTAAAGAAATGCTACAAAACTTAACAATATGGTAAAGAGATTTTAAAACACTATGGGTGCACTACTAGTAGTCTTTAATATATGAAAATTCAGTTGACCCATAACCATAAGATCAGAAATTTCTATGAATCTGGGTAAAAGAGAGACTGGAGAGAGGGTGGGAGAGTAATCAAACTTCTGCAGTTTCTCTTGCTGTATTTACCTGTTATTTCCAAACCCTTCGGATACGTTCCTGGATACCCTTCGCTAGCCATGACCACAGTGACAGCTGCACTGTCTTCAAACCAGACAGGCATGGAACTGGACAACTTTTTATTGATAACTGCTTGCATAACTTCGTATAAATCACTTTTCAACAGTGGAAGAATCACCTACAAAAATATAAATTAGCTTTTTTTTTTTCTTTTCATTTTCTTCATGGAGCTTTAAAAACTATTACATCAACTGTAAAAATGAGCTTTCACATACTGTATTTTCACACTTATATACATCTTATGCATAATCTATGTACCTCTAACAAGACATCTCCTTAGAGATTACTTCTATGGATAAAATAACAGCTGTGTATGGGAAGGGAAAGGTAGAGGCCAAAGAAGCCTACTGTGCTCTGAAGAATGGAAAAAAGAGTTTTGTTCCACCTGTCAAGAGGGAAAAGGACATGTTTACTTTTTCAGTAAAGATGGGGGGGAAAAAAAAAGAGCATTAAATTTTGGAAAAGATATGGAAGTACTGAGATCACTCTTGTAACTCAGCTCACTCTTGTAACATCCGTATTTGAGTATAACCTGCTGAAATTTGGAATGGAACAAGTTAATAACAGACTTTCTATCTTGAATCAACAATCAAATATTTTAAATCCCAGAGCAATTAGCTAATTATTAACCTGAAAGTTAATAAAGAATAATGGCAGACAGTATATCAGACATTTCTCCTCCCATGATGATAAACTGTACCTACAAAATCACTCACCTGACATTCTGGGTCACCAAATCTGCAGTTAAACTCTAGAACTTTAGGCCCATCTTTAGTAAGCATTAACCCAGCATAAAGCACACCTAGAATTAAAAAAACAAAAACAAAAATGATATGACCAACTGTATAGGTCATTAACACTTTAACTGCTGTTTCTTCTGCTCTACTTCATTTAACATCTCTCCCCTGTTAAGGAACAGGTATTGATTGATTTCAATTAACTACAAATCAAGTCATTGATGCTAAACCCCATTTCCAAATAAATCAAAGTCATCTCTCTAACTGGCAGTGTGAGTTAGGCCTACAAAGAGGACAAAGTAAAAAAGCTTTCTTCCCATTTATAATTAAAAACCCAAAACTTTAATACATACCAAGATAAGGGACACCTTCTTTCCTCATGCCATCAACAGTCTTCTGAAGAACAGTTTCTCTTATTTTCAGCAGTAAATCTTTAGAAATCTAAAACAACAGGATTAGATAACTGTAAAAAACAGAACATGATTTTTTCCCACTGTTATGGCAAGCATTTTGAAGAGCCAAGGAGAACACTTGGATGGTCTGTTGCTCTCTCCAACACATCACAAACAAGAAAAAGCTAATATTTTTTCCCTTCTTGGCAGACTACATACTACAGCATTAATACAACAGGTTGGATCTTTTCCAGTCATATTTCCATGCTTAGATCTACGTGTGCAAGTAGTCCCACTGGCTTCACAGGAACAAAACATCTGCAAAATCATAGTGGCATTCAGATAAGGCCTCCCCAAGGACAAATCATATATAGAAAGCACAGTAGTGATTTATCATATGTTGTTGAACAAAATTAATAGCTTTTTAAAGGAACAAAACTATCAATTTTTGAAATCCAAAGAGAAAAATAAATGGCCATAACATAGGTCAACAGAAAGCAAAGTAAATCCTTTTGCAAACAGACTATTTTCAGAACAGAAAACAAACTACTATGAGCTACAGCAAGAATTCATCATTAGCTTATCTTGACAAAAACAAAAATCATGGTTTAAGCACTCAGTTCTAATGATGAGTATTTCATAACACTTCATATCATAGAATCATTTAGGTTGGAAACGACCTTTAAGATTATCACATCCAATTGGAAAAAAAAACTAAATCAAAATACGAGGTTTCAGAAATAAAACTTCCATCTTGATAATCTAAAATGATTTGGTAGAAATAACATCCTCCATAGATAAATGAATTATCAAGTTACAGGCTTTAATTGACTTAGTTTGTTTTAGAAACACATTCAATCCACAAGATGCCACTGCCCCCATTGCTCTGTTTGCCATAGTGAAACTGAAAATCCAGATTGCTTTGATTACTAGAGCTGTAGCATGGTTGCAGCAAGACATCATCTTATTAAATTTGTACCTGAGGTGCTGGAGAATAAGCTCCCATCCCTCCAGTGTTAGGGCCTTCATCTCCATCCTTTAACCTCTTGTGGTCTTGCGCTGGGGGCATGGGAGCAATTGTTACACTATCAGTGAAACATAAGCACTGGAAAACAGGAAGAATAATTAAATTCCAAGCACATGACTAACATTTCATAAAGTGCAAAAAAGAGAAAATCTTTAATTTTTGATGTTGCAAAAATGCATAATTATGAGTACAAATTTTGTCTCCCTAATAAAACAAACTACAGCAATCCGAACGCTTTCCTCTTTTGCTCAGGAATCACAGAATGGCCAGGGTTGGAAGGGACCTCAAGGATCATGAATCTCCAACCCCCCTGTGACATGCAGGGCCACCAGCCTCCTCATTTAATGCTAGACCAGGCTGCCCAGGGCCCCATCCAACCTGGCCTTGAACACTTCCAGGGACGGGGCATCCACAACCTCTCTGGACAGCCTGTTCCAGCACTTCACTGCTCTCTCTGTAAAAAACTTCCCCCTGATGTCCAACCAAAATCTCCCCTCCTTCAACTTAAAACCATTTCCCCTAGTCCTGCAGTTATCTACCCTTGCAAAGAGTTGATTGCCTTCCCCTGTGTAGGCTCCCTTTAGGTACTGAAATACTGCAATGAGGTCATCCCGCAGCCTTCTTTTCTCCAGGCTAAATCATTGCCTCACTTTATAAGACCTTCCTGCAACAACCATCTTTAATACAGCATGTAGAAAATTATAAGATAACACCCATAGTTGTACTGAAAAGAAATACTCAAAAATTTTTTTAAAGTGTCTCTAAAATGCCCCACAGTGGAAGTTACTTCCTCACTCCTCCTCCCCTCTGCCCTGGAAACAAGGCATTACATTCCTTTGAAAACTTCCTTTTCCTTCCTGGCAAAACTCCATTTGCTTTTGCATTACTTATAAATTACTTATATATCAGCTGATTTGAAGCTCAATATCTTCGTAATAACACATCTGCTAGCATCTTATGTAACTGGATAATGATGCTCACTGTTTGGGCTTCTGATAGCACTACTCATAAAAACATTGTATAATGCTAATTAAAAGCCAACTCAAGAATTCCCTGGGAAATCCTAAGTGTGAAAACATGAAAAACTAGTATTTTGTGGAAGGTTAATTATTTGGACAGGCAAAATGAGTAGTATTTTTTTCTTTATTGTGATCAGTCATCTTAGGAAAAAGAATTTAATTTGCAAGCTTTCATTAATGTGTTCCATTACAGTAAATCTGCATGCATCCTAACAACAACACATTTTTTTAACAGAGAATGGAGATATGGATAACTCTTTAGTCCCTCACAAGGTCAAACCAACCAAGAAAGAATAAGAATGACAAACATCTACAAATCTAATTCTTTCATATCAAGCAGGAAACCAGATTATGCAGTGACTGGCAACAGTTAGAGATGATCGCTTACTTTACAAATGCCACCACCTCCAAGATCAAAGTTCATAACATCTAGTATAAGTCAATTGCAGCTCCGGGACTCGGGAACCTGAGATGGTATTTGGCTGTTCTACTTTGTGTGATGCCAGTGTCAAGTTCCCAAGCAACCTCAAAACCAAGCTCTAATTCTCCTTTTCTCCTTTACACTCCGCTAATAAAAATTATTTTTTAAATGAAGGAACAGAATCATTTTTAAATGAAATGTTCTCTCTCCACTTGCAAAGTAAATCAGTGATGTCAAAACATTTAGCAGCCTTTGGTTACATGCCCTTCAACCCTGGGTGTACTTCCACACTGCAATATTTCTGGCAATGAAACTGATTAAAGAGTGTCCTGCCTGCACCTGTCTCGCATTGCTTGTTCCTGTGCACCAAAGGAGTTACTGACCCCTTAAGATACAGTTCAATATGTTCCTTTAATCAGCAAAGATGATTAAAAAGGTTTTCATTTTTTCAGTCACTCCTTCTTCTGTTACTCTCACTTCACCACAGTTACTTATATCAATTCATGGGGCTGGACTAAAACCAGACCACAGAAAATATGCAAGTTGCTGCTGCTTTCCTTGAAAAAAGGTCTTCAGGCTATAGCCCTATGAACAAGTAAGTACTACAACTGAATCAAAGGCAAACAGCAGTGAGGGTGGAGGAAGAAGGAAGGGAAGAAACATTCTACACTGCCTTTGTTGCCAAAGAAATCATTACACAGAAGTACACACTCACACTGCATTACACTCAACATTTTTATGTTTTGATTTTTTTTCCTCTTGTGGTAACAGCAGATTACTGCTTGAGCTATTTACTATTCATAATTTGAATTATTTTAGCAGACTGCAGGAAGTTTGTTTCTTAACACATCTGCCTTTATTTAATAAAATGGTATTTATAAGCAGGTAACTGTTTTTAATGTAAATTATAAAATCCTTTAAATCCCTGCTGTATGTACTTGTCTGATGTTTTCTAAATAACTCAGAACATGTACAGTCTAAGTGCTACAGTGAGATGCATACTTACAGAAACTTCTTCTCCCTCAAGAAGTTCTTCAACAACAACAGTTTCCCCAGCTGTGCCAAAAGTTTTATCCTGCATTAAAAAGTCAATCTCTTCAGTCCCGTATTTCAGTCATTTTATAACAGTCAAACTGCAACAAGAGAACTAACACAGCAAGAAAGATGCAGCACAATTGAGACCATTAATCCAATCTCCATCCTGGATACGTCAGCAGCAATGGTAAAATCTTTCCCCTCTTATGTTTATCATTTAATAAGTGTAGCTGTTAGCTTGAATATTTGCAAGCTGCAGATGATAGGTACAACTTTCTCAGTAATTCCTCTTGCTCTACCTGCTGAAGTTTTCACCCACAATACTGAGAGTTATGGCAGTGACTGCCAACTCTGTAACCTAATCTGATCTTTTACTTAATAATAAAGTGTAGTTGTACAGAATACACTGGATGGGGAGCTGTATTTTTACATTCCGAGGCAAGGTTTCAACACTGTACATCTACCCAATTAAGAACCACAATAGTGCAGTGACAACATAATTTTGTATGTTTGTAAGACTAACACAATGAGGACTTTTTGTTCAAGACAGAACAAGACAACAGTCCAATAACCACACCCACAACAAGCTGTGACTGCAGACTGTATATTCTGGCCCTCAAAATACAAGTGTTTCAGATGACGTCTCATATAAATCAGCATTGTACCACTGAACCACAAGATACTATGCTCCAGACACTGGCTGAGGACCTACCCTGTATACATCTTATTTTTCAGCTCTATGTTTCTGACTGTTTAGATGGAACTGCTTCATTTTGGTTCCCTTCAGATTTTGATGCTAATTTATTTGTTAAACATCCTAACTAAACGTATACTTAAACTGAAATAATTCCACAGGAATTTTACTAAAGATTTAAGTGCTGTGTATCAGGAGTTTTAAAGCTGATGTTGCATGTAAGATACAGCTTAATTGCAGCATTAGTATTAGCACACTGTAGCACCTGCTTCACTGTAGCAGAGTCCCCAGAGACACAGAGAGATTAAAAGCAATCCATACTGAAATAAGTGCAGATCTTCAGTAGGAGCCATTTTATTTTAACCTACATGTGTTATACCTAGAAAGAGTACTCTGCCTCAAGCAACACGTATGACAGCTTTGTAGGTGTCCAAATAATGGATAAAATATTTGACTTCTGCTAGATAAATTCCTATTATATAGAAATAAAAGGAAAAAAAAAAGCATCCCAGATTTTGACATGGTTAACAACTTTTTTTTTTTTTTTTTTTTTTTTTTTTTTTTTGTGAGAACTCTTCCAATTGGTGCTTGGACATTTCTACTCACCTGCATGATTTCATTAACAGCTTTACAGGCTTCTTCTTTGTTTGATGCCACAATTACTCCTTTGCCAGCTGCCAGGCCACTGGCTTTTACAACTAAAGCAGGGAAGTTTGCACTTTAAAGACAGAGAAGAGAGATTCAACAGTAAACACTCTATATTCCAAATATATATTTTAAGCATTCTGAAAAATGCTGATGGTTGCAAAAGCAAAATACTCATCAGTATTACAATAATAATATTGTGTTACCAAGCAACAGACAAATAAAATGCAGGATTCTCTTCTTATGCTGTCCTGAGGATTTCTGCTTCCTGGTTTGTTTACCACTGATTTTCACTGTGGTTCTGAAAGGTTGCTTTCTTCAAATAATTTAATGTTGTAGCAATGTTGGGTCAGCTGGATTGTTCTCTGATAAGTAGACCACTATTTGCTGAGTAAGCCCACAAGCAAAATTTATACTCATGGAGGCAAGTACAAAAAATATAAAACATACTATGTCTTTCAGACTGGATTTCAGACTTTCAGATGGATTTCCATAGTTGACAGTCTGAAAAAAATAAAAACTTCTCCCATATTCGCTTGTAGTCTGAAGGCTGAACTTTTAATTTTCATTAAAAGAGCAACAAATAAGGAACCATTAAATTATTACTGAAATGTGATAGACAAGATTATCTTTTAAAACCTCTGTAGATATTCTATCACAGCTAAAAGTATGAATACATTGGTAAGAATTTGTTTGTTTTGGATAGCTGGCATACACTGCTGGGAAAAAAATTTCACTACAAAGAATTTTACCTGTTAATGAAGCTACATGCTGCTTTCGGATCAGTAAAAGATTTCCACCTTGCAGTTGGGATCCCATGACGATCCAAGAAGGATTTGGTAAAGCTCTTACTGGACTCCAGCTGAGCTGCTTTTGCCGTGGGACCAAAGCACCTTACTCCAGCTGCTGTCAAGTCATCAACAATTCCTAAAAACACCAACGCAGAATTTTTTTCAAATCACTAGACGATTTGTAAGTCATGTAGTTTAAATCTACAGACACATTAATTTGTTAGAGCAAGTATTCAGGAGTTATAAGCCATATTTATATTTACCCTGTATCTGTTTTACAAGATGGGCCTTACATGTATTTTTCACTCTAACCAAGATCAAGTATTCCTACAGTATTTGAGTTAAGAAGACCTGTTGCATTTTGTAAGATATCACAATCTTTCCTCATTTTATTACAGCTTTTAAGCAACTAGTTGACATTAGTATTTCACGAAGATAACAACTCTTGATCATGCAAAAGGATAAAGCTGAAATTATCATTGTTAAGATTTTTTGTTTTAACCTACCCCTAAATAATTATTATTATTTGAAAGAATGAAAATTTCACTGGAAAACCAATACCCTTCTTGAGTTTCTTGTATGGAAACACTTCGATACCTGTTTTACTAAACTCAAACACTTTGAAAGAAATTGAACAGTTAAGGATATTTTAACTGTTATATTTCTCATGCACTTTGAACTTTATTTTCATCACAGCACAATCCTGAATTTCAGGGAAACTGCCACAGAGAATTTGTTTCTTTTCCTGATGAAGATACTCAGATACTGTTGAATGGTGTGAAAAAGATGGGGACTAAAATTTACTTTTCTTCCTAAAGCAAGAAAGCTATCATTTTTAATGTTCTTTCTCTTACCAGCAGCAAGAGGAACCTCTGGACCAACCACAACCAGCCTGATCTCCTGATCTCTGCAGAACTGAGCAAGTGCAGCATGATTGCTGACTGAGACAGCTGTCAACGATAGAAAAGTATGGTAAGACTGCATTCACTACTGTTACTTGGCAGTTATTTATCATATAACCATAAAGTAGCGTTTTCACAAGTCTCACATTCTTGAATGGCAAGTCACTGGAATAGAGGCATGCACTAATATATAAATACTCAGAACAACACATGTACACATATGGAAAAAATCCAAACAAAACAAACCACTGAAACCCTAAGCAAAGGATGTAATTTGACATGCACTGTAAACCCATCTTGCTCTTGAAGGTGGAAAAAAAAGTTTCAGGTTTCCTTATACTGCCAACATGTTCTCATCTCTACAGACATCCTGTTTGCCAGCACAAGAAGCATCACAAAAAAGGCAAATGAAAAATAACTCACAGGCAAAACTGAAATAATAATAATAATAATAATAATAATAATAATAATAATAATAATAATGATAAAATTACTCAGCCAGTCTCCTCCCTGATTAGGTTCACCACAAAGCTTTACACATGTTCATGCCAGGACAGTGCAGGGGACAGGAAAAGTGGCTGCTGCTGGAACTGCAATTGCTTTTTACTTTTTCTTCATGTAGTGCCAGCTAAAAAATGCTACAATGAATGGTGACTTCACTGAAATAAAGCAAAATCTGAACACCTTTTCTTACATTAGTAAGGGAAGGTACTGTAATTATGGACAAAGATCTATTGGCAAGTTACAAAGATCTATAGGACAGTTCCATTTCTATACACAAGCACTTAATATGATAATTGTTGCAATGCCAAAAACAGTGTAAACAAAAAGTTTGCTTGAAAGACCATAATGTCAAGTCTCTTGATAAAAAATTTGCGCAAAGGCAACACGTAATGCAAGTTCTACTACTTTATCAAAAAACAAATAAAGCCAAGGTCTGCAGAGGACTGGTACATGAACTCACAGAGTCAAAATGCTGTGAGCGTGGCTCAGCATGGATTGGCTGCCTGCACAGGGAGGAAACTGGAACATCAAAGTACAGATCTGCAAACAGAATGAAGTGCAGATCCTCCCTGTTGATGGAATACTTGCAGTTTTGTCTGTGAAGTCATACTAGAGACCACATTGGCAAGTATGTGAAGAACTGATGTCTTCTTCCAGTCAAGTTTCCAGAGAAGTGGAGGGAGAGAAATGAGAAGCAGTGATAAAGCATTTTCTGTTAGACATATCTACACAATCATGTTGGTGCACACTTTTGCCATCCCATATGAATAAATTCTTCCCTTTCACAAGAGAAGCTGTTATTCTAAGGTGACATAAAAGCAACTATCTGAAACTTCTCTTTTGATTGTAGATTTGTCCCATTTAGGTGGAGTGGTGGGGAATAAAAGATTAAATGCTAATAAGAACTACCTCCTTGAAAACCATTCAACAGTTCAATTACTTTGTTCCATGAAGAGTTGTAAGTAAGGAATGAAAGGCCTCTGAGACCTCTGTGCAATCTATCCCAATTGACTTCTGCCTCGCAAGAGAGCAAAACCAAAAGCATAACACACTTGGCTTTACAGTACTGGTTAACATAAAGGTCAATATTGTCTTTCAGTCCCACATGGCTGTTGTGAAAGCAGTTCAAGAACAGCAAATCCCAGCCAAAGAAAATGGGAGCTCTGGTGAGCAACTGAAGAGGGTCAATCTCTGTTTCCTTGAGATCAAGCTACATGAAAGGGAACGGGGAAGGAGCCTGCAAGGTGATTGTGCCTGTCATCCCAAACTGCCTAGCCTCAGGCCTCATCTACTAGCAGTGTGAGGATGGACATGGTACAACATTTACATTATGTGGAAATAAACAGAAAGTAATAAACAGAAAGGAATAAGTCACAATATTAAGATGTAATTTTAACTTCTACTCCAAACACAAATTTCCACATGATGTAAACTGAAGGGAGACATCTCTATAGCAGTGGGTTTTTTCCCCCTCCAAATAACAGCCAGACATACATCTCAAATCAAACATAAGGAACTTGGACCAAGACTTTAAAGCTAGAGCATTTTAGTTAAAAGTATTAGCTAGCATGAGAGCTAAAATGCAGTGTTGTCAGGATGCTAAAAGACATTCACAGAACCACATATGTATATCTCAAAATTCAGCATGCCATTCTGTACAATTTTGGCACCAAATGTGCCCTGCTAGTTAAGTAAAAATGGAACATAAATCTATATTTAGCCATTCAACCCAAATCTGTCTGTACTGTCAGGAAAGATTACTGACTCAAATTAACCATGAAAACTTTTTTGTGACTTCAATAAAGGCAACATCTGAATAAATAAAATTTATTAGTAGTTTTAAGTTCACCTTTATATGTTTCAGAAATCATCTGAGAACTACAGCTGCAATAGTAATTAAAGGAAATCTCATGAACCATAGGGCAGGATGAACTTGCAGAGCCAAATCTTGCTTATACCAAAAAACAAAAACAATGGTAGCAGTTTCACTGACACTGCTGCTCAGGCTTATACAATATAATAAGGCTCACACACTTCTGTAAATCTGTTTTCTATCTTCTCCTCTCACTAAAAATCTAGGCTCCAGTGCTACCGTTAAAATGCCTGAGTAGATAAGACAAATCATTTCCTTTCAATTAAAAAAAATAGTCAACCTCTTCACAAATTCTAGATTCTTCCTGCCTCCCAGCTGGTTGAGAATGTCTTCCCTAAAGCACATACAAGGACACTGCTTGGAAAAAAAGATTTTAGTACATGTGGTAGATTTCATGGACCTGGCTCAAGCATTATTATGCACAAGTTCAAATATTTTGGATTGTTGAAAGTGCAGTGTATTTTATGCAATAACAAAGTGAGAGAAAAGTCCAACAGTTTTTAAAAACTAAGCAAACTGAAATTAACATTCACGGGCCATGCAGGCTGGCACAAACTCAAATTGGCACAAGTATAAAGATTTATATGTATATATATGTAAAGATTCTTCTGGGACAAGAAGGAAACATAAGAACATGACTTTCCTGTCCTGCTCTTGGTCTTTCTCCTGGGAGATCAAAAAACTAACTATGATGCTGTGCATGCTCAAAGAAATTATGGACAGGATTATTTAAGCTTTTTGTGATTAAGCATTCCAGTGGAATTAAATTTGATAATTATCTGTTGTATAAGAATTTGACATGAGATGGTAAAAATAAACTATTTTACTCACATAGATGTAAAAACTGGAGGCATATAATTTGTGTTCACATGTACACTGTGTTAATTTTAATTCTGTATGTTATCACGTGTTTTCAAGTGGAAAGTTAAGCTGCTTGCTTAAAGCACTCATTCAGGATCTGGTATACAAAGAACAGGAATTTCTGAGCAATTATCCCTGGTTTCGTTCTGATGCACCTCCAGGCAAGCACCTTAGACAAGTACTTTTCAAACACAGCATGTAATCTTGGATGTAATTTTGGATTTGAAAAACCTTAGGCGTGATTTTCAAAACTGATATGAACAGCTTCAGTTACAGCTGTCCAGTTACAACCAGTCAGTTAGAGTATACCTCATTTAGGCCGGAATCTCAAAACAAAAAGGCAGACAGTAGTAAAAGCAATTAAGAATAACGCTAACTTCCTAGGATCGCTAAAACAAAGACAAATGTTTCTAAGATGGGCCTTTTCAGGTATGAAAGTATTCTCATGAAAGGTTGTAAGGATCATAAGCTCTCACTGCGTCTCTGAGAACTAAGTGGTGCTTCAGACCCAAAGCAATGTGCTCTGCCACTGTCCCAGAAGTGCTGATGTTTGCTGCAAACACTTTTCAGCTGTTCACCAAACAGCTGCTGAACTGCACTGAATACCAAGACGAGCCACCAACCCTTCCCTGTGGGGGAACCACTACTTCTATCCCAAGACATACTTTTGCAGGAATTTACAGCAGGAAGATGGAGTTTTGGCTGCATACCCTACTCCAAAATCCAATGAATTAGCTAACAAAATTGAGATAAAATTAATTGAGTGGTGGTTGCATAAAGCTTTGCTCAGATACTTATTCTTAGCTGCATTTGTATGATCTTACATGTCCAAAACCTTCAAATTATAACAAACTGTTCACATTAACAATAAGATCAATTAATGGATTATATTCAATTAATGGAATAATTCACTCGTTTGGTTATCAGATTTTAAAACTTTTTACCTGAATTTGAAATTTTTCCATTGTTGGCTGTCCCTGCGTTTCCAGGAGCAACAAACACTTGTTTTACATGTGGGGACTGGGCCAGCTTCCAGGCCAATGCATGCTCTCTCCCTCCACTGCCGATCACAAGCACTCGATCAGCCATTAGTCTGCACAAAACCAAACACAAGCAACATCGCCAGAGTTAGAAGTGTGAGGCTAGAAAAGCAAGAGCTTCACGGAACGTTATGTTGGGTGCAAGGAACTCTGAGCAGTGCTGAATGTCACTTTGTTTCAGGCAATGATGTTTCTATTGGGGTTTGTTGGTTAAAAAAAAAACAAAAACAAAAACATATAACTGGAAGACATGCGTGGAAAGACATAACTGACTTAACGAGGTGTGATAGAAAATAAATGTCAAACACTGAAATAACCCACAGGGCTTTCTTGTTTTTCTTTCATCAGACTGGCAACTGTTCAGTGTTGTACAGAATCTGTGATATAGAAAAAAACTTTGACTGGTCAGGCTGTGATTTGTAACTCATACACACATCTGGTGAATACAAGCCTGCAAAAGACAAAGTCCTTGGTATTAATTAATTGTATTAATTGTATTGTCTTACAGAGTCAACAGAATTGAATTAGAACCTGAGACACTTTGGTGGAAATATTGGAAAAATGTCTGAATACTTCATGAAAGGGAAAGGTTAAGAGCAATGAGACAGGGTGATCAGCTCCACTCTTAACAGAATGAATTGCAGAATCATAGAATCCTTAAGAGTTGCAGGCCTCTGAAGTCCATCTAATTCCAACTCCCCTGCAATGAACTGGTTGCCCAGGACCTGATCCTGCCTAGCCTTGAAAGTCTCCAGGGATGGGGCATCAATCACAACGCCAGGCAACCTGAATGGGGAAGCAGAGACCTAACACAAAATCCCCTTGGGACTGAACAAGTCTTATAGGCTGTCCACAGTTTAACAAGGCAAAGTTTTGTTAGCCTTTGCATTTTTGAAGACAGGTTTACCTCTATGCATATTCTCTACATGTTTATTGGTGTAAGTCGCCTCAAAATTGCCATCTCAGAAATGATATCACACAACTAGCAGGGGAACAGAAGATTTCACTAACATTGGGGAAGAACACTGGAATTCAGAAAATAGTAAATAAAATAAGTACGTATTTCTTTATGTGGAGGTTCTTAAAAAACAAAGGCTAACTCACAGTGGTATTCAAAGAATAATCTGCTATAGTCATGTTAGTTCAACCAAGTACACAATACACACACAGATGATGGAACTGCACTGGTTAAGGTCAGAGTTTTATCAGCAGAAGGCAAGAGAAGCCTGGAGAAGCCATTCAGTGAGGCATGGAGTGAGCAGCTATAGACATGTGTCTGGTCCTAAACCCTGGAGTAGTGTTTATTACTTTCAAAAAAGTAGTCTAAAAGCTCTAAGTCACAACACAGGCAAAATAAGCATCGAAACACATAAAATGATTTCAAGCATCGCAAGTGTTGAAAACAAATACAGCTTTGTGTGGAAACCGGCATGATTGACTTTGAGGACTTTGCAATGACAGCGAAGTGATGCGACATGCCTCCCTGCTGCGCGAATCACCTCCCCTTTTTCAAGGGGAGGGACGTGGCCTTGGTAAGAGCCTGGGTTCCATGTAACACACAGCCTCCCTGTTGCAATACCAGCATACGTAGTGCCTAACCCTTGGTCACTGCCCCTTGACCTACGCTTGCCAGTGTGTGCAGAGCCCTCCAAGGCAGGCGTGGGGTAAGGCCTCACATCACTGCTGGAGCACACAGAGGCGGCAGCTCCCTTTGGGGTCAGAACTCCTGTGGGATGGTGAGAGAGCTAGCACAATGTATATCCTCAGCATGAGGGGAAACAAACCTACCTAAACCAGACTTCTAAGGGAAAAGTGATCTTACCAGAGGCATACCAGATGTTCAGCCAATTAATGGGGCAGGGCATGTGCTTCTCTCCCATCCCAGCTGCTAGTAAGACAGCTGACCCTCCCCCAGCTCCAGGAACTGCCCGGTTAGTTCTGTAGACCTCCCCCCCCCACAAACACACAGAAACCCAGCTGTCTTGAGAGCCTGGACTCCAAAGAAGATGGTTTCTGCTTTGAGGGCTTCTATGATGTGCATGCTGAGCCTTATTATTAAACCCAAGTCCTCCGTAACACAATGCAGGCCCCACACATTTTAGAATACACCCCCATGCCATTTCTTTATCTATTTTAACCCATTAACAAAGGAATGATTTGTTCAGAGAATGATAATTTTAGGCAAAACATCCAGTCAAAATAAAGACAAAAGAAACATGAATAAAAGGACAAAATACAGACAATCAGCACTGAGTTTTTAACGATGAACTAAACATATCAGAGTTAAAATTTAAGAGTACTTTCAGGTTGGGAGAGTCCAATAAGTTTCTATTAAAATGTTTGACAAAATACATACTGTAGAGTTACAATAAACTTCTTGGATTCCTTAAAATAAGAAAAAAATACCTGGGAATAAAAATTAACAGTTATGACAAACTATTTGGGACGCAAAGGTATGGTAAACCTCTTTGATATTGCAACTTAAGCAAAAAAAAAAGAAACAACAAACAACCGTATATATATATATATGTATATATAAAAGAATAAGAGGCTGGCTACATTGAAAGGATAAATTAGATGAAGACAGTAACCTAGGGCAAAAGAACGCTGTGTAAAAGAATAAACGTCATGTAGCAGACAGCTGTCCTACACTTAACCCAGCAAGCATGTTTCTAGTGCAGTTCACAGTCACCATTAAATAACAAGTTGAAATATACATGACAGCATTTTTTGCAGGTGTATCAGAACTGAGAGCAGAGTTTTAAACCAAAATGGAGAACATACTTACATTATCCTATGTGGTCTGAGGAAAGTAACACTCAGGAGTTCAGGAGTGAAAAGAGAAAGGAGAAGAGCAGCCTCTAGTTAAAATGTAGTGCCCTGCTCCAGTATTACCACCCATTGATAACCCTGCACGCCTAGCCATTGGACAAGTCATTTCAGGTGGAAAGCAGAACAGAAACTCACATACACATGGTTGAGAAACGAGCAGCAAAAACTTTACAGAGCAGAAGCAGCCCACTTTGTTGTTCCTGCACATTCAGAATAAATTCTGCCTCACTCAAATTATTTTTTGCAGCGGAAAAATATTCACTACTATTCACAGATCATAAATATCCTCTATTTAAAAATGATGCAGTGCATACGCCCATGAATATCAACAGCATGGAAGAATATGATGCACGATGCATATTTATGCTCCATTAAGCCTCCTACATAAAAATATTAGGAAATGCTTCAAGATCCAGTGAAACTGCTGTCAGCTGAAGTAAATCACCCTGCTTATAAATCAAACAGCCATTTTTCTTTCCTAAAAGTAGCATATTCTAATAGTTGTCAGCCAAAGCAAAAATATATAAAACATAAAATTTTATATGGAAGCAGTTAATGGAATAAATCATGTATCATATGTTCAAATGAAAAATAATCATTCTGTAATAAAATGTGAGAAAAAAAAAAGCATTTTGGCCATTTGTTTTATTTTCAGGAACTCAACTTATTTGTGCATCCCCCAAATGGTATCCTAGCAACTTTTGTTAAGGGATGCAGCTTGACAAGAACTTCTTCTGGTGGCAATTTCAGTTCAGGAAGCGCAAATAAAGAACTGGCAGCCTTTCTTTTTCACACTGACTGTAAAGATGCAGTGTAGGCCCTCCATTGCCCAGTAATATCACAGAATCATAGAATCCTTAAAGTCGGGAGGGACCTTTAAAGGTTCATCTAGTCCAACTACCCTGCTATGAACAGGGACATGCACAGCTAGTTCGGGTTGTCCAGGGCCTGGTAGAGCCTTGAAAGTTTCTAGGGACAACCTGTTTCAGTACTTCACCACCCTCAACTGTAAAAGACTTTTTCCTTATATCCAACCTACATCTCTCCTTTTTAATCTTGAAGCCATTTCCCCTTGTTCTATCACCATAAACCCCGCTAAACTCTCTGTCCCCTTCTTTTCTGTAGCTCCTCTTTAGATACTGAAAGGCTGCTATAAGGTCATCCTGGAGCCTTCTCCAAGCTGAACAGCCCCAGCTCTCATAGCCTGTCCTTGTATAAGACGTCCACCCCATGGATCGTTTTTGTGGCCATCCTCTGGATTTCTCCTGTGCTAAGAACTCCACATCCGGACACAGTACTCCGGGTGAGGCCACACCAGTGCAGAGCAGAGAAGCAGGATCACCTCTCTCACCCTGCTGGCCACACTTCTTTGTATGCAGTCCAGGATATGGTTGGCTTTCTGGGCTGTGAGGGCACATTGCTGGCTATGTCCAGCTTCTCACCCAACAGTACCCCAGGTACTTTTCAGCAGGGCAACACTCAATCTCCCAGCTTGTATTCGTAGTGAGTGTTGTCTTGACCCAGATGCAAGATCTTGCATTTGGATTTGTTGAACCTCACGAGGTTCACCTTGGCCCACTGCTCAAGGCTGTCTAAGTCCCTCTGGATGGCATCCTGTCCCTCTGGTGTGTCAACCACACCCCACAGGTCGATGTCATCGGCAACCTTGCTGAGGGCGCACTCCACCCCACTATCAATGTCACTGATGAATATCTTAAAGAGTATTGGTACCAGCACTGAGCCCTGGGGGACGCTGCTCGTCACTGATCTCCATCCAGACACTGAGTCACTGACCACCACTCTCTGAACGTGATGCTGCAGCCAGTTCTTCATCCACTGAAAGCCCACCCAGGGATATGTTGTCAAAGGCCTCACTGAAGTCCAGATAGACAACATTAGCGGCTCTTCTCTTATCCATCAATGCAGTGACACCATCATAAAAGGTCACAAAGTTGGTCAAACAGGATTTGCCCTTGGTGAAGCCATGCTGGTTCTCCAAAGTATTATGTACCTCCTCATTGGGGAATCAAACCCTGGCTTCCCATGTGACAGGAGGAGATGCCACTATACTAATGAGAAATTGTACATAACTGTCATTAAAAATGAAAAGTTCCAAAAAAAAGGGAAATTTAAAAAAAAAAAAAATTTTTACTTTGCCATTAACCCAGAAGTCAACAATTTGTTTTCAAATGACCAAAAGCCATTCACAAAGTAGACCAATTCTTCTATGAGAATTACCACACGTTTTTTTTTTGGAACACATATGTGAAATCCTTAAATCTTCTCATAAACAGGCAGAAGTCAATAAGAATCTAAAGCATGGTACATTATTACTGTAAGTAAACATCATCTACCTTTGTAAAGAAGGAAGGTATGTTTGTTTAAAAGATGTCTTAAAGACAGATGGCATTTCAAGCAAGGATCAGTTACCAAGTTCTTAGACAAAATAAGAACAGGAAAGCAAAAGAAAGCTAATTACTCTGAGTATCTGAGAGGAGAGGACATGAGATGCAGTAAAGGCAATTTCCAGAGCCTATTCCTGAAGTTGCCAGCTGCTAGTCAGCAGGGATGAGCATCAGCCTAGAGACCTTTGTCCTCCCCAAGGATGGGGCTCATTAAGAAGCTGGGCAACTCCTCCATGAGGTCAGGGCCTTTGGAGTGAAGAAAATAATGAGAACGGTGCAAAACCAACAATATATAACAGCTTTCCCATACTGGCTCCTACACAAGGCACAGGGAGATTTCAAATACATGCAGAAGTGAGACAAGACTACTAATTCAGTAGCTGCCCTTTCCCTAGTAACAGGGAAGGGACATGAGCCACCAGCTCCTATTGGAACTGATTCTGTGCCCAGACTGGGAAGTTAAACTGAGCTCCTTAGCTGTAGTGCAAAGCTTACAAAGATAGCTGTGTAAGTGTATGAATACAAACTCCTTAAGCTAAACCATAACACCACCCATCCCCATCTAAAAAGATTTCTGCCAGCTGAATTGATTAACTGTGCAATCAACCAATAACTAGGGGCACTAAAAGTAAAGAGATGGGACAACACAGATGGGCAGAAAGAGCTAAATGTCAAGACCTGCCTTTTAAGCTGCAGCAATCTACTGCATCACTGCACACCTAACATTTAATCTTATCCACTGCCTAATTAAAAGCTGCAATAATTTAACTTTTCAACACTGGGATTGTAGAAACCTGATGCAGGCTTTTTTATACAAAATATATGGTCCAAGCCCACAGTGTCTTAACTCCTACTTTTCCTAGAGGAAAGGTTACAAAACAGCTATAAAATGGCTTAGCAGTGATAGCTCTTAGTCCAAATATAGAGACTTCAAGCCTAGCATTACCAAGCCCATACCTCCCAGTGCCTGGAAAAAAGCTTTTCTCATCAAACTTTGGACTAAAGGAGAAAGTTCACTGTTTCTCTTGAAGTTAGGCAAAAGAATAAAAAGAAACTATGCCTCATAGGACACAGAAAGAACACAAAATCAAAGTGCTCTGCAATTCACATGCCGCTCCACAAACTGTTGCATGCCCTTTTTTTTTTTTTTCCACAATCAGTAACAGGATAAAATATTAAAAGAATGGCCTGGAGCAGAAGCCAAAACCTAGGACTTTCTCTTGTCAGTTTCAACAGGTGAGCTACTCTGTACTGCCCCCCTGGGATCTCCCACCCTTTACTTGGCTCCTGCACTTGCCAGCACACAGCCAAATCCCCTCAGACTGAACCCAGCTCTTCTGCTCTCTGAATTAACACTAATCAGAAGGCTGAAAATAGAGTCTGCTGCACATCATGGTGAATTCACAAAGATTTTCATACACGTGAGGTAAAGGCTATGAGTGCACAAAGATCTCAGTACACACAAGGAAAGCTCTCAGCTAGCCTTTTCAGAGAACCTTTGTCAGCTTCTGGACCCTGTTCAAGCTTGGATTAAAAAAAGAGAAGCTGAAATACGCAGGGTATAGGTTGACCTACTGGTGTTTCACAGCTGGCTTGTTCTGGTCCTTGCTACTGCAGCCTTGCTATGGGTCCTACTCTCTCCTCCACCTCCAGACTCTTGTTTGAGTGCCAAATGTTTGTCGCGAGGATCAGGAAGCCGATAATGCTGGAAAACTAACACCAAAACAGTAACTCAGAAAAGTCATAATTATAAAAAGGAAATTAACAGCACCCTCAGATCACTTGATTGTTGCAGGAGCCACAACACCCCTGGTAGCACACACCACTTCATGGTGTACCTTCTCACCTAACTGCCTATTTCACCTTTTACCTCAGTGTGCTTATAGTCCCAGGAACAGTCACATCAGGGAATGCAACTTGGTGAGGAAAGGATGTTTCTAACAGGGATCAGTTTCTTAAGTAAAGTCACTGTGCAAATTGTGCAGGCGATGCAAGGTGCAGAAACAAACAGCCACAATGCCTGAGCAGGCAGAATGGCCAAAACACAATGTAGCTGCAAGTTTTAACTAGGCTAGCATGTAACTTGCACTTGTGGAAACTGATGCTGCCTTTAAGCTAACATTTAATTTCCTCGGGCTTTAATACCAGAAAGAGTTGCTTAAAGATTTCAGAGATCCCTATAATCAGGTTTTTCATTTATGATCAACTTCTGGCCCCTAAAAGGCCTGAATCCTAATCAGGAATAAGCCATGGATCTTCCATGGCCTGAACTGAGAACCTTTGAGACAGGCACTATACTCCAACAGCCGGATTGTGCATTTCTTAGGCAAACCAAAATCAGGTTATCTCCCTAGTACAAATAAAGAGCTAACGGTGCTGTTATTCTCCCTGCCCCAAAGCACTAAATTTAGATGATTGAGACTGTGAGAAAGCTGAAAGCTCTCCATGTTTCCATAGAGGTCTGGAACTACTAATAGGAACTACTGTGAGAGAACCAGAAAGAACAGGGAGGCTGAGGTAAGGAACATCTTTTCTATTTTGGCTATAAACAATGAAGCACACTCAATCTGCTCATTAATTTCAGGCTTCCACAAGATGAATTACCAAAGGGAAAAAAAACAACAACAATAAAACAACCCAATATTCAAGTTGGTTGGTAGCCCCCAGCCTTGCAAACACCAGGGCTAGGAATTACAAGACAGCCAAAGTCCACAGCAAGAAAAGCCAAAAGTTGAATATTTACTTTAAAGCAAATATTTCACCTTTTTTTTTTTTTTTTTGGAAGCCAAACAGAGGGAAAAGCACATGAATAACAGCTGCGTGCACTTTACAATAATTTAAATTGCAGCATATTTAGAAAAGTCAGAAAACAAGTGCCCCCAAAGTACATTCGGGGAGGAGGCAGGCGTTTTAAATAAAAACCAGACAACCAGCAGCAGCTATCCCTCCACACCGCTCCTTATCGCAGCGTGAGGGAAGCGCAGGGCTCCAGGCATGGCCCAGACCCCGCCATTTTGCATCGCGGGCAGCACATGGCCCCGCCGCCGCCGCCGCCTCGCCCCTCGGCTTCTTCTCGGCGGTCAAGGCCCGGCCGAGGGTGGCTGACCCCGAGAGCGGGCTGCCTGCACGGCCCGCGCAGCCCGGCCTTCTGCAGAGCGAGAGAAACACTTACTTTCTTCTGGGGGATTTTAAGGATGGGGAAGGCGTGCTCCGCCGCGCCGCCCAAAACTACAGTACCCAGGGGGCGCCGCGTGGGCCCGGGGTGGGGGCTGAGGAGGGAAAGTAAAACTGTGGCTCGGAAACCAAGGAATGGGCTTTTGCTTTTAAATTTTTACGATCTAAAAATATCTTCATCTCCATCTCAGCGAGCTGCTGAGCACAGCAAGCGAGAGATCCATGTGAACAGCCGTACCTGCACGGAGATGACTGTATGGTTTTGCCTTGTGAGCGTGGCTCCAGAGTGCAAAGGTGTACTTTGCTAAGTTAGTAGGATGGTACTGTGCAAAGATTGAGTTTGTTTTTAGCCTTCTCAGCTAGAAATGCTGAATCCAGCTTTAAGTGCTGGATAGGAGCAGCCCTCTGGTTTGTATTAATGAAATCAAAGAGCGCTGGGCAACTTTTAGACAATACTTTAGCATAAAACTGTGCAACAACGCTGTAAAGAAAACAGATTTGATCTTTATGTTTGTTCTCCCCTGAGAATTTGTGTGAAAACCTTGTTCTTTGGAACTAGTTTATGAACTGCAGGTTTAATAAAGATTGTGTTCATGTTTTAGCACAACTTTGGTTCTTGTTTCCAAAAGGAACGCAAATAGATACTCTTAGAGTAGCACTGTCAGCTTCAGAACTGCTGTGAGTGAAGCCTGGTAACACTAGGCTTTCAAACTGAATGCAGAATGTATCAGGAACAACACCCTGGTGTGGCAAGATCCAAGTAAGTCTTCACTTAATTCATCAGAAGACGAATCAGCACCTGAGTAAATGTGTATAACTAAGGATATTTTTCTTATTTATCAGCAAATAAAATAAAAAATAAAGGAAGAATTACTTTCCTATGGGACTGTGGATCTTCCTTTCTACCAACAGTGACTTTTCTAGTTAACTGTTTTCTGTTCACTTTTAGGCAGCCAGAGCGAAAGATGCAGCATTCGTTAAAATTCCTCGCTGTTTTTTGTTGTGCTCTTCTCTTGTTGATAGAGGCCTACTCTGATGGGGCTATCCCTGTAGTTAAGCTACTTTGAATGAATTAACTTAGTTGAGAAGAGCTCAATTCCTGAAGACCACGTAAGGGAAATCTAGATGTATGAAATAGATCAAGTGAAGCATTTTTACTCTTTAGCTCATTGAATATCAGACATATTAATAATATCTAAATTCTATTAATGTTGGCATGGCATGAAAGGCAGGTACCATTAGTTGTAAAAATGCCTCTTAAATATAACTGCTTTGTGTTATAACTTGACATACAAGTTAGCAAATTGATCCCAATACTAAGCCTGTTATTTTCACTAAGTTCGTATTAAAGCAGGCCACTTCCCAGCAATACACAGTAAAAAACAATGCTGCTATTAAAGGGTCTTATTATTAAGCCACATTAAATTGGAGATTGATGTTGCAAATAGAAACCCAAGCAACAATTAAAAGTTTCCCCTAAGTTCTGAGGGTTTAAAAAAAAATGTATTTTAGATAAACTGACCCCCTCAGTTAGCACTTCAGGGAATGAGAAGAGAACCTATAGGGGTTGAAATGAGAGGGGGGGGCTTTCCAAGACTCAGAATGGCAAATAGTATTTGTACACATGTATACATGAGAATTGCTTTGGGAGCGGCAGGAGGGCACCCCCACAACGCCTGGACTGCAGCAAAACACCTCAGACGAGACGCAGCTTTCAGGCGCTCCGTATTCGGGACGAAGGGGGCATTCATTCCCCTCTCTTTCTTTGTTCCTTCTCCACCATCCCGCGGGGCGCCCGCCCGGCCCCGCCGCCAGCCCCCGGAGCACATGTGCGTGTCACAGCCGAGCTGCCCGGCCCGGCGGCGGCGGGGGAGGGCGCCTTTCGCATGGAGCCGTTCGCTGAGTGAGGGCAGCGCGGCGCCGGGCCCTGTGATGCAGCACTCGTGCGCGGGCAGGCCCCCCTGCTAGGCGCTGCCTGCGCGCTACACACGGGGCGGCGGAGGCGCGGGGCTTGGCCCCGCTCCATGGAGACCAATGGCATCGCTCCCACCCACCCCCACGGGCCCCGAGCCCGCCGGCACGCACAGCCACACGCCTCAGCCCACCATGGCCCCAACGCCGCCGCCGCTCGGGCCCTCGACGAGGTGAGTGGCTCCTCAGCGGCGGCCCGGCCGGCTCTCGCACCCGGAGGCGACCGCCATCGCGACGGGGGGAGCGCGCGGGGAGGGTGGGGGGGTGCGTGCGGCGCGAGGGGGGCCTGGAGGGCGGCCATCACGGAGCCCTCCGCCGCCCCCCTCCTTGCCGCTCTCCCCGGCGGCCGAGGCGCGGCGTTGCGGTTCGCGGGCTGCGAGAGACCGGCAACGGGCGGCGGGGGGTGCGCGTGTATATGCGCGTGGGGGAGTTCTGTGTGGCGACGGTTAACGGTTTTATTCGTTATGGCCGTTGGAGGGGGGGGATGGGGGGCAGGGCCGCGACCGTTCGGCGGGGCTATGTTTGTCGGTGGGGTCGGGAGAGGGGACTGTTGGCGGGCTGGGGTGGGGGGGGGAGGGTAAGTGCACCAACATGGCGGCGCGCTACCGCCGGGGGGAGGGGGAACGGCGGACTTCACTAAGACACGAGACAGCGCCCCCGCCCCCCCCCACCGGAAGTCAGCCAGGTCTGCCGCTCTATGGCTTTCGCTGAGTGCTAGAGCGACACTGCGGGCGCCCGCTGCAACCCGCCCCCTTCTGCGTTACGTCTCGCCGTGAGGGCAGCCAATAGCGTGAGGGCTCACAGCGAGGACGTCAGCGGGGGCGCTCGTCCGCTCGCTGCCGCGGTGCATTGTGGGATAGTGGAGGCCTCGCTTCTCGGCAGGAAGGAGCGGCGCGGGGGGGGCCCGGTGCGCTAACGCTGTTAACGCTGTCATGGCGACTAATATCGAGCAGATCTTTCGCTCTTTCGTGGTTAACAAATTCCGGGAGATCCAGGAAGAGCAGCAGCAGCAACAGCAGCACGGCGGGTAACGAGCCGCGTCGGGGGAAGAGGAGCGGCCTGGGCCGCTATCGCGCCTAGGCCTAGGGCGCGGGAGGAAGGAGGGGAAGGAGGGAGGGCCGAGTCGTGCGCGGGCTCCGCCTCGGGACGGCGTGACATGGACCGGGCCTGGTGCTCGCACGGCTCATATTAGCTGGGACGTGGCTGAGTCCGGGGGCTTGCGGCCTTGCAAACGCCTTCAGTAGCTGGGGGGTGTAGGGGCGGGCGAGCAGGCGTGCAGTATCTTTTTCATTTTCGCGGACGGGATTTCTGTGTTGGTCTCATGTTTGTGGATAGAGGGGGAAGGATGAGCATGGTTCGTTCGGTTCGTCTTGCTGTTCTTATTCCTTTTAACTTCACGCTATTGTTTTTCACAGCCTTATCTCGGAAAACAAGCAAAATGTGCTAGAAAAGATTGAGTGATGGGTGTTTGCTTTGGGAGTTGATGGGCATATATAGCTTCCAACGTAAAGCGTGGGGGCTTACTCATTAGAGGACACATTTTGCTCACAAGGTGTTCTGTTGAAAGTTAATTAAAAAGGAGGTGTTTCATTAAAAGTGTGGCATCTTTAGGAAGATAAAATGTTACATTGAAGGGCTCAGTGTTATAAATGTGTGTGAATTTAAAGGTCGAAAAAGGCTCAAAACTGCTTGTATTATGTTGATATTTTTTTTGGTTAGTGGAAAGGTAGAAGGCCAGCCCAATGGTGACACAATCCCAGCTGAGCAAGCCAACCCTTCAGATGACACTGTTGCTGGTGCTGGGAGTCGTCAGAATGATCAGATAGTGCAGAAAATAGAGGAAGTGCTCTCTGGAGCCCTTGATACAGAACTGCAGAGCAAATCAGGTAAATGAAAACACATTTGGCAAATACGTTCTTGTTAAGAAGGCTGTTGTAGTTCTTCAATCATTTTTACAGAGACAAAAAAGTACTTTTCAATGCTGCTTCTCTCACTGAGCTTCATCTGGCAATTTGTGTGTTTATTGTAATGTTTGTTAAGTATTTTTTTTGTCTACTGTGATTTATAACCACAAGTGAGCAGAGATACATAACTGTAAAAAATTAACAAGAAAAAAAAATCTTAACTTATGAAAGCATTACTTAGTGTAAAAATGTTAGTTTTCTGTCCATTGCAATAACAACAAAAAGTAATATCACCTAGAAAAAATATATAGAGAAAAATCTTTTTTTTTTATATACTGTGATTTATGCTTTGTTTTAAATATATCTGCCTTGAGGTCTTGATGTGCAGTTCTTACTAAAAAAGCTGGTATTGATGTGGATGGAAGGACTGTTTGTTGTGTTATTTTGCATCAGTATGTGAGATTATTTCTGAAAGTGTTTTATTAGGATCAGAACTGTGTGATTGATTAAATGTTCTGTCAGTAAGATGCTTGTTGTTTTAAAATGAATGAGGTGCTTACCTTTAAGCTGTAGGTACTCAAATCGCAGTATTCCAGATGTTAAGAAAAAGTTATGTAGCAGTCGCATATATCAGTCAATTACTGGATTTATTATTCAAAAAACTTGCTTTTGAGTATCCCTTTTGATGTGATTAGTCTTTTCTTTAAAATCTCCAAATCAAGACAGTCACTGAGATGAAAGGTGTAATTATTGCACTTATGGGTTTTTTTTTTTTGTTTGTTTTTGAATTTAAAATATAGGGAGTTTCTTTGTACTTGGTAAGTATAGTTCCAGACTGATTTTGTAAGTGGCAGTGTAGAAAATAGCGTCAGAAATCGTTTGTTTCAAAGATGTTATTTGCAACCTTTTGACATTACTTCTTTCTTCATATGTATAGTGGTTTGTTTACCTTGAACATTTTCAATATTCTTACAGAGCTATGTTATACAAGTAGTGCTTATGTTGGTATCTGTTTTATGTGTTTTTGTTGTTCCACTGCAGAAGAGTGAGGCAAGCTAACATGGTAGTAAATGAGTGAGATATATTCATCTTGAAGTTGAAAAACTTAATCTAAGGTTCCTGCAGTTAATGTTGCTTTTAGTCAGCAGGGATTATCTGAAAGTACTGTGCAGTTCATTTAATTGTTTCGTTATAATCTTCAAATGCATTCTCAGCAATGTTGTTGGGAATATCTAAGAAAAAAAAAAACCTGTGATTTTCTTTTTTTTTTAAAATGTATGAGTGCTTAAGGCTACCTAGGATGTGTTTATGGGATCTTAGTCATATTGGTTAAATGCAGTTGCCAACAATTTTTGAATGTTTTGTATTGTTTACATTTCGAAAGAGTATCCTTTCTAATCACAGATTACAATTGGAAAGCTCATATCTCTGCATTGCCTACTAAAATATAATTACTTAAGATGAGGTACAGATAGACTTGAACGTATAGCTAAAATCTAACAAAGGCTATGGCAATTTACCAATGAAAGAAGTATCTTTCTCATGAAAATGTGGGGCTAGATTGAGAGAAGAGTATGAACCTAACATAGCTGCTGCAGTCAGGTCTAAGCTCCTCCTTCTTTACAGTTTCTTAAAGCCTATTGAGAATTGAGGAAGTAGATGCTGTTTCGTCAAAGACATTTGAAGAACTCTGTTGGTCAGTGAGGAACTTAATTAGTAAATATGCTTAAGGTCACTTCTAACACACTAATAGTATTGAACTCACTCAGAAGTTGTGCGAATAAGACTTCGTAAAGCAAACTAGGAGGTAATTGGCTGGCCACATTTTCTGCACTAAGCATGCCACCACTTAGATAATTTGCATGGAAAATTGGAGTTCTTTTTTTTTTTTTAATTTTCATCTCCAGCTTGATGTAGTTTAAAAACGTGTTGTCCACCTTCTGGGAGAATGTATTGATGTGTTGTATGTAGGTGAAGATGCATCAAACTACTTGTTGGAATGAGTCGTGTTCCCAGTGGAATTGTGTTGCTCACCAGGAAGAACTGATAAACTTTTTGAAGAATTAAAAACTTTTTGAAACCAGATTTATTTATTTTTACTTACAGTGCAAAAGGGCAGAAGAAGGAATGGTTGTTGGTATGGTATATGATAGTTTAGTGAGAAAGGTGTAGGTGTCAAGTCTTAATTTGTTTGTGCCTTTTCCCTGTATTTGATTACTTGTCTAAAATAACTTTTAATGATACTTATAAGGAAAATATCATTCTTTTCTAGATGTAGACAAAACTACTGTGAGCAATAGTACTCAATCTACTAAAAGAAGCTCTACTGCTGAAGGTGAAGATGAAATTCCTAAAAAAAAATCAAAGAAAAACAAAAAGCACAAAAGCAAAAAGAAAAAGAAAAAGAAGAAGAAAAGGAAGAAAGAGAAAAAACATAAAAAGCAGCCAAAGGAGTCAAAGTTGAGTGCACGTCATGGAGAACATGTGGACTCACAGCCTGCTTCTCACTTGATTCCAGAGAAATCAAGCTCCACACTGAGTGTGCAGCATGGGGGATTTGGAGATGCTAATCTGGGTGTCCATATACAGCCAGAAGGACTGTCCTTACAGGCAAATGTGGAGCTTGATAGACAAGCTTTAGGACTTGCTTCTCAGTTGAGAACTGATTCTCAGCCATGTATGGGAAATCTTGAAAGTGAGAAGGGGACTTTATGTGCAACAGAACCTCAGTTTAATTTAGAAGGCAGCCAATTTATTATTCAACAAAATGCTAGTATGACTCAAACTGAAATTTGCACTAGAGAAGAACAAATAAAACAATCTCATGAAAGTATTTATCCTGTAGCTATCAATGTGAGCGAAAAGGGTGATTTTGCTACTGGAAGTGTTGCTTCAACTAGCATCCCATCTGGAGTTGCCAATAAATCTGAACTTCAGAAATTAGCTTTACCTTCAGAAGTAAAAACCATGGATACAAGTTTAGCATCTAATACCGTGGAGGCATTGACATATTCAGAAGCATCTCTGAAGTCTGTGGCACTGGGAGGCACTAAAGAATTAGAAACAACTTCAGAATCTATGTGTTTGACAAGTGATGTGGCAATAATTCCTAAACCTGCAGATCTGAATACTGTGAAGGTAACTGACATGTCTATGGCCATAGGAGAAGTAAGAATTCCAGGAGCAACTGAATTACCAGTTGTGTCTGGTAATTTGAGAGTGACACAGTGCAGATCCATGGAGGGTTCAAGTATCTTGAAGGCGGCCTCGGAATCTGTAGTTATGATGGGAGATGTGAAAAATAAAGAATTGGACCCAGATGCAGCTTTGCAACATTCTTTTAAAGTACCTGCAGAAACTGCTGTAAGTCAGGTGCAAATGGAAAGTGCCAAAACACCCCTGGCACCAGGGACTGTTGTGGTGAAGGATATCGAACCAGTTAGAGTCTCTTTGCACGAGGGAAGTGTGAGACCTTCGGAAGAAGTTTTGCAACCTGTGATAAAGTCAAAAACTTCAGAAGCAGTCATGGTTGTGAGAGGAACTTCTGATTCTGCAACAGTGTTGAATGCTTCAGAAGCTTTACTGCAGTGTACATTCTCAAAAGAAATGCAAAGCTTGACAGATGTGAATGTTGTTGCAGAGGCAAAAGGTTTACAAACAACATCAGAACCTGTTGTCCAGACCCTTGTTCCCCAGAGAGTTCCAGTTGCTCTGCAATTGGAAAATAGTAATGTTTTGAGAGGTTTGGAAGCAACTCCCCAGTCTTCACAGAAAGAAGACATGAAAAGAGCGACTTCACTGTCTTTGCAAATGGAAAGCATGAAAGCTTTAGGAGAACCTTCTAGTGGTAGTAGGGAAGCAGTTATGGTGCCTGAGGCACTGGCAGAAATGATGCATTTGAAAAAAACAGCAGAGAGAGAAACAGCACATGCGGAAGCAGTTGCAGTGCCTTTTTTTGCAAGCAAAACAGAGAGTTGTATAGTCTCTCAGCCTGAGATCATGACAAGTATGAGAGGGTTGGAGGCAACCTCACAAACTGTGTTTGTGGGGGAAAAAAAGGATTTTGAAGTAGCTAGAAGTTCCACCGTTGCAGAAGTGAGAGGTCTAGATAACTTGGCAGAAGTTAAGGCAGTTGCAGAGGCAAGAGGTGCAGAAACAGGTTCAAAAACTTCATGTTTAACAGAGATGAAAAATTTGGAAATAGCTGTGGGGTCTGAAACAAGGACACAAATGCAAGACTGGGGAACAACACTGATATCTGAGGTGGAAGATCTGAACAAAGCAAAAATAAGGAGCAAAGAAACAGTGCTAGAACCTGTGCAAACAGTGACAGTGAAACCTTCAGATACAAGTTCAAGACCTGTATGCTTGGAGGAGTTGGGAACAACCGTAGAGTATGGAACTGGAAGTAAACCAGACAAAATTGAAGCAGAATCTATGGCTGTCAAAGTAGTAGAGCATTCTAAAACTACTTCAGGTCCTTTACAGGAGCAAGTGGTAGGCAATTCAGAAGCAGCATTAGAGTCTTTCCGGAGAGTGGAAGGAACAATGATGGAAGCGAGAAACTTGAAAGAAACTTTGCAGTCTGAGATTTTGACAGATGTGATAACTCGGGAATCTGGTATAGTTACAACAAGGAAGGCAGACAGAGAAAAAGCTGAGTTTTCACCTGTGGTTGATGTGAAAGGTTTGGAAGAAGCTTCAGGAATTGAGAAAGGAATGAAAGCAAAACATCTAGAGCCAGCATCAGAAGCTGGAGAAGTGAGGTTGGAAAGCGTGGAAGAATCTGCAGGAGCAGAGGTGAAAGGTTCTGAAACAGTCAAAGAACCTGAAGTGTACATGGACATCCAGGGTTTGGAAACTTCCCAAAAATATGGAGAGGTAGCAAAGATTAATGTTTTAGAGGATGTTTCAGAAGCATTCATTATGACAAAACAACATACAGAATCTGTTCCACAATATTTGAGCACTGGAACACAAGAACATGCTCAAACAGTTTTAGAAGCCAAACCTGCTGCAGAATGGAGAAGTACAGAAGAAGCTGCAGAAATCTGGGGAGCTGCTGAAATGAAATCTTCTGAAGCAGTTCCAAAACCAGAGGACACACAGGATCTGGGGACAATGCTGGAACATGAAGTTGCTGTAAAAGTACAGTATTCAGAAGGACAGCAGTGTCAACAAATGGAGGATGTGAGCATTTCCAGTCTGGCTCTGGAATGTGAGATAGTTGCTGAAAAGAATGATTCAGAGCAAGCACTACCATTGGAGCCTTTCATAGCAGTAAGTGATAGGGAGATAGCAACAAAATCTGGAGTACCTGCAGAAACAATTTTTAGTTCTTCGCATGCTGCAAATGTGAAAGATTCAACAGGGACCCCTGAGTCTCAAATAATCAAGGATGCAAAACACTTAGAAGGTCTTCCAAGTTGCATAGCAGAAACAGAAGGTTTGGAAACAACTCATATTTCTGAGACTGTTGTAGACGTGAAAGATGCAGAAGCAGTTGAGGAGGCAGAGGCGGACACAAAAGATTTGGAAGCTGCTCCAGTACCTGAGACTGTTACAGAAGTAGCTCCAGTACTTGTGGAAGAGGCAAGCCAGTTGGAAGCGATTCCACAAGTGGAGGCTGACAAAGAAGTGGCTGCAGAAGAGGCATCTGAGACAAGAGATTCAGAAACATCGGATGTGCAACCTGATGTGGCAGCACGAATGAGGGAGACTTTAATGAGACTTGAGAAAGTTATTGAAAAGAGCAGTCATAGAAGCAGTGAAAAAAGTAAACATGATGCAAAGAAACAAAAAAGGAGTCGGTCTAAGTCCCAGTCCAGGTCTAGGAAGCGGAAAAAAAAATCAAGGTCACGTTCTACTTCCAGGCGTTTGACCTCTAAGAGAGCACGATCTAGGAGCAGAAACTATTCAGATTCCAGAAAAAAGCATTCCAAATCTAGGTCCCGGTCTGTGGAGAAGAGAGAGAGGAGAGTGTCTTCCCGAAGGTCCAGACGCAGACGTTCCAGGTCATCTGACCGCTACCGGTCTAAGTCCAGGTCAGTGGAAAAGACCAGAAGGTCTGGACGTGGACGTTCCAGGTCATCTGACCGCTACAGGTCTAAATCCAGATCCGTAGAAAAAAGAGAAAGCAGGTTGTCTTCCCGAAGATCGAGGCGCAGACGTTCCAGGTCTTCTGATCGCTACAGATCTAAGTCCAGATCAGCAGAAAAGAGAGGGAGCAGACTGTCTTCCCGAAGGTCCAGGCGTGGACGTTCCAGGTCTTCTGATCGCTATAGGTCTAAGTCCAGGTCAGTGGAAAAGACTAGAAGGTCTGGGCGCAGGCGTTCCAGGTCATCTGATCGCTACAGATCTAAGTCCAGGTCAGTGGAAAAGACCCGAAGGTCTGGACGCAGACGTTCCAGATCATCTGATCGCTACCGATCCAAGTCCAGGTCAGTGGAAAAGACCCGAAGGTCTGGACGTAGACGTTCCAGGTCTTCTGACCGTTACAGGTCTAAATCGCCATCAGTGGAAAAGAGAGGGAGCAGACTGTCCTCTTGGAGATCCCGGCGCAGACGTTCCAGGTCGTCTGACCATTCTAAGTCTAGATCCAGGTCATCAGAAAAGAGAGGGGGCAAAGAATATTCATGGAGGTTCAGACATAGAGGGTCTGGTTCCTCTGATCGTTCAAAATCTAGGTCTAGGTCTGTAGAGAAGAGGGGTCGGAAGGCATCTGTGCGGAGATCTAAACGTCGGCGCTCCAAGTCCTCTGACCGTTACAAGTCTAGGTCCAGATCAGTAGAAAAAAGAGATCGAAAGCAATCATCACGGAAGTCAAAACGTCAGCGCTCAAAGTCATCTGACCGTTATAAATCTAGATCCAAGTCAGTGGAAAAAAAGAAGGAGTCTTCACGAAAATCTAAGCGTCGTCGCTCAAAGTCTTCTGAACGTTACAAGTCTAGGTCTAGGTCTGTAGAAAAAAAACGCAAAGACTCTTCAAAGAAATCCAAACGGAAGCGTTCAAAATCTTCTGACAGTCTTAAATCAAGGTCAAAATCTGTAGAAAAAAGAGCAAGCAAGTTAGCCTCAGCAAAGTGCAGTAGAAAACATGCGGACTCTTCTGAACAAGAAAAAGTAGATGGTTCTGAACCTGTCACAAGTGAAATCAGCTCCTCCAAATCCTCTAATGGTCCCATGTCAGTAGCTTTGTCTCTTGAAGGAGTAAATGGCCCAGAGCTGCCACCACCATCTGGAAGTGGATTTTCCACAACTGTTGAGAGCCTTGAGACAAGCTTATCTGTTGAAAAAATGGACGGTCCACAGCCTTCAGTGATACCTGAACTTGATAGCTCCAAAACCTCAAATGATCAAGAACAGCATTCCATGCCTGTGGAAAAAACACAGGTTTCTGTGACCTCTGAAAATGGGTCAGCCACTCCTTATGACTCTGACTTAGGATCTGTGCCAGCAGAAAAAACTGTACCTCTGGAATCTTCATCACTTACTGAACTTACATTCTCAGCATCCAGTTCAGTGTCCTCATCTGTTGAAAAGAGAGATGCAGAGACAACTTCGGCAACAGAATTTCATCTCTCCACATCCCATCAAGATGAGTCAAGATCTACATCTCTCAAAGAAACAGAGGGTGCAGAGCCTCTTTTGACAAATGAGAGTGGATGCTCTGTATCTGCTGATGATTACAAGTCAACTTCCACATCCTCTGGAAGCATGGAGATTCAAGGATTTTCACTGATGTCTGGAAGTGTACTTTCTGACGGTTGTGAATTGAGGCACATCCCTGCTGAAAATGCAGAGCCCCAGAAGTTTTTGCAAGTGCCTCAAAGTGGATTTTCTGAGTTGGCTGACAGCACTGAATCAAGGTCACTGTCTTATGAAACAGCAGAAGTTCAAAAACCTTTTTTAGCTCCTGAAGTAACAAGCTCTGAGTTCCTTGATGTCCATGAGTCAGTCTCCTTACCAATTGCACAGGGCCAGACGGAGGTGCCTTCTCTGACTTCTGATAGTGTATGCTTCAGGACTCCTGATAGACATGAATTGGGATCCAGTTTTGGTACACAAACAGGGGAGATCCCTCTGATATCTGAAGGTACGCCCTTACAGTCACCTATTGGAAAAGTAAAGGCTCCCAGTGCTTCCCTGTCATCTGAGTGTGGTCCTGTGGAGATCGCAGTTGACCACATTTCAACTTCATCTTCTGCAAAAATACAGCAAATTTTTCTAACTACTGTAGAACAAAGCTGCAAGTCTTCTGAGGCTCACGAGTCCAGTTCATCTGTTGAGAAAGATTTAGATGGTTCAGCATCTTCGCAAGTACTTGAAGTTGGCTGCTTTGAGAACTCTGAAATCCATGAATCAAGACATCTGCCTGCTGAAAAAATAGAGGTTACAGAATCAGCTTTGTCTACAAGTGGAATTCCTTTGTGCCATCGTGGCCATGCGTCAAAATACAGTTACTTTGAGAAAACAAAAGGTGTAGATACTGTGGAATTGGTAAGCACATCTGCTGAAAAATTTGAGGCCACAGCGCCTTGCCTGACATCTGAAGGTGGTCTTTTCATATTGCCTGATAGTCATGAATTGAGAGCTACTCCAGCTGAAAATGTAGAAGTGCAGAAGTCATCCTTGTCCTCTGAACAGAAATGCATTACATCCCCTCATGAACATCAGTTGAGATCCCCCTCTGGCAGAGAAATACAGGTGCAGGAGGAGCAGCCTCTGATAGTAGAAAGGAGACATTCTGTTTCTTCTGATGATCATGAGTTGACACTCACTACTTTCAAGAAAGTTGGTGTAGAGGATCCTTCACAGATGCCTGGAAATGAATGCACAGTGGGCTTTTCTGGTCCAGAGTTGACATCAACCCCTGTTGAAAAAGCAGAGGTACAAGAACTTTATCTGATTCCCGAAGAAAGATGTTCAGTGTCTCCTGAGAACCAGGAGTTGCTGTCACCTGCATTTGAGAAGACTGAAGTGCAAGAGCCTGCTTTAACATCTGAAAACGAATATACTGTATCCTGGAAGTGCCAGGAGTTGAGAACTAGCTCTCCTGACAAAGCAGAGGTGCAGGAATCTTTTGCAGTACCTGACAGTGAATGTGCTGTGTACTCTGGAGACCATGAATCACAAACTTTGCCTGCTGAAAAAGCAGAGGTACAGGTGCATTCTTTGATGTCTGAAAATGAATGTGCTGCATCTCCTGAGAGCCAAGATATCACAGCCATTTCTGCTGAAACTGTGCAGGAGCCTTCTGCAATATCAGGTAGTGAATATGTTATGGTCCCCAGAGTGCAGGAGTTGTCATCTTCTCTTGCTGAAAAAACAGAACCGCAGGAGTGTTCTGTGCTCTCTGAAAATGAATACGACGTATCTCCTGAAGGCCATGATTTGAGATCCAGTCCTGTTGAAAAAGAGGAAATGAGGGAATCTTCTGAAACATCTGAAAGTGAAAGTTCGATGTCCACTGATGACCAGGAGCTACAGTCTACTGCTGTTGGAAAAACAGAAGTGCAGGAGTTGTCTCTGATGTCTGAAGGTGAATGTGCCATGTCCCCTGAAGTTCAGGAGCTGCAGACTAGCCCTGCTGAAAAAGTAGAGAGTGGGGAACCTTCTCTGACATATGAGAATGAGCATGCTGTGTCCCTTGAAGAGTATGAATCAAGATCAACTCATGGTGATAAAACAGAAGATATGGATTCTTCTTTGACATCTGAACATGACCATTATTTGTCTTTCAAGAGCCAGGAGGTAAGATTCACCACTATTCAAAAAGTAGATGTTCAGGAGCTTTCTCCAACATCTGAAAGTGAGCATACAGCATCCCCTGATAGTCAGGAGTTGAGATTCCTCACTTCTGGACAAGTAGGTGATTCTGGGCCTTTAGCGTTAAATGATAGAGGCTCCATGTCCCCAGACGTCAGTGACTTGAAATCCACCCCTGTTGAAAAAATGGATGATGCAATGCCTTTAATGCCTGAAAGTGGATGCTCCACATCCCCTGGCGGCAACAGTGTGAGATCTGTTCCTGGTGAAGAAACTGGTGATCTAGAGCCTTCTTTGACACCTGAATGTAGACATTCCACATCGCCATATAATGAGAGCCATGAGGTGAAATATCCCATGGAGGAAGATGGTCTAGAGTCCTCTGTTACTTTTGAACATAGACGATCTGTTACCCCTGAGGGACATGATGAGAAATCTGTCATAGATGAGGAAATAGAGGATCGGGAGCCCTCTTTGACATCAGAACATAGGCGCTCCACATCCCCTGATGAGCATGAGTCAAGATCTAGCATTGGTGAGGAGGCAGAGTATTCAGAACAGCCTTTGACAATGGAACATAGATCCTCCATTTCTTCTGATGAGCATGATTCAAGGTCTACTGCTGGGGAAGAAGTAGAGGATGTGGAACCCTCCTTGACAGGGAAACGAAGAGATTCCACATCCTCTGATGATCATGAGTCAAGGTCCACCACTGGTGAAGAAGCAGAGGACCGTGAGGCCTCCTTGCCTGCTGAACGTAGAGATTCCGTGTCTTCTGATGAGCATGACTCAAGGTCTACTGCTGGTGAAGAAGTAGAGGATTTGGAGCCTTTAGCAGCTGAACACAGACGTTCTGTGTCTCCTGATGGACGTGAGTCAAGGTCAACCACTGGTGAAGAAGCAGAGGACCGAGAGCCCTCCTTGACAGCTGAGCGTAGGCACTCTACATCTTCAGATGAACGTGAATCGAGGTCTACCACTGGTGAAGATGTGGAGGATGTAGAACCCTCCTTAACAGCTGAACGAAGAGACTCCACATCCTCTGATGAGCAAGATTCAAGGTCTACCACTGGTGAAGAAGCAGAGGATATGGAACTGTCTTTGACAGCTGAACATAGACGTTCCACATCTCCTGAAGGACGTGAATCAAGGTCTACTACTGGTGAAGAAGGAGAAGATGTGGAACCCTCCTTGACAGCCGAGCGAAGAGATTCAACATCATCGGATGATCATGAGTCAAGGTCTACCACTGGTGAAGAAGTTGAGGATATGGAGCCCTCTTTGGCTGTTGAAGATAAACATGAGGGGTCACCTTCCATACCTCTTGAGAAGTCAGAGGGACAGGACTCTTCTTTTATGACTGAAAGTAGGCGATCTGAATCTTCTGATCGTGAGAAATCTAGATCTGAATCTGCTGAAAAGATGTCTGACAGAGAATCTTCACAGAGGTCTAGAAGCAGACCCTCAAAATCTCCTACTCGCCAAATGAGTCGATCCCCATCTGCTGACAAAGTAGCAGATGAAGAATCTTCACGGAGGTCTAGACATAGACGCTCCAGGTCCACGTCTGTTGAAAAAGCAGCAGACAAAGAGTCTTCACGGAGGTCTAGACATAGACGCTCGAGGTCCACGTCTGTTGACAAAACAGCAGACAAAGAGTCTACACGGAGATCTAGACGTAGACGTTCCAGGTCCACTGCTCGCCAAAGGAGTCGATCAAAATCCGTTGACAAAACAGCAGACAAAGAGTCTTCACGGAGATCTAGAAGCAGGCGCTCCAGGTCTTCTCAGCGCAGATCCCAGAGGTACGATGCAGACTCTCGTTCTAGACGGAATCGCTCCAGATCGGTAACACGCAGAAGAGCATCAAGATCAAAATCTACTCGTCGTTCTCGATCTAGCTCATTGTCACGTTCAAGGCACAGAAGACGAAGTAGGTCAAGGTCAGCATCAAGAAGGCGGCGTTCTCTATCAAGAGATAGGCGCAGAAGATCTCAGAGAAATAGATCAAGATCTGCTGATAGAAGAAGGAGAAGATCAGATTCAAGAGATCGTAGGATATCACTGAGATTACGGAGCAGGAGTCGGACACCTCTTCGTCAAAGGCGATCGAGGTCAAGAGGAAGAAGACGGAGCTCTAGTAGGTCACCAATTCGACTGCGGCGATCAAGGTCTTCAGGGAGAAGAAGAGGTTACAGCAGATCACCTGATCGTCGCAGGTCTAGATCATCAGAAAGATTTTCAAGCAGGTCACCGAAACGCCTTACAGACTTGGGTAAGTGAAAGTTTTATTTTTGGTGAATCTGTGTCTAGATAATTCTGTGTTTGTTTACGTAGTCTAATTTTAACATTTTTTTGTAGCATTCATAAGGAATTTATTGAAGTCATTTTCTGCATTATTTTTAAGCAGTGACATTCAGTGAGGAAACTTTCATGGTGGAGCTGAATTTGTGCCATCCATTTGGATGAAAGTGCATTTATAGCCAAGGGCATATCTTTTGCTTTGATGTGTTTATGCAGAGGTAGTCTGTTGTAGTCTTGGGGAACACTTCATTTTAACTGTTTAGTAAAGGCCTAGAAGTCTCTTAAGAAAGTTATGAGCTTCCAGTGTTCCTGAGAACTAGCTGAGTGACAGAATGTGTTACAGTAAGTGCCAGTTAGAGAAATTTTAGCTCTGTTGTTGACTATAACTCGTGTTTTTCCTGTTATTCTTTTATTCTTTTCCACTTGAATGTCTGTTATTCAAAAACTTTGTATTAAGGGGGACATTGTTGAACTATTAATCTAGTATGTGATATGGAGGTTCAATGGTCTATATCACACAATTCTATGGGCTTCAAAAAGCTTTTTTTTTAAAAAATTGTACTTTTGAATCTTTAGATGAGATTACATTTTTTTGTGATTACTTACACCAAAATTGAACTTTCAGGTACTCCTAGCTAAGTTAATATACTCAGTTATACTCTCAGCCCCTGAGCTGACTAGCTTGTTTAGTTCAGATTCATTGTCAATAATGGCTATCCACTGGGGTTTTGTAGGTTGAGCTTTACTTGCAGATGAGGCTTCAGGCTGCTAAAGTATGTGGTGCTGAATGCTGGTGATATGGAAATCAAGATTAGACCAAGATTTGTTTCAGTTCTTTTTCTCATGCTACATAAAAATATGTAACATTCTGTGAGGCTTATGGCCATAAGTCTACAAAAGCAAAATGTTCTTCAGCTTGGGATTTGGAAATCTGAGGGAGGATCTAGATAGTAGAAGTTTAAAAAGCAGTGTTGCGTATAATTTTGTCATTTATGTCTTTTGTAATACCATGCAGCTTTAGTTTCATGGATTTATTTTTGAAAGTGAAAACTTTTTGAGTATTACAGAGGGAGTTGACATTCTTTAATTTCTTTAGCTTTTAGATAATTAAATAAGTATGGTTAAAAGCTGTGGAAAAAAACTACTGTGTGTCCAAACTGCAGTAAACTTTCTTAAATGTGCTTAAAGGTGTAGCGCTGGAGTGATGAACTGAAATTTCAGTTATTCTCACAGAGCATAAAAATGCACAGCAAGAGTAATTTTTTAAATACTTTGCTTAGTTTGATAGAAATATTGACTATTAGAACAAGAATTTGCAAGAATGTTGATAATTTTTCTTTAACGTCTTTCAGACAAGGCCCAGCTGCTTGAAATAGCCAAAGCTAATGCAGCTGCCATGTGTGCAAAGTCGGGCGTTCCTTTACCACCAAGCCTGATGCCTATGTTATCTCAAAAGAAAGACGATAAAGCCAGTCAGAAGTCATCAAGAGATACACTAAAGGAGCTCACTGAGGTAAGTGAGAACAAAATACTAAACTGAAAATAAGCAAAGAGTTTTTTGTGAGTGCTAGGCAAGCTTTATTCTGTTCTTCACTCACGTGAAAGCTGGCACATGGTTTGAGCTTTCGGTCTGTTTAGAGCTGTGAGGTTTTGTTTGTTTGATTTTTTGGGGGGTTTTTTGGTCTTGAAAACATGCTTTTGAATTCTGTAGAAAGGTGTGAATTACAATTCTTGTGCTTTTTTTTGGTTTCTGTTCTGTTGTAATTTTTACATGCTGGTAGTTTTCTTTGCAGTCCCTTTAATAAAAACCTCAACAAAAAAAACGGATCTTCCAAAAATGAAACAAGGCTTTCAGTTCTAGTTCTTGTTTGTAGCATTGTTTGTTACTTCTGTTGTTATTTTGTTAGCAAATTTTTCTTTGCTAAGTGTTCAGTGTGTTAAAAATCCAGTTTTTTTTCAGTAGTTTTGTGTAATTTTATGTGTTCCAAAACATTTTTAGAGGAAAAGTTACTGTTGCAATGCATCTATTGCAATTTTAGTATGCAAATGGGATGTTTTTGTTTGGATTGTGGGCTAAAAATTGCTACTTGTCTTTAGTGTAGCAGTGTTGCATTGTTAGTGTGATAGTTCTGAAAATGTTTTTATATGTGGAAGTAAAATCTGTAATCAGGCAATGTCAGATTGCTGGAAAGTAATCCCTTTGTAGTTCGTGGGGTAGTGGTGCAGAAGTGCTTGTTAGCTTAAAAACAAACGAACAAACAAAAAACCACGGAGCTTGTGCAGATGTGATGAGTGCTTCTGCATGTTAACCTGACCAAAGATTCAATGCAACTGTTGTTCATCTGGGGCATAAAACTTTCCCTTTGCTTACCCTTTCTGTCTGTGGGAATTCAATGATTAATATGTTTCACTGAATCAAAAGCAGCCTCAGAAACAGTCCAGATCATCGTCCTATGAGAATGTGTCTAAAGGAAGAACCCTTGGAGAACCTGTTGTGTTTTCCAAGAAGCTGGCTGCTCTGCAGGTTGCATCATATAGGAAAAAGACAAACTGCTTCCAGTTCACTGGGGGTCATCCAATGACTGTAGATAATACATTTGGTTGATTAGCCTTTTAAGTAATGCAGGCTTTTTCTGCTGCATAAAGTGTGTGCATAAGTCATTGTTGGGAGGAGGCTTAGAACAGAAGAGCATAGGAATCTTTGTTTAATAATGACTGCTGAGAACAATGTCAACAGTGTGTTTGCTCCTTATATACTAACAGTCAGGTTATCAAATAGAAATGCTTGCAGCCGTATACATGCATTATGAAATGAGCACTGAGCATCTAATTCTACAGTATACTTCTGAAAATCTTAAACAGTTTGTCTTTGTAATTATTTTCTGCATGAGTGCCAAGCAAACTTAAGTAGTTGTTTGATAATGTGTGTAAGAAGACAAATGTGCATACATATCTGCAACATTCCTATAAGATTTTCTCAGAATTATACATCCCGCTCTATTTGTTAAATTGTTCATTTTGTCCACTTTAGTTGAAAGATCCAGATTTATTCCTAACTGTTGTCTTCACACCTCTCCTTTTTTCTTTTTTCAGAAATGCAAGAAGATTGCTCAAAGCACAGATGATGTGATCGTGAATAAACCTCACGTTTCTGATGAAGAGGAGGAAGAGCGTCCTTTCTATAATCACCCCTTTAAGCTCAATGAACCCAAACCTATTTTTTTCAATTTAAGTGTGAGTACTTACGTAATCAGTAATTCTAAAAAATTAATATCATTTTAAAAAATAAAGTTAGAAGTTTAACTTTTCTAAAAAAGACAAATAGCTTTAGAGAAATTGAGACAACGGTTGATAAGCTTGGTGAGTGTCATTAAAAGTACTCTTGTTAAAAGAGAAAATATCTGCAGCCCACAATACTATGAAAGATTTCCATAATTGGATTATGATTTTTTCTTAATTAATGTTTTTTACAGTGCTCAAAGCTTTAGCAACATAGAGGGGATCATTTTTGTTTCACATTTTCATTGCAAAAAAATTTTAGTATGAACTTGCAGGCAGCATTGGAATTGGAAAAAGCTTCAGAGAAGTATTAGTTTTCCTTTAAATGCGACACAAAATTCATAAGGCGTTGTGAGGAGTTCTGAATGGCACTATACCATTAAGCTTGCTCAGCCTCTGTGTTCTATGTCTGCTACTGCAGTACGTCTTAAGTGTTAATGAAATTTTGAGATTAGCCAATAGGAAAATCTGTGCTAATGTTGCCTGTTACTAAGAGGCTGTAAATGTCCCATTAAATGCCTTTGTTCAGGGCTGCTTTTGATTTTGTTAGCATTTCTGTTGATGTTTTCAGGGTATGAGCATGTTGGAAAGAATAAAATGAGGGACCTCTTATTCATCTGGGATCTGTGTGATTTGAAGCATGGTTAGAATTTGTCTAGGAAGTTTTTTCAACTGCACATTAAGAATTTTTGGGGCTTGTGAAAGTCTGACTTAGTTTTGCTGGATAATATTAGAAGTATTAATATGCTTAAATGAAAACAGAGGTTAATTGTAAAAATGCAGTTTATTGTGTTTACAAAAGTAGTAGTAATACATAATTACGCAAGATGTAAGGTAGAAATAAATTTCTACTTTAAATGGCACTGTTAGAAAGTGGTATGATGAAATTCAGAATATTGTGGGATTCCTTACGGACTCTGAAAAGGATTGTTCTTCAGTGGGCATCCTTTCCATTCTTTCTGGGTTCTGGTCTTATTACTGTTCTCAGTCATGTGTCTTTGGTAACAGGAGTTTACACAGTGTTTTCAGTTTCTGACCTACTCTAACTTTTTCTTTTCAGACTCCCAGCATAAAACCAGCACCACCACCCCAACCAAAAAATCAGGTCAGCCTGTCAAAGGAATTTCCTGTTTCATCTGGGTCTCAGCATAGGAAAAAAGAAGCAGATAGTGTCTATGGAGAATGGGTTCCAGTTGAAAAAGGCAAAGAAGATAGCAAGGATGATGTTTTCCCCAAACCGTCCATTGAGGTAAGGAAAGGAAGGAAAGCATACTCTTTAAGGAAAAAAAAGCCATTGTCTGGTCAGTCTGGTGTCAAATCACAGTCTGAGAAAAAAAAGAAAGGTGTGCATAGGTAGTAGCTGGCACTTGAGAAAGCTGGTTATCTGAACTGCTACAGTCTTCACATTTGCTCAAAGTGTTCACATGAGCAGTGGTGTAAGCAACCTGTACCAATATCGTGTGCTTTTGACAACTAGTGACTTCATTGTCTCAGTAGAACTTAAAGTTTTACTTGAAGATTGAAAAGCAAGTTTCCTGCAAAGGTTGATACCATATGTTTAGATTTTAATAATAATAAATTGAATAATAGTTTTAAATTTCCTACCAGTGTTGGAGCAATAACATGGAATTGAAATGTCATTCATTAAAAATAGATTTGAAAGTAGTTCTTAAAACTGCCATTTCATCTGGTGTATTTACTCATTTTTCCAACTTTAGTCCCATTTTCTTATGAAGCTGTCTTCCATGTGGCCTTCCAAAGGAAAATTTAATTGTATGTATAATAAACTGAAAAAAGGAAATGTTTTTCCCCTTGATATGTCTTCAAAAGAATATTTTGTGGGGTTTTTGTAATTAAGTAAATTAAATATTTAAGATGTTCCTTTTTTTTTTTAAGTTAATGTCTTATTGTTCCTTCTAAAGACTTGTTCTTATACCTTGCAAAACAAATGAATAAAAAAAGTTTTGCCTTCACATTTCTGATGAAATTGTTTTTCAATAATTTTCTAAGTTATAGTATAGTTCACTTCCTGAAGCACAGATGTTATTTTCTTCTGTGTCTTTTGCAGCACCAAAAGCATAGTGAATATAACGTATTCAACACGAGCTTTCATTGCTCACCTCAAAGGCAGAGCTTGAGGTGTTTGTAGCAGGTGGTAAAAAGTCTTGTCCTTCAAGTGGTTAATGATAAACTTGATTCAGGCAAGCTGTCTGCATTCAGGTTTCCAAAAACAAGACACGTGTTTTTGACAGGTTTGGTTAGGCAAGCGCTGATGATTTCTTGATTGATTATGTAGAAGAGCCTTTAAAAATGACATTGGAGTAAATACATTCAACATAGCTTTCTTTCCATTCTGTCACGTGTATCCTTATAAATGCTTGTAACTGTTTTGTCTGTTTTTATATTTTGTGAATAAATATTTTTATTTGCATTTACCTTAACGTGGTTTGTGTTAAGGGTGATTTCAAGGGTCAGTAACCGACAGCAGAACAAACTGTTCCCTTGTGTTTGGTAATCCTTAACCTTGAAAAACAGGAATATTCTTGTAGAAATAGGGTCTCCAGAGAGTTGGGAAGGTAATAGAATGCTCCTCTGCTTAATGTTAGGACTAATTATTTTAAATGTTTGTGGGACTGTCTGTGGATGAAATTGCTTCTTTGGAGCAAAATAAGCCAGGTCCCTTGCTGCTGGAGCTGGGGTAATGAGGGAACTTGCTTGGATTCTCAGGAGGTTTGGTGTATAATTTCCCTCATTTCATTTTGTTTGCTTGTTAATTTTGATGACTTTGTCACAATTCTGATTCAAGTCAATTTTGATATTTAAAAGAAAATACAATAAAAGCATAACAATAAACCTGTTATGCAGGTAATAGAATAAGTTATAGGATTATGTATACGGCCCTGCTAAAATATTATGAGTGCTTTTAATAAAACATTAAATGCTGTTATTGTAGTTATTTGTGGTGGTAGAAGATAAAGAAAAAGCTCTTGTCTCATTTAATCTCAAGTATCAGCATGTCTGCAGAAGACAGAGAAACATAGAAGAAGCAAATTATGTTTGAAAATTTGAAAGGCCGGAGATAGAATGCTGTATTTTAAGTTTGGTATATACAGCAATGGCTACTGTGCAGAGAAGTCCTCTTGATCTAGAAGTGCAGAAGGTGCACTTAGTGTATCAGTAGACCTATACAGTGTGTCAAAATTGTCTTTTTATTGTCACCACTTCCTGCTTGCTTCAGTATTTGTCTGGGGGAAAAATGTTATTAAAACTCAAGACTGGAAAGACAGAACTCAGAGAGGAGTAGCATGCTGAACATGGAACTGTTTTACTTGACTAAATAATATCAACTTTTCATACTTCAAGCAGAGATTTTTTTTTTTCAAGATCCAAAGCTGCCATCGAATGCCTTGACATAATACAAAGCCATGACTGTCTCCAAAATGGTGACTGACCATGTGGGGAAAGTGTATGGGAATTCTAACTAACCAGGGTATCTACTAATAGGCCCCAGTCCGGTAAAGCACTAAAGTACACATGTGTATTTAAGTATGTGAGTGGTCCCGATGTGATTTCAGTGGACTACTTGCATGCCTATGTGTATTGCTGGATTGAAGCTTTTGGTGAGTAGAATAACTTTTATTTATCTCCTGAAGCAGTTTCTCAAATGAAACATAGAACTATTTGAACTGTGTAGGGGGGATCTTCTTAATGCAAGAAAGTGTATATTGCTGACAAGTGTTCTTCTGTATACACGAATATCATGTTGGGTTGAAAAAGAAAATCTTTCAGTTCTTCTAGTACTTCATTTATATTGTATGTTTTTGTCATCTGAGACAATAAATAAACATTGAAGTCAGTTTCATAGATACACAGGCTGTAAGGATTTCCGGTCTGTCTTCCTCTGTACCAGGTGGTTTAGCAGCCACCTGGGATTATGGGATATGGGATTAATTTACTGGAGGACATATTTTTTGTCTGGCGCAGGGAAAATAAGTAAGCACATCTTTCCTCATTTGAAACTAAGATTTAATAGCCAAAATAGTAATTAAAAAAAAATACTGTATTATGCTACTGTAGACATTTGCCTGCCTTTTACTGGTTTTTCAATGTTTAGTGAATTCTTGACATATTTCTTATGATGGGAATTGTTGTGGATAAGCTATATTTTTTCAGCAGAGACAATTCAAAACTGGTTTCAGTTTCTTCCACTGGCCTTTATTCTAATATAATGTGAGAGGCTAAAGTAATGAGATAGTGACTAATCTAAGTCTTTTGTAATTCAAAGTAAAACAAAAACGACAAAGAAAAAAGACAACAAAAACAAAACCCTAAACCATCAATCTAATTAATGTCTGTATGCCACTTGCTGTTTTGGCTGTTGGGTTTTTTCTCTGCTTTCCAACCCTTTACAGTCTCCTTTACATGCTTATATTCAATTAAATTTCATGTGTCTCTGATCACTGTTGCTTTTCTCCTTTCAAAATAGAATGATCCACAAAATGCACGTCATTTAAAGAGTAAGGCACAAATACTCTTACATAAGGGTTGTATAAAGCTCTTAATTTATCTTTACAACCTCAAATGGTTTGATTTTCCTTCTTGTTCCTTTATACATAGAGGTTTGCACTGAACTTCTTTATTTATTCCATATTTTTACCCACCGGATTCTGATCAGTTATATGCAAGATGGTTTCAATTTTCTTCCTTAAATTTTTGTTCAACAGCACAGATATAAATAATCTTTTACTAAACACTTAATTTTGCATGCTATCAGTCTGTTTTCATTTTTATGTAAGTCTTTTTTAGGCTGAAGATAGAAAAAAAAAATTTAAGCACTAAAACCAAGTTCATGGAATGCATGTGATTCTTTCTGTAATTCTTCTGTATACATAAGTTGAAGTCCTTAATAGGGTATTCATGTGAACAGCTCAGTATAAAGGCCCTTGCCTAAGTTTTGGCTAAATTATACTTAATACTGTTAATAAGATTCCACTGAATTCTTAATGTCTTTCGCACTAAAACCTAGAACTTTCAATGACCAAAATACCTATTTGAAAATAAATCTTTAGATAATTTGTAGATGCTGCACTTAAGATTTATATAGCAAACAACAAGAGTGTATGTACGTGATTAGTAGTCTGAGAATTTCTTTTTTTTTTTCACATTACCATTTTTTATGTCAAGCCAATTATTTAATGTTTAGAACAACTCTATAGTATTTGTAGCACTTACTCTACAATAGACTTTTTTCCAGGTCAAATGGGTGATACTTTTCTCTAATGTATTTTTAAGAATCCTATTTTTCTTCCTAGGGTGTGGACATAACTGCAGCTATGAATGATCGAGCAATGGCTCAGAAAAGGCTTAATGAAAACACGTTTGATTTAGAGGCCATGTGCATGTTAAATCGTGCACAGGAACAGGTATGTTGCTCTTTTGATCGGTGTTTCAATCAAGTTAAAAAGTGTAAATGTTCACTGTTATTTCCTACTGTGTTTAAGTACAGTTTTTGGAAGTCCAGCTTACAGGGATGTCTTTAAAAATTTTGCCTTTAATTTGCATTTCGTAATACTAGTACTGAGGATAAACAAACCACGAGCCACAAACCTGCTAGACTCTGAGCTCAGTCTTTAGGGTTAGTGTTAAAAGATGCTCAGCTTTTTTTTTTTAAGATATCTGCTTAGAAATGAGTTTTGTCAATTTGCTAAGTGTAAGACAATAATCATAACTGAGAATAGAAAAATAAGAAAAATTTTATTCCAGTCTTACGTTGATTTTTATTTTCTAGATTGATGCCTGGGCTCAATCAAACTCCATACCTGGCCAGTTCACAGGAAGTACTGGAGCACAGATTTTGTCCTCGGATGAGCTAACCAACAGTGGTCCTCAAGCGTGGATTAGAAAGGTAGAAGTTATGCAGACATACTTGTCTGAATATCACGTACTAAATATTAGCAAAAGTATTGGAACATGCAAAAAAATGGCCTTAAAACTTATGGTAATGCATGTATCAAATGCAACAAACAGATTGAGTTAAAACTTTGTCTTTGAGTTCTACTACTTGCTGCTGCTGTGTTCATTTTTGGTATGCATTAAGATGTTGAACATGACATTTCAGTTGAGCGTCTAAAGTACCGCAATAAGATGTGCGTCTGTTACTTGAGTCAGATTGGTACGTACGTACTTACACTGAAATGACATTCATGATACTGGTATGGTTGCAATGGTAGGTCCATCACTACTTCTATGGGATTGGGGCAGATCAGGCAAGGTGGTTTGATCCTGATGTCATTGAAGTTGATGATGTTTTGGCATCAACTTCAGTGAGCCAAGTCCCAAACGGCCCATTCTGTTTGACTTGGTTCTGTTTGATGGTTACTGCTTTGCCTCTATTTGCATCACCAGTGTTTTCTGGGATCCAAAGATTTGGAATATTAAACCTGGAGTTGCAGTTGGGTTAAATAAGTGTAAGATTATCCTACAGTGAAATAGTTACCTCTTACTGCAGAGTAATACTGGCTTATTTTGGGTGTGTGATGCGTCATACATACATGCGTTTTGTAAGTTTTATAAGTCATGCTTCATCTTTGAAAATAAATGCTGAACTGGTACTCTTTTAAGAAGTAGAACTGAGGAATTCAAGCAATATCCATTTTGCAAGCAAAATGAATGATGAGTTATCATGGTTACTCTTACAAGTAATGTAGTTGAGTACGTGCTGTGTTTGCTTATCCGTCTGGAATTAAGACAACCCTCAAAACTGGTAGGTTAGACTTGAAACTTAGTGAAAGTCCACAAAACTTTATGTGAACTGTGAACACAGAAGTCTGGAAATATGATGTAGTAAAACTAGAAAAATTTTGTGTGAAGATTCATTTATTTATTTTTCACTTTGAATAGCCATGCAATACAGAGAGTCAGGCAACACAGAGATCCAAATTACTTGTTAGATGGGAATCGTTTGGGTTCTTTGTATTAATACTGAGTGTAGATTATACAGTCTTATTTTAAAAATTATAAACTTCTGAGATTTTAACAAAATACTGATTGCAATAAGTGTCCCTGCTACTGGAATTTAGATATAAAAAGCACTCAGCAGGCAGGTGCATTGATGAGAAAAGGAGAGCTTTTTCACCAAGAGGCTTGTGAAAGATTAGCAAGCCTACTGAGGGTTCAATCTTTCTGCTTATGTTGAGTGGAATCTCAAGACAAAGGAAAGGGAGCATCTCTTTCCCAACTCTCCTTTTCTCATCTTTTTTTCCTTCCTTGAATTTCTGTGGTTGTGCCCTTCTGTGCCTTGCAGTAACAGGAATGTCCACTGACAACAATGGCAAAGTAGAGAGTTGTGTTATCTCTTGGTCTTTTAACTTCACTCTGTAGTCTGATTGGAG